ATGCAAAACACTTCCATAGCAGTCATGTTGTGAAAAACTAAATGTATTTCCCTTAATCCTATCCTGCCCTCCCATTTATTCTATTCTTCCTTTTGACCCTGTCCCTCCTCATAAGTGTTTGCTTCTGATTCCCCTCTTTCCCAATCTGCCCTCCTCTCTATCATCCCCTGCTCCCTTGTCCCCTTCTCCCCCTATTTTCCCATAGGGTAAGACAGATTTCCATATCCAACTGAGTGTGTATGTTCTTCCCTCCTTAAGCCAAATCCTATGAGAATAAGATTCACTCATTCCCTCTCACTTTCCTCTATTTCCCCCCACTGTAAAGCCTTTTTCTTTTTTTTGTGAGATAATTTTACCCCTTCTACCTCCCCTTTCTCTTCTCCAGTATAATCCTCTCTCACCCTTAATTTTATTCTCCAGATATGACCCCTTCATCTTCAACTCACCTGTGCCCTCTATCTATTTATCTATATCTATATACATACATATAATTTTTTCCCTCCAACTACCCTAATGCTGACAAAGGTCTCATGAGTTATGCCATTTTTCCATGCAGGAATGTAAACAGTTCAACCTTAATAAGTCTCTTATGATTTATCTTTCCTGTTTACCTCTTCATGTTCCACTGAGTCTTGTATTTGTAAGTCAAATTTTCTATTCAGGTCTGGTCTTTTCATCAAGAATGCTTGAAAGTCCTCTATTTCACTGAATGACCATTTTTCCCCTGAAGGATTATACTCAGTTTTGCTGGGTAGGTGATTCTTGGTTGTAATCCTATCTCCTTTGCCCTCCAGAATATTATATTCCATGTCCTGTGGTCCCTTAATATAGAAGCTGCTAAATCTTGTGTTATCCTGATTGTGTTTCCACAGTACTTGAATTGTTTCTTTCTGGCAGCTTGTAATATTTTCTCCTTGACCTGGGAACTCTGGAATTTGGCTACAATATTCCTAGGAGTTTTCCTTTGGGGATCTCTTTCAGGAGGCGATTGGTGGATTCTTTCAATTTCTATTTTGCCCTCTGGTTCTAAAATATCAGGGCAGTTTCCCCTGATAATTTCTTGAAAGATGATGTCTAGGCTCTTTTTTTGATCATGGTTTTCATATAGTCCAATAATTTTAAAATATCTCCCCTGGACCTATTTTTCAGGTCAGTTGTTTTTCCAATGAGATATTTCACATTGTTTTCTAATTTTTCATTCTTTTGGATTTGTTTTACAGTGTCTTGATTTCTCATAAAGTCACTAGCTTCCAATTGCTCTATTCTAATTTTTAAGGAAGTATTTTCTTCAGTAAGCTTTTGGACTTCCTTTTCCATTTGGCCAATTTTGCTTTTTAGGGCATTCTTCTCCTCATTGGCTTTTTGGACCTCTTTTGCCATTTGGGTTAGGCAATTTTTTAAGGTGTTACTTTCTTCAGTATTTTTTTGGGTCTCCTTTAGCAAGCTGTTGACTTGGTTTTCATGATTTTCTTGCATCACTCTCATTTCTTTTCCCAGTTTTTCCTCTACTTCTCTTACTTGCTTCTCAAAATCCCTTTTGAGCTCCTCCAAGGCCTGGGACTGGTTCATACTTTTCTTGGAGGCTTTGGATGTAGGAGCTTTGACTTTGTTGTCTTCTTCTGGTTATATATTTTGATCTTTTTTGTTACCAAAAAAAGATTCTATGGCCTGACACTTCTTGAGAGGTTTACTCATGATCCCAGCCAATTACTTGAGTTTTAAAATCTTTGTTAAGGTAAGAGTCTGCTTCCAATGTGGAGAATGTGCTGTCCCAAGCTTTGGGGGTTTGTACAGCTGTTTTCAGAGATACTTGAAGGGCCCTGTAAATTTTCAGTTCTTCCAAGGTGGTATGATAAGGGGTGAGGTGTTTATTCCTTTCCTGGACCTAAATCATAAGAGACTTATTAAGTTTGAACTGTTTACATTCCTGCATGGAAAAATGGCATTTATAACTCATGAGACCTTTGTTAGCATTAGGGTAGTTGGAGGGAAAAAATTATATGTATGTATATAGATATAGATAGATAGATAGAGGGCACAGGATGAGTTGAAGATGAAGGGGTCATATCTGGAGAGTAAAATTAAAGGGTGAGAGAGGATTATGCTGGGAGAAGGAGAAAGGGTGAGGTAGAAGAGGGTAAATTATGTTACAAAAAAACCAAAGGAAAAGGCTGTAACAGTAGAGGGGAAACAGAGGAAAGTGAGAGGGAATGAGTGAATCTTATTCTCATAGGATTTGGCTTAAGGAGGGAAGGGGAGAGAGAGAGAGAGAGAGAGAGAGAGAGAGAGAGAGAGAGAGAGAGAGAGAGAGAGATTGTACTGCATAAGGCTTTGGGGCAACAGGGCTTCTGACTGGCTTCAGGAGTACCTTTGCTGCTCTGGTCTATTAGAGACCACAAGCATTCCTTTCTGTCCTGGAACTGTGAGGAGGATTTTCTCTCTTCCACAGCCACAACAAGCTCCACCATGCCAGCACTCCTCCTCACCCCAGGACTGCCACCCAGAACTGTGACCCAGATCTAAGCACAGGCAAAACAAGAGATTCCTGACTTAGCACCAGCAAAGAGATCCCTGCAATCCCTCTCTGATCATCCACCAGATTCCCCCTCAGTCTGTGGGCCAGAAGCTCAGGACGCAGCTACCATCCGGGGCGGCGCTCACTTGGGAACTGAGGCTGAGACCTCTCTCACTGCAGAACCAAGCTTTTCCCACTGACCTTCTAAGTTGTCTTTGGCATTCGTGGGTTGAGAAGTCTAGAAACCACCACAGCTACCTGTGATTCAAGTCCTTTGAGGCCTGCTCCAGGGTCGCTGCAGCCTGTGCGCCTACACCAAACTGCACTCCCCTACTAGCCCAGCACGATATACCTTTCCAATCAACCATCCAGGCTGTCTTTGGCTGGAAATTTGTTTCACTCTGTCTTTTTGTGGGTTCTGCTTCTTTAGAATTTGTTTAGAGCCATTTTTTATAGCTATTTGGAGGGGTTTGGGGGAGAGCTCAAGCAAGTCACTGCTCTCACTCTGCCATCTTGGGTCTGCCCCCTTGCTTTGATTATTAGAGAAGGGAATCAATGAGGATAGGGGAAAGAGGGAGAGAGGGAGAGAGGGAGAGTGAGAGGGAGGGAGAGGGGGAGAGGGAGAGGAAGAGGGAGGGAGGGAGAGAGAGAGAGAGAGAGAGAGAGAGAGAGAGAGAGAGAGAGAGAGAGAGAGAGAGAGAGAGAGAGAGAGAGAGATTGTACTGCATAAGGCTTTGGGGCAACAGGGCTTCTGACTGGCTTCAGGAGTACCTAAATCTGATGGATTCAGCTCCTTACCTCCTACCCTTAGTAACACTCATGTAGATGGGAGCAATGATACCTATAGTGAATATTAACAACAAATCTTAATCATCTTCTGGAAACATGATTAACAAGTACTATTTCTATAGCCTATTATTGTGCTATTAGAGTGAGATATAGTGGGTGTAGTGGATAGACAGCTGGCCTTAGAGTTAGAAAGACCTGGGTTCAAGACCTGTCTCTGACACACACTGGCCATGTCACCCTGGGCAAGAAGTCACTTAAACTCTCAGGTCCCCAGTCAACTCTCTAAGATAACAGTTCTCAAAGTATGGCCCATTGACCCCCAGGGGTCCCTGAGACCTTTTTCTAGGGGTCTGTGAGGTCAAAATTATTTTCATAATAATAACTAAAATGTTATACCTATTAAAATACTCCCTTTTCCAACTACATATCTGTGTGAAGCTGAATTTTCTTTCTATACTTCAATCAAAACATTGTAACAAGATTGAAGTGACTATGGCAATCAGTTCTATTAAGCCAGACATGATTTTCAAAAACATGTAAAAACAATGCCACTCTTACCACTAATTTTTTTTTTGTTTTGGAAGCTATTTTCCATAACTAATGTTATTTATGTTAACATGTAATGAGTTTGTTACATTTTAAACAAATCAATAAGTATTTTAAAATTTTATTCATTTTAATTTCTAATATTGTAAATATTGATAGATATAATATATATAAACAAAAGCTATTTGTGGTACTGAGTTTTTGAGAGTGTAAGAGTCCCGAGACCAAAAAGTTTGGGAACAGCTTGCTCTAAAACTATAAGTTGCAGAGAAAGTACTAATATGGATAGATAGAGGGAATTTCCTCATATAGTATTTCCTTAACCAATTAAGTCCATAGGCCCATTCCATTTTCTTCCTTTAAGATAACACAGAAAACATATAAGCTTCTCTGTTATAAACAAAAATAATCTTGAAGAATCTTTTTTTTTGTTAGTTTTATATTTGTTTATAATACAGCCTGTCTAACATTATTTTAAGAAGCTATATCTCCACTATAGCTTTGCAGAGTTGAAAGGCTGAATAGGACCATAACCCAGGTAACACTTTTAGTCTCACAGGGTAATGGTGTCTAAGGTTGCTCGTAAGAGAATGGAGTGGAGAAGAGGTTCCAGGCAGCTTAGTTAATAAGGAGTGGTTTTTAGAGTATACTTGAGGGACTTTTCATTGACCAGCAAGCAAGTCACCTTGAGCATTGTTATGATAGAAAAAAAGGAATACTTTTTTTTCTAGCATGAATAATTTTTATGATATTTAATTTTGAAATATCATTTAGTTTCATTTTCTCAGGGACACACACACACACACACACACACACACACACACACACACACACACACACTCGTGGTAAGTGGCAACAGATGAAATAGGATGGCCATGATGATTTTCCCCACTGTAAGACCTGAGAACCACTGAGAGGCAGAGATAAGGAAAAAGAAATCACCCATACAGTGTTTTATGGCAAGTGGTATAGAAAGGAAAGCCAAAGGTTTGAGTGATTTAAAGTAGGAAGCCCTAGGAAAACAGCACACAGAAATGACCAACTTTTTAAAATCCAAGATTTATCCTACAACAGACAAAACTTCTCAGTCACTGAAAATCATTATTCCACCAGGCCCTACCAACAGTTGCCTTCTGTCATAATCAGTGATGTCGTTTTCAGGAAGATTCTGAAGTCACCATTTTGATTTTGGCCTCTTCCTCTGTATTACGCCAATAGAGCCTAAGAAAAGAGTCATCCATGAGAGGAGGGGAAAAAATATGGCATTCACACGGACATGGGCTCCACAGGTAGTGACTATAGGGGAAGGTCCAGCAAAGAGAGCTCTACTTGTTAAAGGAAGTGAACAATTTTCAAAGGAACCTGAGTCTTTCCAGGTTGCCTCCTTGACAGAAGGTCCTGCAAAAAAGGCACTGCTTATCAATAATAAGAAGAAACCTGAAGAAAATGCCGTTTCTACATTAGTTAAGGAGAAACCAAAGAGAGTGAAGAAAACTAGAGCAGTGGTTGTTGACATCGGCACAGGCTACTGTAAATGTGGCTATGCTGGAGAGCCAAGGCCGAGCCATATGATTTCATCTATGGTAGGGAAACCTTATATGGAGACCGCTAAAACTGGAGACAATCGAAAAGAAACATTTATTGGACATGAGCTCCTGTACCCTGATATCCGCCTTAAGTTAGTTAATCCCCTGAGACATGGTATCATCGTGGATTGGGATACAGTGCAGGATATCTGGGAATATCTTTTTCTGCATGAGATGAAGATCCCTACAGAGGAACATGCTGTTTTAGTATCAGATCCTCCCCTGGGTCCCTATACTAACAGGGAGAAGTATGCCGAGATGCTCTTTGAAATCTTCAACACTCCAGCAATGCACATAGCCTATCAATCTCGACTGTCCATGTACTCTTATGGAAAGACATCAGGTTTGGTAGTAGAAGTTGGCCATGGCGTTTCCTATGTGGTCCCAATCTTTGAGGGATATCCTTTGCCAAGCATCACAGGTAGGCTAGACTATGCTGGCTCTGACCTTACTGCCTATCTAATGACGCTAATGAATCAATCTGGGAAGCACTTTACAGAAGACCAAACAAACATTGTAGAAGACATCAAGAAGAAATACTGCTTTATGGCTCCTGATCCCATCCATGGGAGCTCCTACACCAAAGATGACATGATTAAATACCAGCTTCCAGATGGAGAACAGATTACTATTGGCCAAGAACGTTTCCTGTGTTCTGAGATGTTCTTCAAGCCTTCCCTTATCAAATCCATGCAACTGGGCCTTCATACCCAGACTATCACCTGCCTCAACAAGTGTGACGTTGCCCTCAAAAGGGATCTCATGAACAACATTTTGTTGTGTGGGGGCAGTACCATGTTGAACGGCTTTCCTGTCCGTTTGCAGAAGGAGCTGTCTAAGATATGCCCAAATGACACACCTACAGTGAATGTGTTACCTGAAAGGGATTCTTCAGTATGGACTGGAGGGTCAATCTTGGCCTCACTCCAAGGATTTCAGTCACTCTGGGTCCAGCGGTCAGAATATCAGGAACATGGGCCTTTCTTCTTATACAGGAGATGTTTCTGAAGCCAAAGCATGCCTGCTGGAACATGTACTCATAACTCATTTAACTGCTACCTCTCAGGACAGTGGCCCAAGACATATCTAAAATACCATAACTCGTGTTCTATTCAATAATTACCATGTTCCAATTCACAGTGTAAATGATCTTCTGTTGCTTGATTTCACAGGAATGGCAGACATCACAAATATGTCACCTGACTTAGGTATTTGCCAAAATGAAAGGGTAGTGGGAGGAGGGAAGTTTAAAGGCATATACTATATTGTTTAACCTAAAAGACTTATTTTTCCTTTAGAGGAAAAAGAGTCTAGTTTATTTACTTACATGCAATACTTAGTGCAATTTTATATTTATATATTTGGGGGAAGAAGTTCCATTAGTTATAATGTTGATTTATAGCTTAACAGGAGAGACAAAAAAAAATGCATATTTTCTCCTCAAAATTGGGGTAAAATTATCCAAGAAGAGAAATGTTCAAGATAACAAGAAAAGGCCAATCATCTGTATATATACTCTGTTGGAAGTGGGCAAGCAAGGCTCAGCACGGTACAGACATAAATAAGGAAATCAGCAATTAAGTAGAAGCAACTTGGACTACAGGTTCACAAACCTCTGCTAGGTCATTCATAGAAAAATGCAAATTTACATTAAAATTTTCCACCCAGGGCCATATATATCAAATAAATATGAAATTATTCATAGAATTGGGCCTGTCAGTAGATCATAAACTTAAAAAATTGTAGGTATGAATTATTTCATACCTTTCCAAACAGGCTAGAGCAGGTTATATTTGTCACAGCTGATTATAGGAATGGGCCAACCATACAAAGAAGTACATAATCAACTGGCATAATGCCAGGCACTGTGCTAAGGGCTGCATAGTCAATACCCAGATGGGTCACAGACCTAATCATTCCCATTTCCCCAGACAGTCAAGACACAAAGTTCTGATGGTGGGAAAAGTCCCTTTGTCAATACTGTCAACCTTAGGTGAGTCACTTAAACTTCCTGGGCCTGTTTCCTTATTTGCAAAATCAGTTGGATTAGATGGTCTCGAGTTATCTTCTAGTCCTAGATCTGACACTTATTCATTAATTTATTCCATACATATATACTAAATATCTTTGTGTAAGGTACCATGGGTGAGACAGTGTGATACAGTGGAAAGAGTGCTAGCTTTAGTCAGGTTTCTATCTGTGAGATCTTGGACAAGTCACTCAGTGTTTCTGAGTCTCAATTCTCTCTTCTGGAAATAGAGGGCCAGAATGGACAACTTCTGAAGTCCCTCTAGTTCTAACTTTCTGATCTTTGATTTTGCATAAGATACAATCCCTGCCACCTTCAAAAAGCTTACCTAACCATGGGCAAGTTATATTCTCTCTAGGCTTCATTTTTGTTATCTGCAATTACACTGTTGGATTTATAAGGCATCCTTTAGATTTAAAATTCTGTGACACCTAGGTGAATGCCTGCTGTTGATGTGCTAAGGTGCTGGCTAAGCGCTATGGCAGCACGGGCCTTGCATTTGTGGCACCTTGAGCCCATTTAGGGAGATGACATGCACAGAAATAATTGTACTAGTGTTGTGGTTGAAGTAGGCGGCCAAAAACTAGAGCATTTTCTTCTACTGTGTATTTTCCACCCAAGTCTGGAAATGTTCTTAGGAGTTCCAGGGTGGTGAAGCATAGTGGGAGTAAATATCAACTTAGGCTGGGTTACTCTAGAGCCAACTCATCCTTGGTCTAGAATCCCTTTGGTTGTAACCCTTCTCTCTTCCCTCCCCTCCCTGCCCTTCACTACATAAAAGGACAAATTTATTAACTCTAACAGAAATCTAGACCTGTGTGGAATAAACTTCTGGCTCTGCCTCCCACATATCTGGGCTTCAGGGTACTCCTGGCAAAAATGAATCATATAGAACAATTTGCTACTGCTCAGGATCATCTACAGGAGTGGTTTCCAAAGTGAGGGCCACTACCCCCCAAAGCAGTCGATGGGAGGATGGTTCATGACAAGCCAACCGGAAGGTGAGAAAACGAGTGGCATCCCACTCTTCCTATGGTAGTCAACTGAAGGCTTGTTTCCAGCATGCCATTATTATCTTCACTCATTATCATCTACCACTCCCCTACTCTCACCATCGTGCAAATTCCTTATCTCCACCTTCCAGTGCCAAGCAACAATTCCTCAGGTGTTTACAACTTAATACTGGTCCAGGCACCCACATTTACCGTGTAATTGCCACTGGGAAAATTCTCATTTCCTAATGTACTCACACCCTACTCCCAAAGCATCTCATGGTTGTGGCAGGCACCCACCCTCAAGTTGCTGGTAGTCCAAGTTAGCGAACAGTTGGCACACAGGACGAGTAGGCATGGATGGGTTACCATCTGCAGTGCTAATCTCATCTTTTCCCTTCTCTGTATTTCCCTACTTCTGTTAAGAGCACGACCACAGTCACCCAGGTTTATTACTTTGGTACTATCCTCAGTTCTTCACTCTTGTGCACTCCACATATCTAATCAGTTGCCACATCTTGTTTTTACTTTATTCCCTTTTGTCTAGTCACACTATTATTCTCTAGTTCAAACCATCAATGCTTCTCACCTATATTGTTGCAGTAGTGTTTGAATTGTTCTCCTTGTGTGGCCTTTCCCCATTCTAATCCATTCACCTCCGAGATGCCAAAAAGACTTCCTACAAGTATGAATCTGCTATCCCACCCAGTAAACTGGAAGCTCTCTATTGGCTCTAGGATCAAATACAAACTCCTGGCTCCAACCTACCTTTTCAGGTTAATTATATATCACTTCCTTCTGTACTCTGGGATATAGCCAAACTATCCTTACTACTCCTTACAACACGTCTTCCTTCTCTGTACCTCTGGCTGTCCCTCACCGCTGAAAGGTTCTCTCTCTTCACTCTTACCTCATAAAATCCTTTGTTTCTTTCAAAGCTCACCTGGAATATCACCTTTTAGATGAAGCTGTTCCTGATTCTCCCAGATCCTAGTGCCCACCCTTGCAAAATCACCTTGAACTTTGTATATATCTTGTATATGCTCATTTACTTACATGTGTTCTTCTCAGGACAGGATGTGAGCTGTTGGAGGGCAGGGAGCATTTTAGTCTTGCCTTTGTATCCTGGTACTATGACTTGTTCAACAGACATTGCCTTGAACATTACCTCCTGTGGGACCTTTCTTGGTTTGTACAATACACATAGATAATGATCCTAAATTAAGGGATGCCACTTTGTACATGTTTTTCCCCGGTTTCACTAACCTTTCACAAGGTAAATGAATTCAACAAATATTTATTAAACATCCACATGTGCCACGTACTGTATGAGCTCTAGAAATGCAAAAATAAGCAAGCCACAGTCCTCATGCTCTCCAAGAATTTACAATCTAGTAGCAGTAAGGCAATGTATACAGATACATATATCTAAAACTAGAATATGATAAATGCTAAGAGGAATGCAAAGTGTTGAGATGAGGGAAAACTCGTTTCAAATTAGGAGAGATTAGGGAAGGCTTCATGGGAAGGTTAGCATTTTACTCTCTTGAAGGAGGGCAATATATCAGAAATAGGATGAAAAGTGTGTGTATTTGTGTATGTGGTAACAGGGGAGCAGGTTTAGGGAAATATGAACAAAGACACATTAGGAAGTATAGGATCCATTTGGAAGAGAAAGAGGGATCCAGTTTGGCTGAAGTAGAGAGTACATGATAAGAAATAGTATGAGAAAGTAAGAAAGAGAGTTTGGAGCCAGATTATGGAAGGACTTGAACACTGTATTTAGCAGGCCAACAGCGAGTTATTCCTGTACTTGAAAGCTTCTTACTTGGGCTGGCTGGGCTATAAAAAACTCAACACGCCTCACCCTAGTCGATCTCTTCCCATTTGCTTATATTCACTCAACCAATCAAGAAGTATTTAAGTGTCTAGCATGTGCCAGGCTAAAAATACAAAAATACCCTCAAGGACCTTATATCCTAAATAAAAGGAATTTTTCTTTTGGGGGTGGGAAGGCAGGATGAAGGGAATGTGAGGGCAGTGGTGGTGGTACTGGCAAGACAGGGAAAGGCTTCATGCAGGTAGGGCAATTCGCTTAGGTACTATGTTAGTATATTCTTTAGAAAAGGATCATTGCAAATTGATTACGTTATGTATGTGTATGTATATACATATATACATACATTTTATTTTTGAATTTTTTTGATTCAACTTTAACATTTTTATTAAATATTTATTTACATCACTTTAATTTCTCACTATATCTCTCACCTCCACAGTACATGCAGTGTTCCACATCTTTGGATCTCCTCTCCAAAGAGAGGGAGGTACATTTTCATATCTCTTTTTCAGGTCCAAGACTGCTCATTATAATAACAGATTTTTTTATTCTTTCCATTTTTCACTGTTGAAATCATTTGCATATACATTTTTCCGTGGTTTAGCTTACTTCACCTTTTCCTCCAGGAGTGTCTGTATTCTTCATAGCACAATACTATTCCATTACATCAAGAATCACAATTTGTTGAGCCATTTTTCAAATGATGTAGTCTTAGCATTCTAAAGGGATCTTGTGTTCTTACTAATGCTCCAGGCAGTAAAAGAACTCCTTTGGGATTCTAGTAAAATGTAAACTCCTCAAGAGGAGGAACTATTTTTAATTTTTGGATACATTTTTCCAAAGCCTCAAAGATAGTATGTGCTTAATAAATGCTTGTTGAATGCCAAATTATCAGAGCCCAAACTCTAATCTGATTCAACTCTTAAGTAGTGGGATCTTACTTGTTACAGGGCTTACAAGAAGCAAAACTCTGCAAATATTTTATTCCTATTCCAAGCTAAAACTTTGCTTTTTATAATTTGCTTAAAGCAGTATCAAATACGACAAATTTGACTAGAGATTTATCAGAAAGTTACCAATGACAAAGAAGGGTGTAAACATTCTCATATTAGTATTCTATATCCATCCAGAGTAATAGAAATAGAATTTCTTGGTGGTTTCTGCATATGAGTTGCTTTCGGGTTTTATTTTGTATAAAAGCCAGCTCATGGAAGGTTTCGGACAAGACATAACGGCCATGAAGTGGCAATCAGAATAAAGTAGACTGCCAAGCTCAACATTTGTATTCCCACACCCAATCTGCCTTTTAATTCCAACTTCTTTCCTCAAAACAGGGAAGAAAATCATCCTGAAAAATCTGCTATTTGTCAAAAAGAATGGAATGGAAATCAGAATACCAATAATTAAAACAAAGTAGGATCTGAGATTCTGCATAAGACATCTTAATAAAAGCAAAGTCTTTGGAGAACCAGGAGTTATTATTACATTATATATATATATGCTATGTAGGCACTCTGCTAAATTCTGTTGTGAATGTAACAGTATCTCACAGGCATTTCAATTTGAGTCCGTCTTCTAACACTGCTATCTCATTAGCAGTAAGTATCAAGGCAGTGTAATAGTCCACATGTACGAACCAATTACAGGAGGTAAAAACTCAACACCTAGAAGTTTATGGTTTGTTAGGGTATAACCTGTAATTTTTATGAAAGTAACAATTGCCAACTAAGTGAAATTGATAAATAGGAGAGTTTAAAAATTCAGTGGAACCATAAAACTTTTTATTATGCTTTAGTTAACTTGGAAAAAGACACATAAATCATCAATTTTTACAACTCTTTAGGTGGTACAACTACTAATAGCTTATTTTTCATACATACTGTCTTTTGCCAAGAACTTCAAGCATGTTATGGGCACGATGTCATTTGCCCTCACAATACTCTTGTGAGGTAGGAAGCAGGAATCATTCTCATTTTAAAGATGGGGAAATGAGGCACAAAGACCAAGTGATTTGCTGGGTGGTAAAAAGAGAAGCAGTCCTGACTCCTGCACTACACAGGACTCACTAACTTTTAAAACACCATGAATAAGGTACTTGTAACTTGAAACTGTATACATTCTGAAGTCTCTGTTTCAAAATGAGAAGTACAGCATAAGACAATGAAGAGATGAGTACTCTGAAAAAAATAATTTTAAGGTGTTAGCCAAGGTCTGACTCAAAAAGCAACAGTAATTTCAGAGGATATTCCTCTTATATTCTTCGAGGTTCAGACAGTAGGACCTCAAGGGAGGGATGGAAAAACACTGAGATGAGTTTAAAATAATACTATTCACCCTCAGAGCACCTCCAAATGGCATCAGAATTACTCTAGAAGGCTCAGTTTCCACTGGATAGTTTTATTGATCTTCGGAGGTATAAAAAGTTCTGCACCTGAAAAAAGGGGGAAAAAAACAGAAAAATCTGAATGATACAAAGAAAGATAACATCTAGCTTTAAGAGGAGAAGCTAAAATTATATGCTAAAAGGAAATGAACCTGTGGATTCTACGACTCTGGAAATCCCTCATTTCAATATCTGGCTGATACACTGTTAACAGGAACCAAGGAAACAAATGATTCTGACCTTACTTTTTTGTCTATTATCAGAAATGATTATACTTGATGCTCTTGGGAACTACACAGTGCTTCCCTTACGTACACATGATGGAAAGACAATACTCATTTAAGAGGTTCAACACTAAGAAATATAACTTGGTGGTGAGGTTGAGATTTTGTCCTCTTCCCAATGACCTGCTATGGTCATTTTTCTAGTTTCCTCATGTCACTGTATCCAACTTCAGGAGGCAACAACAAGATCCTAGAGTCACTGTCACCACCTTAATCAGATTCCACGTAAAATCTTGATTTAATAAGAGGTTTTCCGGATGATAGTTTACAATTACAAAGCTCTATCAAATTTGATACAATCAAATTCTAATATAATCAAGGAATCTGGATACTCTTAATGATCCTCAAGTTTGCTACGATGGGATTTGACTTGAATGCTAAACCATTCCTATCAATCTAAAGCCAAGAACTTATGGAAACAATGACTAGAAAGCTGGAATGACATAAAATTTTTTCTTCAGTTTAGTAACATATTCATATTCCTTTGAAAAACTAACCCTGGAATACAGGAGCTGAAGCCTTTTGTTGTCGATAAGAAGCCATGATGCTGTTTGCAGTTGAATTGGGACCCATAACCTAAAGCAGAAAACGCAAATATTATTGGCAGCACATTCAAGAATAATTTTTTTCTTGTGGGTGCAAATTGTTTATAGCATTCAAATGATCTACCAGATGAATGAAGACAGGGCTTTTCCAAGGCACTTTGAGAGCATAGCCACACAATTCTCAGAGGAACAAGAATGTGTGAACTCCTACAAATGGCTTTATTTAGCTCTTTCAATTCTTCATTACTAGAGAAAAAAGCGTCGATTTTGAGGATCTGAACCCTGTTATACATGTATACATGCATGCAAAAAAGAAATTGCTGGGAATTCACTAACTGATGCTACATTAGAGCTTATGACCAAAAAAAAGTGTTCTGTCATTTTCCCCAAAGTTGCATAGATTTGGTGTCTGACAAGATGATGACTGTTCAGTAAAACTATAAGGAGAAAAAAAGAGATTATAAACTTGTAGACAGCTTATTTACCCAAAAAGTTGCAATCTCAATGAAGATGATCACTTTAAAAAATATATAATTTTGACTTTCACTAGGTGACAAGTATAGGTAAGCATTCAAATATATGAACAAGAGCATAAGAAAAGAAAATAAATTTAAGTATATAAGCTGAAACCCAGCAGCAAACAAACAAAAACCCAAACTGAATCCCAAAAGATTATCATATGGCCTAGTGAGGCAGCATAACAAAGGAGATAAAGTGCTGGTCTCAGAGCATGTTCAAGGCCCACCTTGGGCACATCCTTGCTATGTGACCAGGGGCAAACAGCTTAGCCTCTGACTGCCCAAAGCAATTCCCTAAGACCCAAAGTTGCAGAACAGTTGCTGACCTCCTCTACCAAAGGCATCACAGGTCTGAACTACCCCTAGCCCCACTCCCATCATGGAATGATGAGTATGAGAAATTGAGAGACATATGGGGAGGCTTATATGACCTAATGCAGCATGAAGAAAGGAAAACCAAGAGAATATATGCCAACAACTAGTAATAATGTATATAAAACAAAACTAAAAGGCATCTAAAGTCAAGAGGCCCTCAGACCTCATCTGGAACATTGGGTTCAGTTCTGGGCACTACAGCTGAAGTACACTGATAAGTAGAATACTGTCTATGGGATGGCAACCAGGATAATGAATGATCATCCTGAGTCTACAGAGGGTCCCAAAAGTCTTAGTACAGTTTTAAGTTTAGCTGTAAGCTAAGCTTAGCTTAAAACTGCACTAAGATTTTTGGGACCCCCTATATTAAAGGAACTAGAGAACTTTAGCTTGAAAAAGATTCAGGGAGCACGTGATAATTGTGTCAGACAATCTAAAGGGCTGTCATGTGGAAGAAGCACTAGACTTATTCTGTCGAGCTCTGAAAGGCAATGGGTGGGAGTTGCAAAGAGACAAATTTTGCCTTAATGTCAGGAAAAGCTTCCTAATAATATAAGAACTGTCCAAAAGTGAAACGGACTGCCTCTAAAGCTGATAAGTTCCTCTTCCTTGGAGGTCTTCAAGCTGGGGCTGGATAGCCACATGTCAGGTATGCTTATGGTGAGGATTCCTTTTGGGTAAGAGTTAGACAAGATGGTCCCTTCCAACTCTCAAATTCTGCAACTCTGTGAAATGCTATGATCAATCCTGGACTTACATACAATCTTCTTTTTCTTTTCCTTTTTGGAAATATTCTGGATGATATCTGTTAAATTTGTAATAAAAATAAAAGACTCACTATGTGTTCCAGGCAAATTATTTAACCTTTTTTTTCAGGCTCAGATTTCTAATTTGTAAGGTACTTAACTTACCTACTTCAAAAGGTATATATGTGAGGATCAAATGAAGTAAAATATGTCAAAATGATTAGAAAACCAGAAAGTTCTTAAGTCTCAAGGATTACAGTATTCATGCATCCCATTTCTGTTCATTTTTAAACCTTCCTTTTACAGTTGAGGGAATTCATCATTCTGTCCCTTTTTATTGAGTTGCCTTAACTAAATTTTCTTGGATTTTTATGTTGTTTACCAGTCAGTTTACCAATCAAAAAAAAAATCCAAGGAAATTTATTTTTGGTAACTCAATGAAAAGAACCAAATCATAAGTTCTCTTACTTATAAAATGGAAGTTTAAAAACAAAGCAATGTAATATATGAATTATGTAATCTCTGAGAATCAAGTTAGAGAAAACTTACAGGAACAGCTGGATTCTGCTGGCGGGAGGGGGTCCAAATTTCTGGCAGCGAACTTTCCATCAGCTGCAGGGTATCCTCAAACATTTTCTGTAACTCTCTTGCTTGTTCATCATACTCAAAGAGAAAGAGTACTTTTAAAAGCTGATAAACCTCATCTAGGAAGAATAAATTTGAGATGTCATCAGGACTCAGAATAAGCAACTGCATCCTCAATCCCTTCAAATGCTGTTGAAGGGCTCACAGGCTATTTTTTCCAAAAGGAATATAGATAATTTCATACACTACAGGTGGAATCCTTACATATCCCTCTCCTCCAAACAACAAACTGCAGTTTTCAGTGGTTCTGCTTCATGGAAAATAGTCGTACTGTGGGTTACTCTACCTTTCCACTGGTTTCCTTTAATTTGGTGGTGGTGTTAAGAATTTAGGTTTGATTGCTCATTGTGGGAATCCAGGGTGAAATTTTTATTACTTCTGAGTGTTCGTTTCTTTTTTTTTTTTTGGTGAGGCAACCGGAGGTTAAGTGACTTTATGTGTCAAGTGTCTGAAGCCAGATTTGAACTCAGGCCCTTCTGACTCCAAGGCTGGAGCTCTATCCACTGCGCCACCTAGCTGCCCCCCAGAGTGTTCATTTCTTATGAACTATGTTAACTCCAAAGGCAGGGCCATTTCATGAGGGCATCAGACATGACTCCTTCTTTGTTCAAAGCCTCCTGTTTCTTATGACTAGTATATTACACCCATTACTAGTTTCTTGTCAGCCAGTAAGTCTGTCCAAAAAACTCAGCACTTTCCTCCTAAGGGGCAGCTTCTACATGAACCAACATATTTGGCACACAAGCATCAAGAACATACCCTTCAGCTTTTCAACGCTGTTCACCACTTCACCCAGGGCTTCCAAAAGGGCCAGGTCTTCCAGTGGACTCCCCTCTTTCAGGCTGTGCTTCTTTCTTTCTGCTTTTCGACGATTCTTGGAGGACCTCCTATTAGATTTGAGAATTAGTTTCAAAAAGGAGAGCTTCTCATGGGAGAATAAGAGAACCTAAGTAGAGTGGGAGGGTAGTGATCAATCGCTAAATAACTGAGACCTACTATTAAAGAAGCAATTGCCTAAAGGAGATTTAAATTTGGAGTAGATTTAGAATTGGAAGAGCCCTTAAAGTCATCTAGTCCAGATTCTTCATTGGGATGACGAAATTGAGGCCAAGAAAAGTTTAATGATTGCCCAAAATTGCACAAGGAGTATATGGCAGGGCAAATTCAAACTCATGTCCTGTGCATCTTGCTGCCTCTCTGCAGGCAGCTTAAAGTCGGAATCCCTTTGTGTTTGGATGCAAAACAAATGTGCAGATTTAGCTATGCTGGCAATATCAAACAAACATACACACAATACACACTAAAACCCATCAGGAGTTGTGAAACTAGAAATGATGAACCTTTAGGGGAAGAAGTGGCTACATGATCATATCATCTGTAATAGATAAAAAGGAGGCTACCAGGCACAGTCCAATCCAAATCCTAGGCTCACGGAGAGCAGATTTCACAAAAAAGGTAGGCCCTATTTTGAGGGCTATGATTCTACAAGGGAAGTTAGTTTAAAAGAGATGGGATGCTCTCAAGAAAGAATTTCTGATGAGACAAACAAAAATGATTCCAATATGGCCCATAAGGGAGAAGTGACTAAAGGACTCAAGTTTCTTAACACAGAAAAATTTATTGACAAACAAACTGAAGCAAGGCCAGGTAACTGTGGATGAATGTAAATGAATGAAGATCCCATAAAATACTACTAGAATTAAATTTGTCCACAGAAGCTTGAAATGAATGCTAAAGACTTTTTAAAGGGCTTTTTAATCTGTCCTGGGAGAGGAAAATAGTGGTCTTTGGCTGGACAACAATAACAGGAGGGATGAAGAAAAGGTACAATTAACGTAACTACATTTTCGCTTTTTTCCCTCTACCAAAAAAAAATTATCTTCAAACAACTAAATACAGGGGAAAAATACTAATGGGAAATGAAATCCCAAGATAGTAATTGATGATATGGTATTAGGAGACCTAGCTGCCTTAATGAGTTTGCATTATTATTCAGATTAAGTTTAAATACCATTTAGTCCTAACATCTTATTTTACAGACAAGGAAACTGAGGTTTGGAAGCAATGGGCAACCTGCCCAAGGCCAGCAGCAAATTAATGGCAGAACCAGGCTCTCTGCTTCTAAAATCAAGGTTCTTTCCACTGCTGCATCCTGCAACCTCTGTCCTAGAAATACCAAACACTTGCATTTTATAGCATGAAGACCACAGTGCTAAGAATACAGTAAGTTGTTGAATGATCAGTATACACACGCAGATATCCTGGAGTTACTATGAGAGTATCTGCCACTCATGTCACTCCCACTCATGCTGCTAGCTTCCGAGAAGAGGTCTGACTCCTGGCCATTTGGCATGTCATCATCTGTAACAGAAGAAGGATAAACAAAAATGTTTTTATTCATAGTCAAAGACATACAAAAACACTCATTCACTTCTGAGTTTCCCTTCCAAACATTTTAATGTGACAGGGTAAGATGACCACGGTAACCTGACACGGAATGGAAAAATACACAATTAGAAAATAGGTCAAAACCACAAAAGTTCACTTGAAAGTTAAACAAGACCATTTAAGATTCACTATAACTAAAGTTATTTTTCTGATATTACCATGAAGTGCCTTACTCTCATGCAAATTAAATCATTTAGCACTCACCTAGATTCCCTTGTTGTGCTTGTTCCTTTAACTCTCGAACCACCAGTAAACGCTTTCTATGGCGGGTGAAAATGGCTGTTTGAGAGTCCATAAACACCACATAGTTTTTTTGGGCTGAGTGATAAAATGGAAAAAAAAATTTTGGAATGGTTTTAAAGGAAAGAGGCACAAGTAAAAATTAAAAAAAACAAAAACAAAAACCCAGGAAGAACAAGGGTCTCAGAAGTTTTCTAACCAAGATAGCAAAATTCTCACTAGCCAATATAATATGTATCTTACAATTTAGTAGGGCTAAAAAGGAAAGTGAGAGTCCAACCTCCAGTCTGTGAGGCAGTATTATGGTTAATAAAGCACTAAAATCAATATAGAAATTGAAATAAAGAGCTAATTTTATCACCTGACCAAATCTTGGTGAGAAAACTTTTCTTAGGGCATCAAGAAGAGAAATCAGCAAAATAAACAGAAGAATGAGGCATCAAAGTGGGAGAACTAAAGTGTATGATATCTTAAAAATCAAGGAAGGTAAGGGCAGCGAGGGGATAGAGCACCAGCTCTGAGTCAGGAGGACCTGAGTTCAAATCCGACCTCAGACACATAATACTTCATAGCTGTGGGACTGTGGGCAAGTCATTTAACCCCAATTGCCTCACTAAAAAAAAAAAATCAAGGAAGGAGAAGACATCAAGGAGGGCCAACAATGCTAAATTATGCAAAGAAGTCAAGGAGGACAGGGATTGAAAAATAGCCATCAGATTTATAAGACAGGCATATATAATAATGGCTTTAAGCTTTAATAGCTTAAAATTACACTAAGACTTTTTATACATTCTGTATAGTGCTTTAAGGTTGGCCCAGAGCTTTACAAATATTAACTCATTTTATTCTCATAACAACCCTGTGCGGAGGCAAACAGGGTTAAGTGACTTGTCCAGGGTCACACTGTTAGTAAGCATCTGAGGGCAGATTTGACCTTGAACTTGGGTCTTCCTGACTCAAGGTCCAGTGCTCTATCGGCTGTGCTGCCTAGCTTCATTGTCCAGAGTGTGACAACACTGGAAAAGAAAATGGTCAGGACCTCTCAGTGTCTTCCTCTCTGTTTCAAATGAGGCATTGTAAAGCATGAGTCCCCATTTAACAAGATGAAATACTCACCTTCTAAAATGGAAGGTTTAATATTTGTCTCTATGATGTCAAGTCTGTTGTATTTGTAAACCTAAAAGCAAAAACTCAACAATAATAACAGGAACAAAGGGAACAGGCCTCCACCAATGATAAATAAATATTCTTTACGAATAGCTAATTTTAGAAATTGAACATCCTTCCCAGTGAATTACTAAATGACAGCTTGGAGTACTGGGTTCAATAAAAGCTAAGAAAAGTAAAGCTTATTAATTTCAGACCAAATGTAAATATATATATTAGGGCTGAGCTCATTTCCATATTTATAATGAAAGAACAAAAAATATGAGCCTTATCTAAATATATTTCCTCAGACCCTCAGCCTAAAAGCATGAGTTCACTACTTGCCATCAGCCAATGAAAGACTTCAGGTGACTTTCTTTCCATTTTCACTACATTAACTCAATACCCATCAAAACAACAAGTCTGAAAAAGCTCTTACCAGTCTTAATGCTTCTTCCCAATTAGCTCCTTCTAACAGCAATAGTACAGCTTCTTCATAGTCCTGAGAGGGAAATAAAAGGTAAGGTAATCATTTATGCATAATCCTCAACATTCAATAGCTTTCAAAAATGTTAAAATAAGTGAAATTAAGAAATTGTCAAAATTCTATAATCAAGCCAGATCAACCTCTGTATCCATTTAAAGGACAACATAAATTAGGGTTCTGACTACTTTTATAATCTTAAGTGGTATTTAAATTGTTTTCTATTCCTTAATGTGTACCTGCTGAGAAAAAGAAGAAGGCACAAAGAACACTGAATTGGGAGTCAGCGTATGGCACTAGGAAGCAAAGTATTGTGTTTCACTTCCAGATCATCCACTAGCTCACACTGATTTAATTCACACTTCTGAAATTCAAGTTATATGTACCCTTGATCTCCTAATAATTGTACTGATCTTTGGAAGCCAGAATCACAAAATGTTAGAATTAGATGAGGCTGTAAAGATGACCTAGTTATTTCATTTGAGGATGTCCTCATTTCAGCTTGAGGAGGTCCAGGGAGGGGGAAGCTCATCCTCAAAGTTGTATATCTAGTTCCATGGCAGAGGAAGGATCTGAATCTAAGTTTTCTGATTCTAAGGCCTGTGTTCTCTTCCTACTTCTTCAGCTAAGCTGACATGTTATAGGTATACCTCAAAATTATGGATACATTCCAGAAAAAAGAGCTATATGAAGCATATTTATGTAAACTTAAACCATGGTTCTACACTACATCAACACCATCCCCTCTGTTTAAGGCCATACCATTCATTTATATGAAGCTTTTCCCATCTTTCTTGTCTATCATCTGACCACCAGGACATTCATCTATTATTTTCTTTTTAAAAAACACTTTCTTATTGATATCATTTGTTTTTACATTGCTAAAATGATTCTCAGTATTCCCCCTCACCTCACACCCCCTCCACCCCAATTATCTATTGTGGGATGGCTTTTGATCTTATATATACAGGGTTTCTCAAAAGTCTTAGTGATGTTTTAAGCTATCAAAATTTAAGGAAGAGGGCACAAAGCTATTAAAGATGAAAACTCCACTAAGACTTTTGGGACACCTGATACAGATATATCTTTCTATCTACATGTATCTAAGTTGTCTATATATTTTGGATACAAAATCCTTATCTGAGAAATTTGACACAAAGATTTTTCCCCATAGGACCACTCTCCTTCTTAACCTAGACACATTAATTTTCTTTGTGTAAAATCTTTTCAATTTTAAGTATATCTGTAGTATCTTTTGTAATTATCTCTTATTTCTAATTATTTTTGAGAATACATCTGCCTACAACTGTGAAAGGTAAATAATCTGTCTCTTCTAATTTTTTTTTTTATGGAATGACCATAATATGAAAATATTAAGATTATTTATCCATTTTGAACTGTGGAATATGGCATAAGAGGTGGTCTAAGGCTAATTTCTGTCAGACTGCTTTCCAGTTTTCCCCTAAGTTTTTATCAAATAGGGAGTTCTTTCCTAGGTAATTTATATTTTGGGGTTTATTGAACACTGGGTTAATGAGTTCCACTATTTCAGCTTCTTCCTTGTCTAGTGTATTCCACTGAACTACCTCTCAATTTTTTAACCAAATGACTTTGATAGCTGCTGCTTTATAATCTCCCACTATTCCCAATGACTTTAGTTACTGACATTTAATCCTCACTACCTTCTCCCCTACCATCATCCTAGCAGATTTCAACATTCAATTCACATAAGTCAACACTAATTATAATGACCAAGCTTGACTCCAAAGAAGAGTTAAGAAACTATACCTCCCTGCCTTCTTTGCAGAGGTGGGGCCAATGGATATGGAATATTGCATGTGTTGTCAGACAAGGTTATGGCGGTTCCTTTGGCTGAATTGCTTTTTTAAAGGTTTTCTTGGGTGGAGCCAAGATGGCAGAGTAAAGGCAGCAAACCAGCCAAACTCTCCCATCGTTCCTTCCAAACAACTTTAAAATAATGCCTCAAATCAAATTCTGGAGTGTCACAGTCAATAAAAGGTAAGAGTGAGACATTTTCCTAGCCTAAGATGACTTAGGAGGTAGGCAGGAAAGGTCTGTGTCACTGGGGTGGTGGCCAGCCCATTGAGCAGGCCAGATGGCAGCACCAGTGGTGGGCCTTGAAAGAATTAGTGACAGCAGTTTGTAGAGCTCTCAGCCTAGAGCTGGTAAGGATGTCAGACAGCTGGTCAGAAAGAGAGACTCTCTGCAATTGGTATATTCAATTTTCCCTCCCGATCTGGTCTGTGTATTACTGGAAATTTAGGATTACATAAAACTGCATGAGGCAATAGAAAACAGAGGAAATGACAACACAAGCAGGTAGAGAGGGATACCCCAACGAATTAGTTTGAGATTTGTGGTGAAATCATGTCTTTTGGGCACTATTTGCCCATATAACAATTTACTCTTACAAATGACCTGTATAACAATATTCTCCCTTACTTCCTATTTCCTAGTCAATAAGGGATTATTTAAAGCACAACTACTAAAGAAGTAAAAATTATACTCTTTAACAAATAAAGTATTAGTGCATTTTTCAAAGCAGACCTCTGCTCTAACAACTACTATAAAGCATTTTCAATAATGCAGAGAAATTATACTAAATTTCTGGGTTTCCAAATATCAAATCTTTCTTGTTTAGCATATTAAAGAGACGTGCTACAACACATCCCGCCAAAAGAAGAGGTTTACGAACTTCACAAATTAGGACATACTAATTTTTAACTTTGTTGACTAGGACTGGTACAGATTGGTGAAGGAAGTTAACATGAAGGAAAGAGAACAGATTTTACCTCAGCATACTGCTCCAAAACTAGGGCTGCATCACTGTGTTTCCTCTGATCTGCTAGTTTTCCTGTAAGAAAAGGATGTTATTCATCAGTTGCTCATGGGTAGGCTGAGATAACATAATAAAAACGACAATTCTACCTAAATTTATTTACTTATTCAGTTTCATACCAACCAAACGAGCAAAAAATTATCTTATAGAACTAGAAAAAAATAATAACAAGATTCATCTGGAAGGACAAAAGGTCCAGAATACCAAGGGAACTAATGAAAAGAAATTCTAGGGAAGGTGGCCTAGCTGTACCAGATCTTAAATTGTATTATAAAACAACAATCATCAAAACTACTTGGTACTGGCTAGGAAATAGAGTGGTGAATCAGTGGGATAAGTTAGGTATGCAAGACACAGTAGTCAATGACTACAGTAATCTATTATTTGATAAACCCAAAGACCCCAGCTTCTGGGGATAAGAACCCACTCTTTGGAAAAAAAACCACTGGGAAAACTGGAAAATAGTATGGCAGAAACCAGGCATAAAACATATGCCAACACGAAGTCAAAATGGGTACACGATAAAAAGGCTGATACTATAAGCAAACTGGGAGAGGAAGGAATAGTTTACCTGTTAGATTTATGGAGAACAGAAGAATTTATGACCAAACAAGAGATAGAGAACATTATGAAATGCAAAATGGATAATTTTGATTACATTAAATTGAAAAGTTTTTGCACAAAGCCAATGCAACCAAGATTAAGAGGGAAAACAGAAAATTGGGAAAGAATTTTTATAACCAGTGTCTCTGATAAGGGCCTCATTTCTAAAAATATATAGAGAACTAAGTCAAATTTATAAGAATACAAGCCATTCCCCAACTGATAAATGTCAAAGGATATGAACAGGCAGTTTTCAGACGAAGAAATTAAAGTTATCTATAGTCATATGAAAAAATGCTCTATTGATTAGAGAAATGCAAATCAAAACAACTCTGAGGTACCACATCACACCTATCAGATTGGCCAACATGACAAAACATGAAAATGATAAATGTTGAAGATGTGGGGAAAACTGGAACACTAATGCATTGTTAGTGGAGTTGTGAAACGATCCAACCATTTTGGAGAGCAATTTGGAACTATGCCCAAAGGACTATAAAAAAGTGCACACCCTTTGACCCAGCAATAGCACTTCTAGTGCTGTAGCCCAAAGAGATCATACAAATGGGAAAATGACCCACACGTACAAAAATATTTATAGCAGCTCTTTTTCTGGTGGCAAAGAATTGGAAATGGAGGGGATGCCCATCAATTGGGGAATGGCTGAACAAGTTGTGGCATATGAATGTAATGGAACACTATTGTGCTATAAGAAATGAGAAACAGGCAGACTTCAGAAAAACCTGGAAAGACTTGTGTGGTCTGATGCTGAATGAAGTGAGCAGAACCAGGAGAACATTGTACACAATAACAGCCACACTGTGCGATGACTAACTTTGATAGACTTAGCTCTTCTCAGCAATGCAAAGATCTAAGACATCTCCAAAGGTCTCATGATGGAAAATGCTATCCACATCCAGAGAAAGAACCATAGAGTTTGAATGCAGATTGAAGCATACTATTTGCTCCTTTTTTTCTGTGTTTTGTTTTGTTTCTTCTTTCTTGTGGTTCCTCCTATTGGTTCTAATTCTTCTTTACAACATGACTAATGTGAAAATATGTTTGATAGGAATACATATATAGAGCCTATATGCCTTGGGGAGGAAGCAGGGGAGGGGAGGAAATTTAAAACTCAAAAGCTTATGGAAGTGAATGTTGAAAACTAAAAATAAATTAATTTTAAAAAATGAAAAAAAGAAAAGGATGTTATTAATTGATAACTTGTCAAGAAAAACCTATTAGAGGGGCAGCAAGGTGGCACAATGTATAGAGCATTGGCCCTGAAGTCAGGAGGACCTGAGTTCAAATCTGGCCTCAGACCAAACACTTGACACTTACTAGCTGTGTGACCCTGGGCAAGTAACTTAACCCCAATTGCCTAAAAAAAGCAAAAAAATCCAAAAAACAAAAAAAAAACCTATTAGAAACCCCTTCAAGTAAATTTATAATAGTATTTAGTTCATACTGCTTTAATATAGGAAAAAAGATATTTTAATCCCCAATCACCTGAAATTAAGAGTTATCAGAGTGCACAGATAAATGCCTCTTTAGAATGGTGTTTTATCAAGATCCTATGAAACTAAGGACAATTCTGTACAGTATTTAAAAAACAGCAAATCCGAACAGAAATGAGAAAAACACAAATTTTAAACATAGCTGATTTGATTAAAGGCAACCTAATTTACTGACTCCCTAAACACAGAGACACATTGAATCAACAGAACAAAAAGATAGAAGAAATTTTATATTTCAACAGATCAACACAACATTTTCTGAAGAAAAAAGTGTTTACATATTACACCATGGATCAGAAAATGAGCTGCTATCTAAGTATTTATTATGCAAACATAAACACGTTGGAGCTTTTCCCGTCTTGTAGCATAGTATTTACCTACTGTTTCAGCAAGAAAAGAGCTACGTGGCGAAAGAGAGAACCAAGTTAAATTTTGCAGTTTATCTGGATTAAGATATTAACCTGAAACATGGGTTTAGATTAAGATTATTTCTATCTACCAACAATGGGAGAAAAAGCAGAGAAAGGAATATAAAAAACAATACCTGGATCAACTTCAGAGCCTAATTAAAAATACACAGAAGAGAAAATGAACAAAGGATAGAGAATCTGGACAGAAGAAATCCAACATTCATGAAGAATGAGAAAATGCTCAAAGTGTGGAAAACAAAGTCTGCAGGAAATACCTCTCAATCACTCGGCAGTTTAGACATGCAAAACATTTTTAGAAAACTTATGAAATATCTTCCTACCTATATCCCTACATGGCTAAAAATTCCATCTTCTTACCTCATGTGAAAAATTTCCTGGAAACTTGGAAAAAGCTGGCTGTGGCATATTTACTTCTAGTTACCTGGGGCTGTTTTAACCTACAGCTCAGGTAAGATGGCCTTTATGGCTTGAATAAAACAGAAGCAGAAAACTGGGAGCAGAAGGAGTAGGGTGGGGAACCTGTGGCCTCAAGGCCACACGTGGCCCTCTAGGGCTTCAAATGTGGCCCTTTGACTGAATCCAAACTTCATAGAACAAATACCCTTAATGAAACAATTTGTTTGTAAAACTTGAACTCAGCCAAAAGGCTGCACACCTACAAGGCCACATATGGTCACGCAAAGCCACCAGTTCCCCACCCCTGGCCTATGACCACTGGAAAAGAAGCACCTTGGGAGCACATGGAAGGATTTTCAGCAGGTGAGAGAAGGAAGACGTATCACAGCATTGTGCACTCTAAAGACAAGCAAGTGAGTGTCTCGAACTTCTTCTACAAAGAAGCCTTAGCACAACAAAGTCTTTGTCCCTTTGGGAAAAAGGCTCTTGGCTACTACCAGAAACGTTCAAGCTGCACTGTAACACTGTCTCCTCTTAGAGCTATATGCCTCCATGGTGCCTGCAAGTCATCTCTCTCCTACACACAGTCTAAAGAGAACTGATGCTTCCTCTAGACAAGACTAAGATGAGAAGAATAAGATGTGGCAAAAACTGAAGAATACTCCAAGTCATTTGGCCCTAGAACTCTTCTTCTGTTGGCTTTTGTTTGGCTTGCAATTCTATACGGCCAAAAATTATTTCATATTTTAGTTATATTCAAAATGTGCATTTTTAAAAAATTATCAATAGGGCTATGAGAGAAGTTCATTTTTTTGGCCAGATGTATAATGATTTATAGGCCAGGATGCTGGGTTATGGCACTTGGCAGGTGTTAAATTGTCCACAAACCCAATGAAATATACAAATAAACTCACATACACATACATACAGGTGAAAGGATACAAAACCGATGAATGATAAAAAGTAAATGAGTGGATGGGCATAAAGACTAAAGTAGGGGCTGAATGGACAGAGACGAGGCTGAAAGACAGGGATGAATTTGGCAGATAAGGAACTACAGGATACAAACAGAACACTATTTCTTCACTACTCAAGTCTCTGTTTATGGTATGACTGTAACGTGCTTCCCAACCAGTGTTGTGGACAAAACAGTGAGTTGAAAAGATCTCTATGCTATGATAGAGTAAATCAGGTTTCTCTGAAGCTCTCTGGCTCCATTTATGTATTGCTAACAGGCTAGTTCTTAACCTGTTTATTCTGAGCCTTTCATTTCCCCATTTACTCCATAATCCACAACCCTCTTACCTCCAAAATTAGAAACTAGCTCTATCCTAAATCGTGGTGGATTTAGGTATTCTAACATTCCCAATCTTAACTGACAGTTGTGTAAATTACCTTACAGTGTGGCATACTAAATTAAGAACGTACAAATGTATCAAAGAAGTAACAAAAAGAAAAGGGTTGCAAAGAACTGGTGAAGTAAGTCTCCAGTCTTACCTGAGAGTGCTCTGCCCAAGCCAGCCAACTGGTCTTTGGTATAGCTCAGCTGAGCTGCCATAGAGAAGGCTTGCTGCCAACTGCCACTGTCCACAAAAGCATCCAGGGCTTTCGCATAGGCACCAGAGCGTGCAAATACTAGTCCTGCTTGTTCAAAAAGATTCTTTTGCTTCAGGTGTTCCCCATAAATGCTACTGATATCCTAAAGTGAATTTAAGGGCAAATAAGAGTACAAAAAATCCAGCATCAATAAAATAGACCCAACAGAGGCTGCCTTGGTCATACATTTTTTTTTTTACCACTCACTTATTTAGGATGATAATATGTCTAAGTATCTTGAAGATAAACCTCAAAGTCAACAATAATGCTGCTGGGCCTAATACTAGTCCAAATAATGCTACCGTAAACTCAACAAAGCCTTGGGATAACAAATCACATACCTTGTATTGTTGAGAATTTGATGGGTACAATTTCAGAGCTTCATTATATAAATTTTTGTCCTTTATCAAGTTTAAACATTCTGGAAAATACTCAGGTCCTATGGACATAGAATTAATTAAAATACAGAATTTAGAATTAGAAGGGACCTAAGAAATCATCTAGTTCAATTGTCCAATTAGTGATTAATCCCATTCAGAATAACCCTGAGAGATAAATCAATCTTTACCACCTGTTTATAAACCTCACTACCTTCAAGGACAGCCTGTTGAAAAACTATTTACTAGGTCATTTTTCCCTCTGTCGAACTGAAATTTGCCACTTTGTAACTTACTCATTTTACTGGAGTAAAAGTTTACTTCATAAATGGCTCACCTACCATAAGATTTTGAGACAGTGTGCTTAATGTAGATTCAATTTCACATATATATGTATGTGGATAACGCTTCAATTATCACGTACTTATATATTACATACACACAGGTGTATATATCACATGTACATGTATATATACAAGGTGTCCTTAAGTCTTAGTGCAGCTAAGCTATTAAAGTTTGTTCTTTAGTAAGTGCTCATTAATCATACCTGTGATTAATGTTTGCTGAATTAATGAAAAACAAAATTGGCTTTTTCATGAACTGGACTCAAGCTAGGTGTCATTTTAAATGAAATTCAGTCTCTTTAAGAATAAGTAAATTTGAAGTTCTTAATCACATATATTTCATGAAGTCATTCATAATCAAGTTGAAAAGAATGATGCAGTGTCCTGTGTTAAGAAAATCTGATTTATTGGGCAGCTAGGTGGCGCAGTGGATAGAGTACTGGCCCTGGAGTCAGGAGGACCTGAGTTCAAATCCAGCTTCAGACACGATACTCACTAGCTATGTGACCCTGGGCAAGTCACTTAACCCCAATTGCCTTGCAAAAAAAAAAATTATGATCATAGCTGAAGTTTTTACTTTTATGTTTAATAGGAATGTATAAGTAGAGCCTGTATCAGATTGCACACTGTCTTGAGGAGGGAGGCAGAGAGGAAAGGGGAGAAAAATTTAAAAGTCAAAGCATATGGAAATGATTGTTGAAAACTAAAAATAAATTAATAAAAAAAAAAAGAAAATCTGATTTAAAGAATCTGAACTTTAATTGAAATAACTCTTTAAGACTAATAATAAACTTTCAATGGAGTCAAAGGACATGAATAGGTAATTTATGAAGGAGGAAATACAGATCCTTTAATAACTATGGGAAACAAAGCTCAAGTTTCCTAATAATCAGATAAATGCAAAATCAAAACACTAGAAGAAAAAAAAGAAAAATTATAAAATTCATACAAATATTTTAAAAAGCAGCCTGGCAAAATACAAGAATCTTAATCCTATCTTTTGACCCCTTAATTTCTATACTAGGACCTTCTAAAAATGCCATAAAATTCACCTCTCTGTTAAAAAAAAAGTATTTGTCACTGCACAAAAATATTCATTAGCTACATCATTTATAATAATAAAAAAATTAGAAACAGTTTAATATGTATAACATTTCGAACCAGAAAGACCCATATAAAAGACTGCAAAGCTAACTTAGTGGAACGAGAAGTGAATATACACTGATTACATACATGCACGTATATGTATATATTTGTACACACAAGTAGATATACATACACACACAGATACAAATAACAAAGTAAGAAAGCCAAAGGCAGTAAAACCTTAGACAGAATTAGATGGAACAGAGAATGAACACATCTTCCTTGTTTTCTGTTACCTTGTTTTGCTTCTGTACTGCTAATTAAATGTTTTTAATGCCTTGTTTTGTATGTGTATTTGATAGTCTGTTTATGGTTATTAAATTTATATAAAAATTTATTTTTAATGAAAATCCAATACGTTGCTAAGTCCTATTGATTCTACCTTTACAACATTTCCTTAGACACTGACACCATTCTTTTAGTAACCAGAGCCTGGCTATAAGTGGTAAGATTTTCTGATGTCAAACTGCAATTATATTTTTAAAGACAATAGAGCTACAGTGTTTAAGAAAGATTAGGAAGAACACAGAAAATACATTTAATTTTTCTTTATCATCTTTTGTTAATTTCTCAAATTATTTAAAAGAATGTATAGTATAATAAGCTTGGTGGTTTTCGTGTATGACTTTATTTCTTACTTTGCATGCTTATTTAATTATTTTTATTAATAAATTTATAGCAAAAAAATTTAAGTATGCAATGTCCCTTAATTAATTTCAAATGATTTCACTTTTAAAAATCTGAATGACATGCCACATTTTAGTAAGATATCTAGCTGATTAAAGTAAGATGTGTAGTTACAGTAAACAATATAGATTTTAGATAGGAGAAATTATGATCTGCATTGCATGACTTCCTTATCAATGTCATCCTTTTAAAGAAACATAACAAATACTGTCATAGACTTACCACATTTGCTGAGGTGGCCAATGGCTTTCTCATACCGTTTCAAGTGCTTATCTATTGTGTACCGTTGATAATTGGTTTCCATCTTTCTAAGTGTATTAAGAAATGGAAGATATTCTTTGGGATCCTAAAGAACCAAACAACATTGCTACATTCATTTCTCTTGAATATCAAATAACACAAGTCAATTTAGGCTAAATTTTTTAAAAATCTAAAATATTTTTACTTTTCACGCAGAATACATTTTGATATTTAACTAAAAATTCACCTCATCTACCTCATTCTCATGCTTTATTGTATAAGCTAATAATGTCAAAGTTCCCCCCTAAAGATAATTGCAATAGACTTCTCTCACTACATTCCCTTTGTTTTCAAATGCTATGTATGAAATAAACTGAATGTATAGCAAGGTGTACATTAAACAAGTCTTAGGACTTTTTACTCAAGTATTTACTGAATGCCAATCTCCAAAACCACAGCGAGCCATGGAAGGTTTACACAAAACAAAAGACAAAGAGAATCAGCATGGTTTAGTAGAAAGAGCACTGATATTAGAGTATAATAAAATAAAATAGCTAACATTAATAGAGCCCTTAAAGATTTGTAAAGTGCCTTATGTATATTCTCAAGCCTCCCTAACTCCAAGTCCAACACTCTTTCCAACATATCATTTAGGATCTGGATTAAAATTTTGGCTCTGGTTCTTATTACTTGTATGATCTTACCTAAATTAATTAAATCTTATCCCCAGTTCCCTCATATGTAAAATGAGGGGCTGGACTAAATAATTTCTAAAGTCTCTATATTAGCTCTAAATCTGATGAGCCTCTACGGTCCCTCTCCTCAAGGTAATCTCACTTGCTGGATGACAAGATCCAGAGAGTTGTCACTAATGGGTCATTGACAACCTGGAGAGAGGTAATTAGTGGAATGCCCAAAGAACTTATGCTCGGTCCAATCCTGTCCAACATTTTTATTCATGATTTAAATGGAGACACAGATGGAATACCTGTCAAATTTAAGGAAGACATGAAGCTTGGAGAGATAGCTAATTAGATGACAAAAATTGGATCCAAAAATAGTCTACACGATAGAATAATGAGCTGAAGTGAGTAAGAAGAAATTCAACCTGGAAAAATTTAAAGTTCTATATTTGGGTTGAAAACTTCCACTTCACAAAAGCAGTATGGGGACAGAGGCGAAGCTAAACAACAGTTGGTATGAAAAACATTCAAAGGTTTTAGCAGACCACAAGCTCAACATGAGGTAACAGTGTGACATAGTAGTTAATAATAATGATAATGATTAATGGTAAATATTTACGTAGTACTTTAAGGTTTTCAAAGCACTTTACATATATTAACTCATTTTAATCCTCACAATGACCCTGTGAAGTAGGTGCTATTATTACCCCCATTTTATAGATGAGGAAACTGAGGTCAAAAAAGGTTAAGTAACTTGCCTAGGTTTATACAGTGAGCAACTATCTGGGGCAGGATCTGAACTCAGATCTTCTTGACTCCAAGTCCTGAGCTCTATCTACTTCGCTGCTTAGCTAAAAAAGTTATTGCCATCCTAGGCTGCATTAAAAGAAGCAATGTCCAGTGTGAGGTGGGTAATGAATAACTCCACTTTATACTATTTTAATCAAGCCACATACGTTTAGTTCTGGGCAATGCATTTTAGGAAAGACACAGAAAAGGCAAAGCATGTCCAGAACAGGGCAACCAGGATATTGAGAGTACTGGAGAGTATTCCATATGAAGACTGGTTGAAGGAGCAAAGGACAATTAGCCCAGAGAAAAGAAGACAGAGATGATATAACAGTTGTTTCCAAATATTTAAAGACTGTGATACAGATGAGTGGTCAGCCCCGTTCAGCAGAATGTAAACTGGGGGAGGACAGGAACAATTCCTTTTCATCTCTGTATCCACAGAGCACACAGCAGTTACTTAACTCTTGCTGTGCTTGCCTACAATGACTAGAAGTTGCAGAGAGGAAGATTTAAGCTTTAGCCATGGCCTAACAGAGTCATCCAATGGACTGGGCTGCCACAGGGTGGGCTGGGGAACAGGGAGAATGGGGTGTCCCTCATTGGAAGCCTTTAATCAGCTGTTGGAAGTCACTGGTTCAAGGTGATGATCCCTGAACCCTCCCTTCCAACTCTTAGGTTCTGCGATGCCACTACATCACGCAGAGCTATTGGGCAATCTGTTTAGGTCCTATCTGACAGAGCAGACGCACTCAACATAATTGGGTCATTCGTACCTAACTTGGGAAAAAGGAGAGAATATCTATTTTGTGCTTTGAAGAAGTTAGAAAGATGTGGGTAAATTTTACTCTTTAGGGTCTTTGACTCATTTACAAAAGCAAAAAAAAAAAACCAAACCCTTGGGATTGGCTTTACAAGAAACCATAATTTAATCCAAGTAAATTTTGGGAACAATAAGAAATAGTTCTTTCCATTTTTCCAGAATGGCACACAGCATGCATATGATTACTTAGCATTAACAATATTTTACCTACTATTTTGAAAAAGTTCTTAAATTTTGTCATTTCTATCAATTTTTTGGAATAAAACCTCAACTGCCACTATCAAAGTAATGGAGATAAAAAGATATAAAAACAAAAAATTATTGTTATTATTCAAACCTTCTGTGACTTCTCAGCTACCATGAGCACCAAGTCAAAGTCATATGTCCCTAAAGAATGGTCATACAATTCATTGACATCCACCAAAAGCAGTAAGTATTTTAAGGCTTCCTCTGCACTCACAGCATCAGGAGAAGATGAAGTATTTCCTATAATTATTTAAAAATACACACGTCAACACAGCAAAAGACAACAATAACTAAGTTGGGCCTACCATTAAGTTTTATGCTAATATGCTATTACATTAACCATTGTCCTAAAAGGAAATCTCACTAAAGAAAAAAATGTATTCAAGTACACCCAGAAAAGCAATTAAAATACCAGTCACATCAGGATTCTATACAAGGTAGCTTTGTAGAAAAGCGTAGCCTGCATTTTGAGCAGTAAAGTAGTATCATATTTTGACAGAGTTGACATATCTGAACATAAATTTTTCTGAAGTTTTGCATACAACATGCAACACCATCTCTGTCCTCCCCCTTTCCTACCTAATTCCTTCTCATATGCATGCATTACATTATGAAGCTTTACTCTGTTATTTAAAAAATAGTTTTAGTTTTTTCTTGTGCCAATGGCATAGCTCCACAGAAAGATTTATAGCAAATTAAGAAAATTAAAACGATGATATTTGATGGGGTGCTTGGGTGCCTGTGCTTGGACCCCAATTTCTCCCTGGCCTCAGAAACACTATCCCTAGCAGTTTTCCCCCAGCCCAAGGACACTGTGCCTAGCAATTACTCATGAGTGGACCCCAACAAGACACTTCTCTCTCCCTGGTGCAGTTACACAAAGCTGGGTGAGAGAGTGCTAGGCTGCTCCCAACCTAAAACCACATCTCTGGAAGCCTCCCAATTCCTTAGTAAGTTCCTGTCTTGTGAGAAAACTTTCCCTTGTTGCAAAGCATTCTCTAATCAGGACAGAGAGAGGAGTGCCTGGCCCAAGGATTTCCGTCCCTGGCTGGACCAGGGACTTTTCCTCCCACCAGATTCCCAAGATGGCTCTGACATGCCCCTCCCTGTCTAGCATTTTCCCTACATTTTCCCATCCATAGCTCCCAAAGACACCTGGACCTTTAGATTACCATAGTATCCCTAGCATTCCTTTCCCATGCCCTTTTCCACATAAACCCCTACATCCATCTCTCGTAGGTTCCTTAAGAATCCTTGCCTGCTATATAGCGTAATAATAAATCTTTGCCAACTTGACTCAAAGAATGCTTGAGTCTGTGAATTCATTCCAGATAACCCCGTCCTGTACTCTGGTCTTTAAGGGGTCTCAACCTCTCAGACCGCAACAATATTAACACATTGTTACTGTACCTTGAAGCTCATGGACCTTCTGCAGGACAATTTCTAGTTCTGGTTTAGTCTTTTTTATGTGAGAAGTCAGTATACATAGGCAGTACCTAAGATGAAAAGAGGAAAAAAATATGAAAAAACATTTCATCATGCTGTTAATCAGCATTACTAGAGACTTCATTTGACTTTTTACTCAGAAAGATTATACTTCTGTTCCTCCTTTTTTTAGGTATGAAATGAAATACTAGTATTAAAGGTTTGCCTATGGTAAAATCATGTTTATTTATAATCGATATTGATTGCAGGGGTGGGGAACCTGCAGCCTCGAAGCCACATGTAGCCTTCTAGGTCCTCGGGTATGGCCTTTTGACTGAGTCCAAAGGTTAGGGTGTCTTAGATACATCCTGTAAAGCTTAACTTATTATTCAATTGAGTAACTAGGGTCTTTTAATTAACTGAAATTTATGTCACATACAAGATCACTAATTTTCAAAGAACTAGACTATACTAAAATATGATTGACACTAAAACCATAAAAATAATTCAAATCTTTTTTTGATGATTCAGAAGCAACTTCAGAATCTTTCAGTGAGTCAGTTACTATTATAAACTTCAAATAACATTGTCTAACACTGTCAAATTTTAAAAACAATAGAATGAAGTGGCTCTGGGTATGTACTTCATTACATACTCTGGAAGTCCTTTTTAGAAATAAATCCCTGATACCATTTTTTAAATTTTGATTAGAAACAACAAATAGAATGCTGTAAAAAGCTTCATGTTACTCTAACAACATAATTCTTCCTGCCTGCACGCTGTTCCTCCTTTAGTTCATCTTGAACAATTATCACCATAATGAACACCCTGTAATACTATTTCATATCAGCCTCTCAACTGTTTAAATACTTTCTACTTTACCCCACCACTATAGGATGAAGTCCAAACTCCCCAATAGGCAGTCTTCCTTAAACTCGCCTCAGCCTACCTATCTAGCCTATGCTCCACCATTTTCCTATACCCCTTATGTACTTCTACTGATTTATTCAAGAAGTCTAGTACTTTCCTGACTATCCAAACCTTTGCTCATACTTCCCCTCTTCGAAAATGTCTTACTGTTTCCTCTTCTTTTATCCATGTTCTTTATCTCTTTTGAGGCCCAGGTCAAGTTCTATCCCTCTTGTGAAACCTTTCTGGGCCAGTAATTATACAATGATCTTGGAGGATTTACAATCTATGCCACTCATCTGGCAATTAATCATATGCTGCCTGGTAATGTGTCTTGTACCATTGCCTTGTATCATCATTCAACTGTTCTTAAGTATATATCTTGCCTCACAATTAGATTTGCAAATATCTTGAAGGCAGGGATGATGATTTATACTTCACTGTATTTTCCATGAAACATAACACGCAAGAATTGTTCAATGAGCATTCGCTAATTGTAAAGGATTTTTTCAGAGCAAAAAATTCTCACCTCCAAAAATAAATGATCCTATTTTACTGTCTTTATTTTGAGAATTCAAGAGCAAAATCTGAAGTTGATAAATATGCCAATATCCCATTATTTAAATTTATATTTGAGTTCACTATCTTATCTTCAAGACAAAGTCATGACAATATTCCCCATGGTGGAATAAAAATACTGCATACTGTTAAAATGCTTCGATGCTTACAAAAGCAATGCAACAATTTTTTTTGACATAGATAGTGTAAGTACTATTCTGTCCATTCTCCAAATTAGAATACTCAGGTCCTGAAAGGCTGAGTTAGTGTTGGATATTAAGAACTTAAATCCAGTCTTTTGATTACAAGCCAAGGGTCTTTTCTATAATTACTATACTTCCTCTTAGGGTAAAATTTTTAAAAATGCAAATTTTGAACTAGATTCTAGGGAATACAGACAGTGCTCACTTTCTATAGACCTCTTCTTTCCCTTCCCTCTGGGGGCTCCATGTGGCCCTCATTCCCTAGGTGGCTCTGCAGCCTGGTTTCAGTGCCTGGTGCCCCATTCCACTCCCACAGCCAGAGCAGCTTTAATGCCTGCAGTGAAGGACCTCTGGAGTGGGGTTGCAACTGGGGCAGGGTCCTGCAACTTGTCTGCCAGGAAGCTGAAATTGTGTAATGCAAATTTACATAAAGCAAGAAGTGTCTACACACAAAACAAAACAGTAACCTCAAATTCTGAGGAATATCAAAGCTATGCAAGCATAATTCCATACTCCTGCTATTCCATAATTTCTCTTAATGAACAGCATACATACTTGTGAGGATTTATGTTCTGCATGGCTGTTCTCATGGCATCACAGATAAGATCTACTTTTTTACCATCAGGGCCTCTACTCATCTGGATATTGTTGGCAACTGGAGGAGGGTACATAGTCTTTGTAATGTCTTCTTCCCTAAAAAAAAAAAGCGTGAGTATGTGTATGTGTGTGTGTATGTATATGAAACATCACTAGTTGAACCCCATCACATGAATCCAGTTATTAATTTACATCCAAATGTGCCTAAGTAAAACAATGAAAAAAGGCGCAAGAACCAGCAGTACGGTTCTAAAGAGTAAAAAATCTGGTATTTGTCTTTATCAAAAATGCCAGACGTAAATCCTAGCAGTTTATTCATGTCCCCAAAAGTCATTCAAATTTATTTCAATTCCTAATGACATCAAAATTAAGAATCATTGTTCAAAGAGGATTACAGCCTCTTAGAGGTCTTCTCTAAGAACCAGAAAAATCATTGTGTATGAGCTCCCACCTAATAGACATCCCCTCTAAAAAATCTCTATTAGCCTATGTTTGAATACTTCAAGTGACACGGAAATAAATTACTTTATAGCCCATTCCATTTTTGAACAAGCTCTAAGTAATAAAAACCTTATGAGGAGGAGGGTAAAAAAAAATCCCCCAATACTTACTTCAATTCTGTGAAAAACAGGTTGATGTAATTTACAGAATCAATCTGCTTTACAAAGGCTTCCACATTTTCAAGAAATGCCTGACAAAAAAGCAAAAATGATTTCAGTTTATCAAATAACACAAAAAGATGCTAAACAAAAGGAAATGTTTAGAGTTAATAAACTTCTGCCTTCAAATGACTCCATAATATGTAAATGTATAATTTTAGAACAATTTTATGTATAATCTCTCATACTAATTCTAAAATGAAAGCATTCTTGGTCAGTTTTGGTTCTTTGAAAATTTTCTTCATTATTTTTCTTCTCTCATTTCAGCCTTAATTGTTTCTTTTCCAGATGGAAGATTTAAGTACAGGATGGGAGTTGTTATTCCCTTATGAATTTGAGGAACGTATACATGAAAATATTAGAGATTTAGACATTTACCTGTGGGTTATGGTCATGAATTAGATTTAGATTAATTCTCAATTTTCTCATACATTCAAATGCTTCTTTAAACATAAGCCTGTGGTAAGATAATTAAAAAAAAAGATGGAAAATATATATTTCAGAAAAATTCATTTCAGTAGAACTATAATGTTTTTACTACTATAAAAAAAATTATAAGTACATTATCTCTCACATGCAAAAAAATGAATTTCTATCACAAGAAAGTAGTAATGGGTTTCTACTTCCAAGAGCACAAAAAAAAAAAAAAAGCAAGTGCCAGAGTTCATTGAACTTCTTAAAAGATTACTGTAGGGACAAGAATCCTAGGCAGAAAGAACTCACAAGGCTGTTCAAAGGCAATTTTTCTTTAACGCTCTAAAATTTTCCTAATGCCAATAAAAAACTCCACGATCATCACATTAACAATACTGTAAATAGTGAAACCGTATATAGCACTCACCTGTCTAACCACTTCCGAATCTGAGCTAAAACCAGGGCTCGATGATAGACAACTTCTAAGTTTCCCCTTGGCATCTTTAACATAATAATGTAAATAATATATTAAATTTTATGTTAAAAAAAAAAGCAGACAGATAATAGCCTCCAAGTGCAAAGGGAATTGGGATCAAGGTAACTGGCACACTTTCTGGCACAGACTTAAGAGTAGAGGCTCAACATTAAACTATCTTTTGATGATGATGAATCTCTATCTACCTCTTGCTTTGCTATCAATGAGAGGGAAACCTCCAACAAAGTTCCTTATGGGCACAATTTTGTCTACATTGTTCAATAGAGATGATACAAAGATAGGCTTTTAATAAAAGCTTTGGATGACTTTTCAGAGGAGAAATCTCAAGGGCAACGGCTTCCTCTGGACATATTTTCAATTCTGGCAGCAATTATATAGTAAAAATTACCTTTAAAAAAAAAAAGCTGACCTGTAACACGAGCTTTGTGTCCTGAGGCACAACAGTGACAATGCGGGATCCTCTTTCTACTTTCCGGAGAGTTTCCTCATTAGAGGCAGTGCTGTTGGTCAGACCTGCTTGGAAAGCTGAAAACATCACAATAGTAAAACAAGCTGAAAAACTGCCATAATCACCGAACTATATGTAGTGAAGGCCTGGACTGAAAAAGGATGCAGATATATTTTAGGAACTTCACAGAATTGTACTCAGGATCAAACAGAGGACTAAGAAAACTTAGCCTATTTATAACACATACTAATATGCAATCAACTCCATGATTACAATAGAGTTCCACAAGAAAAAATGAATATGAAGAACTCAGAGATGCAGAGGACAAGTTTATATACACTGATGCAGGGTGAAGTATGTAGAACCAGAAAAACAACATATACAGTGACTACAACAATGTATATGGAAAGAAACAAAAAAGTGAAACTTAATGGGGAAAAAGTGTCTTTTCTCTGATAAAGGGCCGGTATCAAAGACTAATTGGGAACAGATTCAAATATATAAGAACAAGAGCCATTTCCCTCAATAGATAAATGGTTGAAGAATATGAAAAGTTCTTAAAAAAAGAAAAGTTATCAACAATCATATGAAAAAATGCTTCAGATAACTAACAAGAGAAATGTACATTTAAAAAACTCTTGAGGTTCTCCTTCATACTCATAAGACTGGCAAAGAAAACAAAATGAAAAAATGGTGACTGTAGGAGATGCCGCAGGAAAACAGGCACACAAATATACTGCTGATGAACTGCAAACTGGTCTAACCATTCTGTAGAGCAACATCAGCTCCCATGGACTTACCAAATCTATGCTGATGATTCTTATATCTACCTTTCCGCCCAAAATTCTCTGCTAACCTCCAATCTTGCATTCCCAACTGCCTTTCAGACATTTTGATGTCCAGTTGGATGTCCAGGAGACATCTTAAATCCAATATGTCCAAAACTGAACTCATCTTTTCCCCCAAGACCTTCCCCTGCTCCAACCTTCCCTGTTACTGTAAAGGTTAATACACCCTCTTAGTCCCCCAGGCTCACTACCTAGCAGTCATGCTGGACTCTTCACTATCTCTCACCCTCCATATCCAATCTGTTTTGCTAAAGCCTGTCAATTTTACCTTTGTAATATCTCTAGAATATACGCTTCTCTTCTCTGACATTGCCCACACATTAGTACAGGCTCTCATCATCTCACCTGTGGACTACTGAAATAGCCTACTGGTGGGTCTGCCTACTTTGAGTCTCTCCCCACTCTAATTCATTCTCCTAAGGTGATTTTTCAATCATGTCACCCTCACTTGATAAACTCTAGGGGGTCCCTATTGCCTCCAGGATCAAACATAAAATACTCTGGCATTCAAAGTTTTGTAATCCAGCCCCTTCCTAATTTTCCGTCTTCTTACACTTTACACCCTGACATGTACTCTTCCATCCAGTGACACTGGCTTCACTTCCACAAACAAGACACTCCGTTCTCGGCTCTAGGCATTTTCTCTGGCCATCTCCCATGCCTGGAACACTCTCCCTTCTCTGCTCTGCCCACTGACTTCCCTGGTTTCCTTTAAGTTCCAATGAAAATCCCACCTTCCACAGTAAACCTTCCCCCTTCCCTGCTATTTATTTCCTGTTTATCCTGTATATCTCTTACTTTGTATATATTTGCATACTATCTCCTCTAATTGTGAATTGTGAGCTCTTTGAGGGCAGAGACTACCTTTTGTCTCTTTGTATCCCCAGCCCCTAACATAACGCCTGGCATTTGTACACAAGATTAGGAAAATGGGCAATAATGCAAAGAAACAAAAACAAAAAAACTTTGTCCTCCCTCGTCCTTAGAAAGCAGCTATGGCAGCCTGTGATGTGTAACATAGGTTTAGGTAAGTTATGAACTGCCTGTAGCCTTGTGACCTTTGATAACTAAAGTGCACAAGCCTGAAGTAACAAGTGAAAGCTGCTGCTAACAGAGAAGATGCTGTTGCATGTTAGGACTGAAACTGTCTATAATTAATAATTATAATTATATATTTGTATATATTATATAATAATATATGAATATATAATTAAGTGATATAATTATAATTACAATTACTCCTGGGAGGAATTATCATGGAAGTAAAGTAGAAGGTACTACAGGCCTGGTTCATGAGACCCAGACTGAGGAATTAAGAACAGGAACTATGTCTACAGAACTTACCAAACATCGATTTATATGCTAAATATCTGTCTGCTTAATAACATCCATCCTACCCTATTTACAAAGAGGGAGATAACAAAATGCCTCATGTTCAGGATGACCCTTATTCTGGAGATACAGAGAGGGGGCTAGGGAACCTAGCCTGCCTATACCCCTTCAAAAAACTTGTTAAATAAAATGTTACCCAGGATCTTTTGCTCCTCAAACAAAACTGAGAATATTTATTTTTGCCAATAAGTTTTATTTCCCTAACATGGACGACAATCCCCTTAACTACTGCCCTAAAAAAAAGAAAAACAAAATGAAAAAAAATTTATGGGCAGCTTTTCAACTTTCAAGCAGAATGATCTAATGTAATCATATGAAAAAAAGGAAAGACTCCCACAGTTGCTGATAAATGGAAGGGGTGGTAGTGGGAGGAATTATTAAATTAAGTGTAGTACATTAGGATAAGTGAAAAGCAGTAACCTTTAAAATGCAGAAGAAACAAAGTAGAAAGGACCTTGTCTTTTTAAGCAAACTAAAAGATGACTGGTTCCTTCAGAAGGTGGACAAAATAAAGGAAAAGCTGGAAGAGGAAAATATGTTAACTAAGCTGTCCTTTCTTATTGCTACTGTACATAAAATACGAAGAAAGAGACCTAGTCTGTAGAATGATGGATTTAGGAGGTCATATATATGGCAACATTGCTGACAAGACAACCACTGAACATTAGAATGGGTTACTAACTGTAATCATTAAAGAGAATTGTAGAATCTTAATTTCTGGAGGTTTTTATAAATGGGACATGGGACAGATTCTAACTGGTTTAGAATGGCTTAATTATCCTGTCTACAAATAAATGAAGTGACTAAACTATATCTCAAGATTCCTTACACACTCCCCCATATGTAAAAACAAAAACGAAAAAATAAGCAAGAACACAAATTCATCAAGTCTTTAGAAGGAGACAGAGAACTTCTTTCACAGTTGATTATATTTCTAATCTGAAAACTTACCTTTAAAAGAAGTATCTCTCAAGTACAGACACTGGCAGGTATGAGAGTGGGTTGTCAGCAGCAAAAATTCATCATATATTGCAAATGACATGATATTTGATGCAACCTACAAACGTGGAGAGTAAAGCAAGGGAGAGAAAGTCAGCATTTTGCCTATATTCAAAGCTATGCTCAATGGATCAATTAAAAAAGTTAACCTACATACCTCAATGTCATTAATGAAAAAACGGCACCTGTCAGTCAGCCCCAGAATGCATTCCTGCAAAAAGAAAAGAAAATGTAGATTGTGAGATCCACCCTAATTTTTCACTACTGATAGTACAAGGACTATAGACGATACCACTTCTCCTAGAATGCTCATTTGGATATTTTAATGTCTTTTAAAAAAAGATCAAGCTTTTCCTAATGCTCTTTTTTTTTTAGTCCAAAAGATGAATTTTGCTGAGCCAATCTGATATGCAACTTCTTTCCTCACATATTCCCTCCTAACCCAATTTTGAGAAGAAATTAGGAGCTGCTTTGCTTGCTGTGAGAGAAAGAATTTCTCCAAAAGTTTGGTCATAACAATTGAAAGGGTACAAACCACTAGAAAGTAAAAATAGGATTAATTAAAGATATGTTAAGAAAAGTTAAACTGATCTGAGTTCAAAGGCCCTTCCACTTGGAGTGAGCCAGGAGAATTAGGAAAATGTATTCCTGGACAAAAAAGCTGAATTCTTTGTTTTCTTGTTCAGTAACAGTTATAGCCTAGAATAATTTACCTTCACCATACTTTACTAGCAAAAACATAACCATTAACATTTCCATAACAAACTATTTTGATCATCATTGATATTATAACTATAGAAGAAAGAAAAATGATACTCAAGATGATGAGAATGGAAACAGCAAGTGAACTAGGACACAGAAGAAGCCATTATTGCAAAGGGCAGGATCCTGAAAATATCTGAAAGGACTTAGGATGAAAAATGCTATCCATTCCCAGACAAAGAATTGATGGTGTCTGAATGCAGACTGAAGCATAATTGGTTTTTTTTACTTTATTTTTCTTGAGGTGTTTTTTTTTAATATGTTTTCTTTCACAACATGACTATTATGGAAGTGTTCTGCATGAATACACATGTATATCGAATTGCTTACCTTCTCAATGTGGGGGAGGGGAGGAGGAGGAGAAAGGGAGAAAATTTGGAATTCACAAGTTTTAAATATGAACGCTAAAAATTGTTTTTACACGTAACTGGAGGAAAATAAAATACTAAATAAAGACTTAAAAAATCTTTGAAAATGATCTATACACACATCAAAGATACATGTGATAAAAACATTAGAATGGAAAAGGGCAGCTTTTGCAAAGGATTATCTAGAATGGATCATACATAATCATATAATTGACTAAGAGGCACAGAAAACACAAGATTTAATTGTGCTTATAGTTTGCTCATTATGTAAAAAAATAGCCTTGGAAACTTCTTCCAACAATCTCCCTCCCCTGTGTACTTCAATCATACAAGACCCCTTCATAGTTGTAACACAAGTACTGTGATGATCCTGATTATCAAAACTAACAGAAGCACAAAATGGGAAGGAATTAGTTCACTAAGGGTACCTTCACTGTCATGAAGAATGATTATCACTTAGTTCAACTATAAGATGCTGCTGCTGTCTGCAGACAGCATTTTGGTGATTGTATCGAGTTCCAGAATATTACAAAGTTCCCTTATTTAAACTAACAACTCAAAGGAATTAGGCCTAACAATCCTCACCAGAAAAGAGAAAAAGTTAGTAAAGAAAGTTTCTTTTCTTTCTTTTTTTAAAAAAGTTTATTTTCTAGACCATGATATGCAGTTGGATGGACAGCCCATCAAACTGGCCTATCAGGACATATATTTCGTACATGCATTGCAAATTTAAATAAGCCTGGCCCAGAATAAAACAGGAAGGAGATAGCAGGCTGGTTTGCATTTGGAAAATTAAATTACCCTTTCAACTACCCAAGTTTCTCTTTGAAACGAAAACTCAACTTTTTAATACTAAAAGCATTCCAATGATGCTACATGACTGGGAATACCACAATCTCTAAAGAATCAAAATTATGGATCATTCAAAGAGCAATGCAGAGATATATGGTCAGCACAAATAGGCTGCAGAATACTGATAATACTTAATTGTACACAAGAAACAATGTAAGAGACATGACCAAAGAGATGAATGGCTGGATGAAGATGTGGACCAGTCATAAAGTTAAATGGCCAGCCTCTGTGTTGTACTCATACCCACATAATGTTTAAAAAACATGGAAGAAGGCTCCCAGGATGTTGGGTGGACCATCTAGGGGGAATTTATGGGAAAAACACAGGGCAAGATTCAGATAGGCTGAGAAAGTGTAGATAGGTGGCAATCTGCACCATTAGAGGAAATACCCACACTGAAAAGACCAATGACTGATTGAAGCATATTCAAATATATAGTAATAGTACTCTATAAGGGAAGAATCTAAATTTTTGCCATGGTTACCAGAACATTCCACACTTATAGGGTACGATAACATGTCACATGAACAGCTTTTCCTAATATTCTACGCTTTCTGAACACTGGTTATCTTTCCATTCACTTCTATACAACCCAAAAAGTGAGTACACAATAAATCCACCATTGAATTTTTTGTGCAAGAAGGATGTACACTTGCCCAATAAGGTTTAGATTCCATCTTGATGCACTCAAAGAACGAGTAAGAAGCATTTATTAAACTCTTCCTCTATCTACGCCAAGCACACAGAAGTCAGCTGCATAGGGCAATTCGTTTCTAGCACAGAATTCCCTCTTGGAGAAATACTCTTCCAGGATCACTTACTTCACCACCTATTACAGCCAGTGTAGTCTGTGCGCACGGGTAGGGAAACTGGACAGCAAAACCACTACGATCCTTCCATATTTCAATAGCAGGAGTTGGAGATTCTACAAATACATACAAAAGCATTCTTTTTGGATTTTGATACTTCAGAGAAACAACAGCACAAGTTTTAAGGCATTATCAGGTGATGTAGTATACCAAGTCATTTATACCCTCCAAAACACATAAAAGGAAAAATAATACATTTAACAATATAAATTACATTTTAAAAGGCAAGAATTCAAACCCTGAAAAAGGCTCAATGAAATATATTACACTTTTCTAAAAGACTAACAGATAGAAAAATGATACAGTAGCCAGACAGAAGTTCCAACCCATGCTTATGAAATATATCTAGCATTCAAAAGCAGCTAGGTGGCAGAGTGGATAGAGCTCCAGCCTTGGAGTCAGGAGGACCTCAGTCCAAATCTAGCCTCAGACACTTGACACTTACTAGTTGTGTGACCCTGGGCAAGTCACTTAACCCTGATTGCCTCACCGAAAAGAAAAAAAAATCTAGTATTTGTTTCTTTATTAGCACACCCTAAAAAGTACAATAGCTAAACTCTTCCATTTAAATTTATAAGGAAAATCCATAAAACTTATTATGTAAAATTTTTATACTTACCCCAAAGGTATTTGAGGATTTGTCCATCAGCTAATTGTAGTGCCACTGACTTGGTTTTGGGATTGTAACACAGACTGATCACAACTCCATCCACAGTCACTGATGAGCTAACAAAAATTAGAGAGGAACAAACAATTATTTGACAGATTTCCTGGTTTTAGCAAGGAAAGGAATATAAGAGCCAGTTTCCACATGGCATGACTTCTTCTATTTCCATAAAGAGGCAAGCATGGTACAGTGGAATAAAGCCCAGGCTTAGGTTAAGAAAACCTAGATTGGAGTCCAACCATCATGTACAAGTCCTATGGCCTTGGGGAAGTAACAGCTTCTCTGCATCTTGATTTCCTCACCAGTTAAATACTAATGCCAGTACTATCTACACGACAGATGTGAGGGAAGCATTTGGTAAAATATAAAGTGCTGTGTAAATTTAATGTATTTTATTACTGTTTTTACTAGTCGTCTTTCTGTGTCTCTACGTGAGATAATTCCAAATTTGAAAAAAAAAGGCATGTTTTTGACAGCTCTACCTAAAAATATTTAATTCCACCTGATGCAATACCGTATGGCTAAATAAGGACTATGCTTTTATAGTAGGTACACTATTTTCTTGGTCACAAAAGCTTTTGTCCAAACACAAATATAAAAAGACTTGCCTTTTCTGTCAGAAAAGCTCTTTGCTAGACACAAGGCAAAAGCCCTACTTGTTCAATGTAAAAAATTCATGATAACAGAATCTAAGATCTCTTGAATTTATCTACCGTCCTTCCACTCTTTGTACAGCATTTCATTCCTATCCATCTGACCTAATGCTACCTTACCAGTCTTTTGATCTCAGACTTCTTACCCTTCAATCCATCTTACATACAGCACTGCCAGACTGATCACTGCAGAGTTCTGATCAAATCACTCCCGAGCCCAAAAACTTTCAATGGCACCCTACTCTCTACAGAATAAAATTTTAAGTTCCTTACCCTAGCATTCAAAGTCTTCAATGATCTGTCTCCAACCACCTTTCCCATCTAAGATTACATTATTCCAAGTCACACAGATTACAGGGTAGTAAAACTATCTGCCATTCTTTGAACTTTGAACTTTTTACCCTTTTCTGCTTCAAAACCTGTGCTCATCCATCCCTCTACCTGAAGAGGAATGCCAATTATTTCCTTACTCCTATTCCCAACATTTGCCTGTTTAAATCCCACTTATCCTTAAATGAGTGTTTTCTTGTCTCCTCTTATCTTAAGAAAGGGAACCGAGTTCTCTCTTCTTCTGAAATCTCATGGCTTTGAATTTTGTATTACCAAATGACAGTCAATTCAATAAATATTTGTTCAAACACCATAATTCCATTTTTATTATTAATGAATCAAAAACATCTAAAAGTTCCTAATACCTGATATTCAGATGTCCACTTTTGTCCTCTGTTTCGGAAGAGGCCACAGTCAAATGGTGCACAACAGAACATGGGCCAGTCTGATCATGACTGACAGCCAAGAAAGCATCCTCTTGGATCCAAGTGAGAAGGCACAAGTTCAAGGGATTTACTTCCTGATCTTCTTTATCCTCAAACAGAATTCTATGTAAAATATTCAAGAAATTCAAGACACCAATAAAGTTTTAAAGTCAAACTGAAATTTTTTTGTATGTAATCTATAAACTACTTTTGCAATTTTAATTGCTCCATGTAAATTTAAAGTAACCCTTAAATTTCAAAACAATTATTTTGTTATTATTAAAAATGTTTATGCTCTGAACAGCTAAAATGACTTGAATGTATTTTCATTTGTACGTGAGTATATATTATGTTCTTGGAATTCAAAACACTTTAAAAAAATAAACAATGATTTCACATTGCACATACATCGCTTAGGAGGTAAAAGACTCTTAAATCTTGCCACCCTATTTCCTTGCTCAGAACTCCATGCTATTGATTCCATGATAAAGTATAAAGGCATCATTTCTCAGGCCACCAGAAAACACTAGCCTAAAACAAGCTGTCACTTCTTAGACTGTTATGCTCTGGTTTCCACCTGCTCTAAGTTATGATAAAGAAATATGGCAACTGATTTTAAAATCTTTCCTTCTGCACCTGAAAACAAAAGTAAACGAGATCTTTTCTACAATACATTTTACCACATACTTTTGCCAACAAAAATCTGAAGGCAAGATGTGCAATGGAATACACAATTTATACAAATGATGATAATATGTAACAGAATAAACTATTCAGATTTCTTGGCAACTATATTGCTCTTTGATTATATAAAGGCCCAGCAGAGAGATTTCTGGGCCTGGAGTCAAGAAGACCTAAGTTCAAATTTAACCTCAGACTGTTACCAGATATATAGCCCTGGACAAGTCACTTATCTCAAGTTTGCCTCAGTTTCCACAACTGTAAAAAAGGGAATAATAGCACCTATTTTCCAAGGGCATTTTGAAGATAAAATGAGATATTTGTAAAGCTCTTTGCAAACCTTCAAGTGCTATATAAATTCTAGTTCTTATTGTTGCTGTTACTCTAAAATAAAGATAAATCATGGCCAAAAACTAACGATGACCAATCTACCAAAAAGAAAAGGTAATTTGCAAATCAGTGTCTTTTGTTTTGGTTTGAACTTGTGATTTCATCTGTGTAAGGAAACCCTGATGTGAAAAGTCCATCTACGAGTCAAACTGGGGCCTTCAAAGGTCAAGTAACTTGCCCTATGACTATACAGATAGCATGTATCAGAGGCAGGATTTAAACTCAAGCCTTTCTGGATCAAAGGCTGGGCCTTAATCCACTATGCCAGTAATGTAAAACCCAAATAGAAAGGGATCCCAGCAGCACATTGACTTAGAAAACTTCAATGAATATTACCTATGTTGTAATGTGTTTTTATTTTTTTGTTAAACATTTCCCAATTACATTTTAATCTGCTGGGTAGCATTAGGGTTTGACACGTCTACAATATACCACTTATCTCTCAAAGTAATACATTATCCTTCAATTAAAACAAGGTGACTGCTTTAATTAATTAAAACCTAATAGGCTGAGCTCCAATTACAGATCAGTAATAAACTTTATATTTCAACAGTATTTCTGAATTTCATATTTAATATGGATAAGAACAAGCACAATTTTAAAGTAGAAGTTTGCCAGAAAAGACATCTAGATGTTAAAAAGGCACTTACACGTTGAAGAGGAAAAGTCTACTGAGTTAATTTCCTCTACACAAGGGCTAACTTTTTTGTGTTGCAGACCCCTTCTCACAATAATGTTTTTAAATGCATAACACAAAATACACAGGATTACAAAAGAAAGCAGTTCTACTGAAATGCAGTTGTTGAAATATATATATTTTTTAAAAACCCACGTTCTCAGACCCCAGGTTAACTGCTCTATGTGATATAATGAAGTAAATACCATTAAGATTAATCAGATATCCACATTTCTATTACAATTTCTGCATTTCAATTAGGTGAACCTTTAGTTCAACTGGTTAGAAGTATTGTTGAGTAGACATATACAAATAATAAACATAATGCTTTGCATTTTATAGCATTTTAATATACATTATCTTATTTTGCATATTTGAAATAACTTGGGAACAGTTTTAAGGCAAACTGTAAGAAAGAGTAAGAGAATGTAGATCAAATTTTTGAGTGCTCAAAGTATTTCACTTTCAGCATTTAAGTATTTAGTCTCTATGCCCCTTTATTCCCTTCCAGGGATCTGGGGAAAACAAACCCACACCTGATGGGGTAGCAGATAGTATCCCCAAAAGGAGGAAAGCAGGGGTAAAGGGAAATACCCTGGACCAAGAAATCTTCGAAAAAATTAATAAACATTTATTTTTCTCAAAGGTGACTTAGCAGGTCAGGTTCTACCCGACTCCACACTGTAGCATCATATCATAAAAAAATTGCCTACTTGTATATTTTTTCCAGGCGAGGTGTTGTAACAGAAACCTTAAATCCATTTCCCCCTACAGCTCCTATTTTCACTGTGGGGTCTAAATCTGCAGTACCACCTAGAAGACAAATGTAATTATTATCATCATACACATATGCAAGAATACAATTCACTACAATTTTTCCTTCATTACCACCAAACTGCTTGATAAATGCATTACTACACAGTAAGGAGTGAAAGCTTGAGGGGACACTATCCCCCCTCCCCATACACAGATACTGATCCAGAATAGAATAATGTTTTCTTATTTTTTTATTTGGAATGACTGATCATTCTTTAAAAGCAGATTAAAGTAGGGATGACAGCTTCCTTATTTTTACTGAAGAAACTGAAACACACAGAAGCTGATTTACCTAAGTTATCCATGACTCTTGCACACTGTTTCTCATTTCTATAACAAATATTAAGCAACTAGACGGCTGAGGCAGGGAGAAGGGGAAGGGTAGAAAGCACTAGATAACAGAATGACTAGCATGGGTTTTCCAGTTTAAAAAAATTGGTCCTTACAGAACAAGTCAAGGCTTTTATAAAATAATTTTATAAATCACAAACAAAACCAAAAGTTAATTCACTGTTATCGGAATGCATCAAATTTTACTTATTGATAAAATATTTTGACATAGCAGATGCTTCCCAACACTTAAACAACTGCCCTCACAAAATATTATCCCTCCCCAATTTAAGCAAAATTGCCTGACAGTGACTATAACTCAGAGTACAAGCATCACATAAAATTTATATTTTGGTTTTAATAAAGAAGGAGTCCCATAGCTATTGTATATTCCCCAGGAACAACCATACCCTTAGATACCCACTCTTCAAGCTCATGATGCTCTACAAGAATTATTTATAAGCCAACAGAAACATAAAGTAACCCTTAGTTCAATTTAATATCAAAATACACTCCAAAGCCAGTATTAAATTTTTAAATTTTTTATATACTAAAATACAACACTTGAGTTTATTTTATTTTTTTGGATGAAAGTCTCTACCAGAATAAAACAAGGAAAAATAAAAGTCTATGTATTTAAAACAAAACAAAACAAACAAACAAAAATACCATTCATACCAGATCTATAGACAGAAATCTGGTTGTTGGCATCAAGAATGGCAAGATCGCTGCTTTTGTTAGGATGTGCACAGAACATGACTTGGTTCACGGGATGTGGAAGATGCAACTCATAGGTACAGAGAGGTGGAGGCACCACAGAATGTTGAAAGGCTGTCACCAATACCTTATCTTCAATTGAAAAACAAATCAGTACATAAAGAGTTAGCTACAATGATGCTGTCATTAAAAAGTAGACATTTAAATAACACTGAATAACTAAATAGTGATGGCAGTAGCATATTTCCATTAATTTTCCTTTAAAATCTATCTTACTTTTTCTGTCTCTGCAACAAACAAATGTAAAATGAAAGAAAAGCGTAATAACAAGCTTAAAGGCTATGGTGGAATGCCCATTAGCTTTACCAGATAAGGAGACACAAAGGGCACCCAAATATATGCTGTTTATATTGGGAAGGTTTCTCCCCCCGCCAGGGATGGCCAAGAATTGCCAAGTGATATCTAAAGTGATATCTAAAAGAACAGGACAGACACGTCAGGAACAGAAATGGACCAATTTTCAAAAAAGGGAAGGTTTATTGTCTTAAACTATAATCCACCGAGCTCATCTTCGAGTAGTGGCAAAACTCTAGAACAATGATATCAAACACAAATAGAAAGTGGGGCAGGGGTGCTAACATGGGAAGTATACTGACTTCGTTTTTTAAGAAATTCATTTTTTGTTATATTTTTAGTTCTGAACTGTTTCTCTCCTTCCCTTCCTCCCTACACTACAGAAGGCTACCAGTTGACACAGATATTTATTTACCTATTACCTACCTGTAAAAAATACTATGCACACTTCTATTTATCAGTTCTTTCTCTAGAGGTGGCTATCTTTCTTTACAGGTTCTTTGTAGGTGACCTGAGTACTTATAATACTCAGAATAGCTTAGTCATTCACACTTATTCTCAAACAATTTTGCTGTTACTGCATACAATGTTCTCTTGGTTCTGCTCATTCACTCTTCCATTATTTCATGCAAGTCTTTGCATGTTTTTTTTTTCTAAAATCAACCAACTCATCATTTCTTATAGCACAGTAGTACTGCATCACAATTATATACCACAATTTGTTTAGCCACTCCTGCCAAATGATGGGCATCCCCTCAATTTCCTGTTCTTTGCCACCACTAAGAGAGCTGCTATAGTTTAGAACACATAGGTGCTTTTCCTTTTTCCCTGATCACCTTGGTAAATAGACCCTATTAGTGGTATTTCTGGGTCAAAGGGCATACACAGTTTTATAACCCTTTGGACACAATTTCAGATTGCTTTCCAAAATGGGTGGATGAGTTCATAGTTCCACCAACAGTGTGGAATTTTTCTACATTCCTTTCAACATTTGTCATTTTCCCCTTCTATCATTTTAGCCAATCTGATAGGTGTGAGATGATGTGTCAAAGTTGTTTTAATCTGAATTTCTCTAATCAATAATGACTTGGAGCATTTTTTCATAAGACTACATGTCACTTTGATTTCTTCATCAAAAAACCATCTGTTCATACCCTTTGACCATTTATCAATTGGGGAATGATTCATATTCTTATAAATTTGACAAATTTCTTTATATATTTGAGATATGACACCTTTATCTGAAAACTGTCTATAAAATTTTTCCCTCAATTTTCTGCTTTCCTTCTAATCTTGGCTACCCTGCTTTTATCTGTACAAACCCTTTTTAATTTAATGTAATTAGCCATTTTACATCTCACAATGCTTTGTTTATTCATAAATTCTTCTCCTATTCTTAAGTCTGATAGGAAATATATTCCATGTTCTTCTAATTTACTTATGATATCTCCCTTTATATCTAGGTCATGTATTCATTTTGACTACTACCTTAGTACATGGTGTAAAATATTGTTCTATACCTAGTTTCTGCCAGAAACTGCCATACTGAGCTTTCTAAAAACACCTATTAACATTACCTATGTTCTGTTTTATTTTTATTTATTTTATTAAATATTTCCCAATTACTGGTTCTGATAGCCCAGTATGTTTGAGATTTCTGCTCTAGAAAATATTAGGAAAGAGATGGCTCTTGATAAAGGTAACATCTAAGATAACAGCAATCACAAAGATGCAGAATGGACTCTTTGAGCCCAAGTCATTACAGACTTTTCAAGAAGCTTTTCCTTGGGGCAGCTAGGTGGTGCAATAGAGTGAGCACTGGCCCTCAAGTCAGGAGGACCTGAGTTCTAGCCTCAGACTAAACACTTGACACTTACTAGCTGTGTGACCTTTGGCAATTCACTTAACCCCAGCTGCCTTTAAAAAAAAAAGCAGCCTTTTCTAGACCTCCTTCACACTGGTGCTTTCCCTCTGAGATTGCCTCCAATTTACCCTTGTATATAATTGCTTGCATGTCAGCTCTCCCTGATTAAACTTACCTCCATCAATGACAGCCACACTTGCTAGGTCACATGCATTCTCTCCTGCACTCCGGTCTGTACTCCAATGCCAGTCATAGCAGAGGTAATGCCATCCCTGACAGAGGACATGTAATCTGTATGGAGTCACTGGGTCCCAGGTCAAGGACACAATCTTGCTCTTTTTGCAATTACTGAAGTACAGATTTTGTTTAAGGTACCAGTGATAGTTTCCAACTGTCCACAGCTGAACTACAGGAGAAAATAACAGGGCTGTTGAAAGCTATAAAGACTTAACTAAACTTTCTATTATTTGCAAGAGTGTGAAAGTGTAGGCAGTGGCAGCTCTTTAGCCATTTGACCTGACAAAGCAAGAAATTGACAACTAGGGTAGAACACAGTCAGACGTAGTCACAGTGCTAATAGTTTTGATTAGCTAATTTTTTTTTTGTTAAAAGGGAGGGTTCAGTTGAGGGGAAAAGACAACAAGAGATAACAATTTCTTTAAAAGACTGGTTCCTATGGAAAGAAAATGTCAGGTATCAATAAGGGGAATCATAAAGATGCTTACTTTTATCCTGGATTTGAACTTCATGGTAATAAGAACTCAGAGAAATAATCCTAAGGCATAACATGCTCTTTCTTGGAAGGCTGTTCACAGAGTAACAGTTACAGAAGATATCTTGGAAAAATTCTGCAAATGGCCCTTAAAAATAACTAGCAAAAAACCCTACCCTTTATATAATTGTGAACTTACTGCTGTCACTATATATTTAGATTTGTAAGTTCAGCACCAAAAAGGTTTTTATTCTAGGTCAGGGGTGGGGAACCTGCATCCTCAAGGCCACATGTGGTCTTCCAGATCCTTGGGTGCAGTCTTCTGACTGAGTCCAAGTTTTACAGAATAGTTTTTTTTCTGGCGAGGCAATTGGGGTTAAGTGACTTGCCCAGGGTCACACACTAGTGTCAAGTGTCTGAGGTCACATTTGAACTCAGGTACTCCTGACTCTAGAGCCAGTGCTCTATCTGCTGCGCTACCTAGCTGCCCCATAACAAATACTTTTATCAAGGGGATTTGTTCTGTGAAGTATGGGCCACACCTGAGGACCCACAGGGCCACATGTGGCCCTGAGGCTACAGGTTCCCCACCCCTGTACTACAGACTTGGCCTGAAATTAAGGTACACTGCCAAGACAGTAGTACTTTGGTCATATTCTTGTACTCAGTACTCAGCTGGCTGAGAAACACAGATTAGAAACAAGAATCCTTTGAGAAAAATAATTATATATTATTAAAGCAGTTAAATATCACCATGTTGAGCCATATTAATGAACATGAGACAGTTTGGCATAGTAGAGAAAATGCCAGGCTCACTCAGGTCCTGCATCTGACAACATACAAACTGTGTGACCTTAGGAAAGGGTAGTGGTGGCAGGAACAAGTATTTATTTTATTTTGAATTTATTTTCTGTTCCATATTCTCTCCCTCCCCTCCCCATTGAGATGACAAGAAAAATAAAACCCATTACAAACATATAGTCATAAAAAAAGAAGGAAGGAAGGAAAGGAGGAAAGGAGCGAGGGAGGAACAGGGGAAGCAAAGAAGGAAAGGAGGGAGGGAGAGAGGGAAGGAAGACAGGAGGAAGGCTTCAGTCTGCCCTCAGTCTATCACCTCTCTATCTGGAGGTGGACAGGTGCTTCATCAGCAATCCTTAGGAATAGTGGTTGGACACCGTGTTGATTAGTTAATAAGTCTTTCAAAATTGATTATCTTTCCATTACCGCTGTTACACTGTTCTCCTAGTTCTGCTCATTTTACTTTGCTTCAGTTCAAACAAGTTTTCCCAGGTTTTTCTGAGACCATTCTCTTCATTTCTTATAACACAGTAATATTTCATCTCATTCACATACAGTAACTTGTTCAGTCATTCTCCAATTGATGGGCATCCCCTCAATTTCCAATTCTCTACCACCACAAAAAATAAAAATAATAAAGCTAATGTAACTATTTTTGTACGTATGAGTACTTTTCTGTGATCTCTTTGGGGTACAGATTTAGTAGCAGTGTCACTGAGTCAAACGGCATGCACAGTTTAATAGCTTTGTGGGCATAGTTCCAGATCACTTTCTAGAATAACTGCACTAGTTCATAGCTCTACCAACAATGTATTAGTGTGCCTATTTTCCCACATCCCCTTTACCATTTGCCATTTTCCTTTTTTTGTTACAATAACCAATCTACTGGATATGAGCTGGTACCTCAGAGTTATTTTAATTTGTATTTCTCTAGTTATTAGGGACAAGAACTTTTTAAAATATGGCTATTGATAGCTTATTGACAGTTTTATTTTCTTCTTCTGAAAACTATTTTGACCATTTATCAATTGTGCTTATTCTTGTATATTTGATTTAGTTCCCTAGAGTACTTCTTTATGTAAATTCACATTATGCAAATTTAACATTATGTAAAAAATTCTGAAAGAAATCCACAATCTAAAAAAATCCAAAGTAAACTTTACTGCACAATGCCATGCTCTCTAACTTTTCTCCCGCCCCTCAGCTTGGCACTCCACAGCCTCCCACTACCTCACCAACAAAATGAAACAAAACAAAACCAAACAAAACCATCCCCCGCCCAAAACCTCCAAGTGAAAGCAGAAAAATGGAAAGGCAGGGAGCCTGTCCCCTCCCCAGACGAGCTGCCGGACTGGGGGCAAGCTTGAGATCTCTGTGCTGAGAGAAGAGACCTTTGCCCCAGTAGGCCCATCTGTCACGTATCTGTCTTCTATTCATCTAGTCAAATACTGAGTATCTGTCCCCTCCCTGGTGTGTCGCCTGTCCTCTCCTATCTGTGTCTATGTTCAGCCACCGCTTGTCTGCCTCCCAAATGTTCTTTATGTTACTGAATCATGTTCTGGCCTCTTCCCACCTCTGGCTCAGCCTCTTTCTTGCCTTCCTACATCCCTCCCTTCCCCATGTCCATGGGCAAATTCGTATTACATAAAAATTGTTTTACAGAGAGGTCTACAGAAAGGTCCACTTATGTAAAGTGAGAACTGTCTGTATACACGTACATGCATAATTATTAAAAACAAACAAAATAAGCAAATGGTAGAATAGAGTAAAGGCACTGTGATGTCCCTGAATAAAAAAAGAGATCTCCTGTCCTTCCTACCACCCTAATATTTTTATCCAAACTCAAGATAAGCAAAGCTGTGACCCTACACCATCTTACCATAGGATGCTGGCCCTGCATTCTCTTCAAAGTTAAGGTCTTCCAGCCAAAGTGCGAGGACTGTAGAATCTGAATTCCAAAGCAGCTCATTTACCTGGTAAGAAAGATTCTGTCGTCATTGTATTTTAACTACCACTGACTTTTTACTCGTTTCCAAAACCCAAAGACTCACTGATGCTAGAAATGTTTCTGCCCCTTTGTACAAATCAAGTGCTCCAAGAACTTAATCGGCTGCTTAGCTGACAAGATCTCAAATAATACCTCAGTGGTGACTAAGTTGCTTTCAAAGGTGGTATCTGATTTTTTAACTGGTGATTAGCTTGCTGATGAGGTGATTATCTTGTAAAATTAACAATAAAACACAACAAATTTCTCTCTCTACCCAGACTCCCATTTTCTAATACAGTTCATTCATCTCCAATACAACTTTGTTTCAGGGAAACTCAGGGGTGATAGAGTACATATCACATTTCAACAATCCTTCTCTCTCTGCCTCAGGAGCAAAACCATTGACATCTAAAAGGGACAAAAAAATCAATTCAAATGAACATATTCAATCTGACATTTATTCAATGTTTATGGCTCAATAAGAGTCATGTTTTTAACAACAGGCACCCAATTTGGAGATGTAGATAAGGTTTTCTTTAAAAAAAAAAGTTATAAACTTGGCAAACATCAATGAATGTTCCCATATACAAAGAAGAGAATAAGATTATATATTAATAGATTTTTTCAAAATTGTATTTGAAGTGCTTGAAACAGTAAACAAACTGTTGAAGAATTCAGAAAAAAATGTCTGTATGCATCTGTCTCTATCCTGTTTTAAGTATAAAACTCTGAGCTTCAGATTAAGGGACTGCATCCCACATACAGTCCCATGCACTTCACAACTCTTCAAAGTTTACTTAAACCAAACAGTTTTAAATGAGTCCAACCTCAAGATTAATTCTCAAGAGAAGTCAGCTAACCTACTTAGCACTTGCTTACTCATAAAGTCTGTATTTTAACCAGTTAGTAAGCATTCATTAAGCATGCACTATATGGCAGGCAGGACAGCCAGGTGGCAAAGTGGGTAGAGCCCTGGGCCAGGAGTCAGAAAGACCAGAGTTCAAATCTGACCTCAGACACTTACTAGCTGCGTGATCCTAGGCAAGCCACTGAATCCCTGACTGCACAAGACCAGAGAAGGAAATGGCGAATCACTCCAGTATCTTTGCCAAGAAAACTCCACGGACAATTGGTCCACAGAGTCACAAAGAATTAGTCATGACAGAACAACAAACACATGTCAGGCCCTGAAGTACAAGGAATAAAACAATCCTTACCACAAAGGGCTTACATTCTAATGGGGGAGACATCAATTACTTATATGAATACATACAGCAAAAATATAAAGTGAACAAATACAAATATATACAAAGTAATTAGGTACAAAGTAGTCTGGGAAGAAGTGGGGGCTCTCGCCACTAGGGAGATCAGAAAGACTTTATGCAGAAGATAGCACTTGTGCTTTGCCATAGGAAGAGAGAGATTTTAAGGAGGAAGTGCACTCTCAGACTTAGCTCAATTACTGGCACATAGGAGGCCTTAACTAAATCTTTACTGACTTGACTTGCTCCAGGTATAGCAAATAGTCAGTCCAAAGCAACTAAGTGCTGAGATGAAAAAATGTGGGTAACCGCCAAAAGAGCAGCTGTACTTATTATGCTGTCTATCTCTATCAGACATAAGCATGATTCTTTCTATGAGAAAGAATTCATAATAATCAAGGGAAGGGATTCTGCAAATTCAACAAATATTTAATAGATATCCAAATGAATTTAAAAGCAACCCTATCTACGAAGCTATAGTATCAGAATCATTAAAGAAAGCAAAAATTAAACTTATCCCTCTCAATACAATCAAGGAAAAGGGGACACATCTTGTTTTTTAAATTTACTTTGAAAAAGCATTTTTCTCTTTTTTTTAAGAAAAGAATCATGTAGTGTATTACATAAAGTGCTTAATAAATGGTTGCTGAATGAAATGCCAGCTGTAACTGATTAATTTTCCTTATTAAGAATTCATGTTTTTATTAATAATTAATCTAATATCAGTTAATAAGACTTCTCCTTTTATATCAGAGACAATCATAAAGCTTTCCTACAGCTATAAAAAGCTTGCTAAACATGGCAAGCTTAATATTGATTCATCATGTACCTACTTACTTACCTTTACCTGACCTTTCTGGAAAGGAAGTATAAAATCTCCATGAAGAAGTCCATTTTTTTCAAAAAACACAACATCATGCTGGTTAGGTTTATTCTGTGTAGATGCAATCAAACTACCAGAAGGCCTTAAAGCAAACCAAAAGAGTATTTCAGTAAAGTCAAGAGATTTTTTTTTTCAATAGCAAAGAAAGTGGAAGTAAAAAGGGTCTCCAAAAGGGCCTGCAAAATAAGCAGAACTAGGATAATTTACATAATAAGCACAAGAAGGGAAAACAACATCCAATGGCATCATAACTCTTATTAATGCAGCAAACCATCACAACTTCAGAGAATGGAGTGTAAAGCATGCCTTCCTCTTCTTGGCAGAGGGACAGTGAACTATAGGTATAGGATGAAGCATCCTTTATCAGACAATGCCAATTAGCATTTTTCTTCATTGTACTTTGTTAAAAAGAGAAGGTACTACTTCAGAGAAAAGTGGAGTGAAAGGAAGTGATATTAATGTTTAAAAAGTTTTAAATTTCCACAAAATCTCCATGTTAAATGACTTCATTTCTTTAGCCATGGGTCCAAAATATTCCTTGTATCTTTTACAACCATTAAAGATTTATCACTCTTATAAATCATACTCTCACTAGATTCCCAATGAGTAGAAGCTACATTCATTCCTTGAGAGTTCTTACAAGTCCTTAAAATAATCAGCTCAGAATTTTCCTTGTTTCAATCACTCCTTCCTATGAGAATTTCCATATACATTAATAGAAAAAGAGAACTGTATGTAAAATTGTGAATCTCTTATTATAAACTGCTTGCTTTTCCTTTAAACATAATAAATTAAATGTGTAAATGAAGGCTGTGTGGATGTTTTAGTTTATTTGAATAATTTAAAACTGTTTTCCAGAATGGCTGGACTACTTGTTCTATGCTCAAAACAGTATATAAAATCCTATAACAATGTACTTTTCATCCCCCATCTCCACTGACTATCCCCATCCTCTGTCATCATTGGTTGTGAAGTAAAACATCAGAGTTGCCTTCTTTTGCATTTCTCTTATTAGCAATGCGTACCATCTTTTCCTACGGCTGTTAATAGTCCGCAATTCTTTCTTTGAAAACTACATGTTGATATCTTTTGACCATTTCTGTATTTGGGTCTCATATACTCCTGTTAGCGCCTACAAATTTTAGATATCTGACCCTTATCAGAGATAATGATATAAAGATTTTCTTAAAAAAAAAAAAGCAACCAAACATATTTTCTTCTCAGTGGATCACTTCCTTTCTTATTATAATTGCATTAATTTTATTCGTGTCAAAGTTCTTCAATTTTATGTGATCAGAACAAAATTACTGATTTTTTTAACCCATTCTACTGTTTAATGAAATACTCTCACTCATTTCTTGTGAAAGGTTTTATGGCATAAAACAAAACTGAATTGTACAATTGTGTATTTTGTGATAAGAGTACGACCAAAACAATGTAGTTTAAAAGTAAATCTTTTACAGATGTTGGTTCAATCTCTACTTAAATTTGCTTCACAGAATGAGGTTAAGCAGTGGTGTCGAGCACAAAAAGAAACTGTGGCCATTAACCAAACATAAGGATACCTGTGGGCCAACATTAGAAAAACACATTGTGGCCCAAGGGCCACTTGTGTGATACCTCTGAGGTAAAGTGGCTAGAACTAACATATACATTGCTCCTTCTACTGTCATCTAAGAATAAGCAAGGCAGCAGAAACAAATTCTGGGTAGCTGGAAGTCCAAACGTTACCATGTGTTATAGTTACGATAAGTTAACACTTACATAGATCTTAAAGGTTTGCGAAGTACTTCACATAAAATATAACAGCTTAAAACTGCACTAAGACTTCTGGAACATCCTATATATTATCTCAATTGATAGTACTTCTAAGGAGCTCTTTCATGACCAGGAACTAGATTGTTTAGAGAACTTGAAGTATACAAAAAGATAACATAAATATCTTTTTCAACACTCATTTCTAATGGAGAACTGAAAATCATAAGCAAGTCTCTGACCTTTACCCAAATGAGATCTACAAAGAGCAGTGAGGTCAGACCTCATCAAAGACAAACTACAAAAAATACATAAAAATCTAGCAGCATTACAATTCTACATGGCTACCCTCACCAGAATTTTAAGAGAGTTCAGAAAAAGAAATGTCAAGGTCTTGAAGGTAACCATAAGCTAGCAAACAAAGCAGTATTCTTCTCCACTTACTTCCATGCCAGTGCTTGTCCTAGTCCGGCAACAGGCTCGCTGGTTGACTGTAAAACAAGCTCTCTATTCCATACTCTGATTTTGCGAGCCCCTATAGAGTAAATGGTTTGAAAAAGAGTAACTCAATATTTAAAGAAGCATGGAAGGAGGCAAGGGGGGAATCAAGGAAATGAGGGGAAGCTACAAATTACTGTCAATTCAACCACTTTTTGAGGAATTCCCTCATAAGTAAAAAATTCAAGATTAATTGTCATATATAAGTTTACACACAAATACATTCACAGTTTTCTGCTAGATCCTTGAGTCTTTTAGAATTTAGAGTCTGTCCCATCTTGGATCACTTCTGTTTCTCAATGGGACTGGTTCAAATTTTGTATTCAAGAGAAAAAAATAACCTAAAAAAAGGGCAAAATCTGCCCAAGAATTATATCTCTTGAAAAGGATGATGACACAAACATTATGTCTTTAGGACAAATATTCACTAGGAAGAGAGAGAGGAAACAAGTGTCTAACATTAAGTTACTGAGAAACTAAAATCTATTTATTAGTTACTTAAGGGAAATAAGCCAGGGAGTTTGGGGAGAAAAGTACCTACTTTTCTGAGTCACCATACTTTATGTGGGTCTCTGCCAAAATAATGAATAGGAAGGGCAGCTTTGAAACCATGTCAAGTAAGATACAGCTGAAGGAAAATTCTTGAGGGCAAGAGCGTTATGTTATACATCTGTGCATCCCTCACAGCGCCAAGCAGTGTTTTATATATAGTAGCTGCTCAACAAATAATTGTTCAATGAATCAATCATTATTTAACCAGGAATAGAGAAGCCTTGGGGGAGAGGTAATAGCCCTTTATATATATGTAAAGGAAGATCATATAGCATAGAGATCAGACATTGTTATCTCCAAAGGGAAGAACTAGGTCCAATGGGTGAAATATAGAGGAAAGGTTTTGGCTTCATTCTTTTTTTTTTTTTTAGGCAATTGGGGTTAAGTGAGTTGCCCAGGGTCACACAGCTAGTAAGTGTCAAGTGTTTGGTCTGAGGCCAGATTTGAACTGAGGTCCTCCTGACTTCAGGGCCAGTGCTCTACCCACTGCACCACCTAGCTGCCCCCTTGGCTTCATTCTTTAAAAAGCATTCTCTAATAATCAGAGCTGCCTAAAAAGAGAACTGGCTGCCTTGAAAAGTAGTAAGCTCCTAACACTGGAAATAGTCAATGAGAATTTAGATAACCAAAATGAAAGGTGCTACACAAGGGATTGTTCATCCACCAGGCCATCCACTATAAAATACCCAAACAACATTAAATAATTTTAAACCTTAATAACTTATTATTAAAAAGTAGGCTAAGAGGCAAAAAAATAGTAATCTAACACTAAGTCCTAAAAATCCTTGAGGAACATGATTTATCTTTCCAAAGACATTAGTGTAATCAAAATATTTTGTCTCCTAGAAAAGAAAGGGAAAATACTTCCAATTTTAATTCTGTTAAGTGGCTAGTAAATTTAGTATATTTCATTTCCTGCAATAGATATTTGAGACATTTATAGAAATATCATAGAAAATAAAATTCTTTAAAAATGTGTCAGCATTCATTACATTGAAAAGATAAAATACAAAATCTGTTATATATTTGAAAGCCTTAGTATCAACAATTTTTATATAGACAATTACTGCTTTGTATAAATTCACATTTTGCAAATTTGACTTTGCTGAAAGAAATCTGCATTATAAAAAAAACTTATGTAAAAAAAAAGACGGGCTCTTTCATTAAGACTTTGGATCAAGACTTTTAGACCTTTTGATTCTCTTTTCATCAATCAGATTCTTTAATTCTTTAGCATTTATAAATGTATCCCTGAAGTTTCCAATCAGAAAAAATTATCCCACAATGAAATGAGAGACAATTTCTTGAACTTACTAATAAGATCAAATTTTTAAAAGAATACTTATGGAAGCAGTTCATCTCCATACCTGTCTCTGGGCAAACAGCACTCACAGCAAAAAACTGCCCATCCCCTCTCCAGGTAACCTGGGGTCTATGATCATCCCAGGGTAAAGCGGGCTGCTCATTCTGAGTGGAGAAGAGAAAAAGAGAAACAAAAACATCATCTAAATACCTGAAACAATGCATGTCCCCTCCCATAAAAGGGTCTCTGGTTATTAAAAATAAAATATTTTGTATGTAGAATACAACCCTAACTGCCTGGAGGTCAACTATCAAAAATACCTCTTCACCCTTCAGGCTTCGTAACTAGTATATACTTAGAAGTGGTGGGTCCCTATAAAAGTAAACAAACAGAACCCCAACTACTTCTTTGGCAATGAAGCAGAGGACCCTGAACATCTAACAATAACGGAACAACACTGACAAGACTATTAGAATTGAAGATTATATTCAATGAGTCATAATATTACTTAATAATTCTTACTTATGCAACACCTTAAAGCATTTTATGCAAAACATTTTACACACATCATCTCATTTGTTTCTCAAATACTCCTGTCAGGTAGGTGCTATTATTAACCTCATTTTACCAATTAAGAAATAGGCCAGGAGGTTAAATGACTTGTCCAAGGTCACGCAGTAAGCATCTGAGGTGGTTTACAAATGCAAGTCTCCCTGACTCCACATCAATATTGTACCCACTGTGACAAACTGCATCCCATAGCAGGTCAGTTCACTGACTCAGCAGTACAGGAGGGCTATAACTTTGACTGGTGTTAGGTCAAAGATTAAGCAGAGAAGTATAAAAAGGTTGCATTAACTTTAAAATATAAAATGGACACCTACATATGATTCAAAAAAGGGAAGCACAGGAAAATGCTGATGACTGCTAAAATACTGTGAACCTCCATGGCTTAGAATGTGTAGCTTGCCAAAATTTTCTTTGCAGATCTGAGTCTCCTCAATATAAAGCTGTGCTATGTAACACACAACTAAATTAGACAACTTAAACCAACTTGTATATGTGTTTCTTGAAGAAAAAAATCTGAAGGTACCCCTATTTCTAGCCCAATGTTCATTAAAAATATATATATTTTATAAATAGTCAGATAAGCTGTGTCTATTTTCTGAAGGGTGACACTGCCACTTCAAACTAAGACATGGCATAAGAAGGCCAGATATAGCTGATGAAAAACAATTCAACAAATCATGTGGCCAAAGAATTATGTGGTTTTTCCCAGATAACTCATTTGGGCATAGTCAATTTTACAAAAATGGTAAAACTCATCTACTTTTACCCAGGGAGTATTTGTAAATTATGTGTGCCTCACATTTAAGCAGATTGCTTTTGCCTGAACTTACACATGTGATAAAAAAAAAATTCACTGAAAATTGAAAAATTCACCATCATAAAGGCATCATACATTTATCTCCTGTATACAGATCAACTAATGCACAGATAATTAAACTACTTTTAACTGCTTTGTGTACATTTAGTGAAAGATCATTTTAGGACCATGAGCTTATTTGAAGCAAGGAGAACAATTCTGTCACCAGAGACACTTAAAGATTTCATTATAAGGAAGTAGATTATTTCTTATTTTTTTCTTAATAGTATTTTTCCAATTACATATAAACATAATTTTCAACTTTCATTTTCGTAAAATTTTGAGTTCCACGTTTTTCTGCCTCCCTCCCTTCCCAAGATAGCAAGCAATCTGATATTTTGTACATGTACAATCACGTTAAACATACTTCCACTTAGCCATGTTGTGAAAGAAGAATCAGAAAAAAAAGGGAAAAACTGGGGGTGGAGTCAAGATGGCGGAGTGAGAGCAATGACTTGCTTGAGCTCTCCTCCACACCCCTCCAAATACTCATAAAAAATGGGTCTAAACAAATTCTGAAGCAGCAGAACCCACAAAAAGACAGAGTGAAACAAATTTCCAGCCTAAGACAACCTGGATGATTGATCAGAAAGGTGTATCGCGCCGGGCTGGGAGCATGGCGCTGCATGGGCGCACAGGGCACTGCGAACCTGGACCAGGCCTCAGAGGATTGAATCGCGGGCAGCTGTGGAAGTTTCCAGACTCCTCAATCCACCAATGCCAACAACAACTTAGAAGGTCAGTAGGAAAAGTCTGTTTCTGTTGGTGCTGAGACAGGAAGGTGGGGTTTCAGCTCCATTCCCCAAGAGTGTGGCCCTGGGGGGTGGAGGGGGCAGCTGCTTCCAGCTTCCAGCCCACAGACTGAGGGGGAATCCAGTGGCTGATCAGAGAGGGATGCAGGGATCTCTTTGCCAGTGCTGAGGCAGGAATCTCTTGCTTTGCCTGTGTTGGATCTGGGTCACAGTTCTGGCGGCAGTGCTGGGGTGAGGAGGAGCGGCGTGGTGGAGCTTGTAGTGGCTGTGGAGAGGAACCCTCCTCACAGTTACAGGACAGAAAGGAATACTTGTGGTCACAGGCCAGGAAAGGAGTAAACACCTCGCCCCTTATCATACCACCTTGGAAGAACTGAAAATTTACAGGTCCCTACAAGTATCTCTGAAAACAGCTATACAAACCCCTGAAGCTTGGGACAGTACATTCTCCACATTGGAAGCAGACTCTTACCTTAACAAAGAGTTTAAAACTCAAGTAATTGGCTGGATCATGAGCAAGCAGCGCAAAAAGAGTCAGACTATAATCTTACTTTGGTGAAAAAGAAGATCAAAATATACAACCAGAAGAAGACAACAAAGTCAAAGCTCCTACATCCAAAGCCTCCAAGAAAAATATGAATCAGTCCCAGGCCTTGGAAGAGCTCAAAAGGGATTTTGAGAAGCAAGTAAGGGAAGTAGAGGAAAAACTGGGAAGAGAAATGAGAGTGATGCAAGAAAATCATGAAAAACAAGTCAACAGCTTGCTAAAGGAGACCCAAAAAAATGAAGAAAATAACACCTTAAAAAATAGCCTAACCCAAATGGCAAAAGAGGTCCAAAAAGCCAATGAGGAGAAAATGCCCTAAAAAGAAATTGGCCAAATGGAAAAGGAAGTCCAAAAGATTACTGAAGAAAATACTTCCTTAAAAATTAGAATAGAGCAATTGGAAGACAGTGACTTTATGAGAAATCAAGACACAGTAGAACAAATCCAAAAGAATGAAAAATTAGAAAACAATGTGAAATATCTCATTGGAAAAACAACTGACCTGGAAAATAGATCCAGGAGAGAGAATTTAAAAATTATTGGACTATCTGAAAGCCATGATCAAAAAAGAGCCTAGACATCATCTTTCAAGAAATTATCAAGGAAAACTGCCCTGATATATAGAACCAGAGGGCAAAATAGAAATTGAAAGAATCCACAGATCTCCTCCTGAAAGAGATCCCCAAAGGAAAACTCCTAGGAATATTATAGCCAAATTCCAGAGTTCCCAGGTCAAGGAGAAAATATTACAAGCTGCCAGAAGGAAACAATTCAAGTACTGTGGAAACACAATCAGGATAACACAAGATTTAGCAGCTTCTACATTAAAGGACCGCAGGGCATGGAATATAATATTCCGGAGGGCAAAGGAGATAGGATTACAACCAAGAATCACCTACCCAGCAAAACTGAGTATAATCCTTCAGGGGAAAAAATGGTCATTCAGTGAAATAGAGGACTTTCAAGCATTCTGATGAAAAGACCAGAGCTGAATAGAAAATTTGACTTTCAAATACAGGACTCAGTGGAACATGAAGAGGTAAACAGGAAAGAGAAATCATAAGAGACTTATTAAGATTGAACTGTTTACATTCCTGCATGGAAAGATGATATTTATAACTCATGAGACCTTTGTCAGTATTAGGGTAGTTGGGAAAAAAATTATATGTATGTATATGTAGATAGATAGATAGAGGGCACAGGGTGAGTTGAAGATTAAGGGGTCATATCTGGAGAATAAAATTAAGGGATGAGAGAGGATTACTCGAGAAGAAGAAAGGGAGAGGTAGAATGGGGTAAATTATCTCACAAAAAAAAAGAAAAGAAAAGTCTCTTCAGTGGAGGGGAAACAGGGGAAGGTGAGAGGGAATGAGTGAATCTTATTCTCATAGGATTTGGCTTAAGGAGGGAATAACATACACATTCAATTGGGTATGGAAATCTGTCTTACCCTACAGGAAAATAGGGGGAGAAGGGGACAAGAGAGCAGGGGGATGATAAGAGGAGGGCAGATTGGGAAAGGGGTAATCAGAAGTAAATACTTCTGAGGAGGGACAGGGTCAAAAGAAAGAATAGAATAAATGGGAGGGCAGGACAGGATTAAGGGAAATAAGAGTTAGTTTTTCACAACATGTCTACTACGGACATGTTTTGCATAACTGCACATGTACAACTTATATTGAGTTGCTTGCCTTTTCAGTGAGGGTGGGTGGGGGGGAGGAAAGAGAAAATTTGAAACCTAAAGTTTTAAAAACATGTTTAAAAAAAAGTTTTCACATGCTACTGGGAAATAAGAAATACAGGAAATGGGGTACAGAAGTCTATCCTGCCTACAGGAAAATAGAAGGGGAAGGGGATAAGAGAAGGGGAGAGAGATAGAAGAGAGAACAGACTAGGGGAAGGGATATTCAGAATGCATGCCATCTTGGGGTGGGGGGAGGGGGGAGATGGGGTGAAAATCTGGAATTCAAAAACTTGTGGGAGTGAATCTTGAAAACTAAAAATAAATAAATTTATATTAAAAAAAATTTTAAAAAGGGAAAAACCACAAGAAAGAAAAAAAAAGAAAATAGCACGCTTCAATCTGTATTGACTCCATAATTCTTTCTCTGGAGGCAGTTAGCATTTCCCATCACTAGTCTTTCGGAATTGTTTTAGATCATCATATTGCTGAGAAGAGTTAAGTCTATCATAGTTAATCATCACACAATGTTGTTGTTGTTATGTACAATGTTCTCCTTGTTCTGCTCACTTCATGAAACATCAGTTCATGTAAATCTTTGCAGGTTTTCCTGAAATCTGTCTGCTTATTGTTTCCTTTTTTTTTCCAGTATTTTCTTTTTATACTTCCCCAGTTACATGAAAAAACAATTTTTAACATTTGTTTTTAAAACTCCGAGTTCCAAATTCTCTCCCTTCCTTCCTCCCCACTCCCCCTCACTGAGAAGGTAAACAGTTTGATATAGTAATACATGTGTGGTCATGCAAAACATATCTATAATAGTCATGCTGTGAAAGAAAGCAGACAAAAAAAAACCTCAAAAAAAAGTAAAAAAAAGAGTATGCTTCAATCTTCATTCAGACACCATCAGTTCTTTCTCTGGGGATGGACAGCATTTTCTATCATAAGTCCTTCAGAGGGAGGAGATGGATATTCAACGAAATAGGGGACTTCCAAACCTTCCTGATAAAAAGACCAGAGCTCAACAAAAAATTTGATCTTCAAGTACAAGATTCAAGAGAGACATAAAAGGGGAATTTCCCTGAAAAGATGGAGCCATGCAGCGAGGCCTTCTCCCATCCAAGGAAGGAAAATGAAATCTCTTAATGACTTAAAATGTCCCAGAGAGATTCTTGTGTTGACTAAATGGGCCCAAATCCACCGCTGGGATGTGAATTAGCCCTGAGGCCTGTTTTTTAAAGTCCTATTGAGGATTTTTAAAAATAGCTTTTCCATTCCCTAGCCCCAATCCTCCTTTGTAACAAAGAAGTAAAGCTCATCAAAATAAATGAATAAATTCCCCCCCCCAAAAAAACAAAGTCCTTCAGAGTTGTCTTGGATCACTGTATTGCTGAGAATAGCTAAATCATTCACAGCTGATCATCTTACAACATTGCTGTTACTTTGTACACTGTACATTTCACTTTGAATCAGTCCATACAGGTCTTTCCAGGTTTTTTGAGAGCATCTTGCTCATCATTTCTTATAGTACAATAGTATTCCATCATAATCACATACCACAACTTGTTCAGCCATTCCTCAACTGATGGCCACCCCCTCAATTTCCAATTCTTGGCCAGCACAAAAAAAGCTGCTATATTTTTGTACATATGGGTCCTTTTCCCTTTTTCATCTCTTTGTGATACAGACCTAGTAGTGGTATTGCTGGATCAGGATCACAGTATGCACTGTTTGGTTGCCCTCAGGGCATAATTCTGATCCTTAAAAAGGTTAAACCTCAATTATCTAGAGAAAACTTAACATGACAAGACTCATTGTCTCAAGGGTTCTAACAGCTCCAGAGAACTGAAGCTTTATTACACTAAGTAAAGACCAAATCATTTACCATCATTAGCTGGATACCTGGGATTTTCATAACATATTTCCTTCCATACTTATTAAACTTATCTGTTACCACTATATACTTACTACTCCCAGGAATTCACTCTTTTGGGTATGACCAGTACACTTATATTAAAGAAATAACTTAGAAAAGAAATCCACTTTGCATGTTCATAACTTATCCCCTTTTTAACTGAGAGATGTTAGCATACAGAAAGGCATTACCATTTGCTTTCGATGTGCAGCTTGTTTGCCTTCTGATCCATGGAACTGAGTCTCCTTTTTCCCCCATCCAACAGTGATAAATTTGCCTACAGATTAAATTTGAAAACGTGAAAGATAAAACGATTAAGTTAAATAAATTACAACAAAAACTTCTATTATTTCCTGTGTAAGCTATTAATCAGCAATTACTTGAGCTTTTAGAATTTTCATTTAACTGACTCAAAGTAATTCATCTGAAATACCTTGTTTCTTAATACGTATACCTATTACTATGAAGACTTTAAAGAAGCATTTTCTATTTTCCTGTTCTTTAAAACTATTTTAGAGATTCATTTAACAATCTTCCTGGTAAGGTAGGCCAGTAATTTTATCTCACACAAGTGAGCATTTTTCAAAATTATGTACCCGTGAACAACGAGCAAATTATTGGAAAAGATAAAAATTTGCAAGCTTTCAACTCACCAGCTGCCATTCACTTTTCTTGATTTTTTTTTAAAACTTTAATTCAATTTTATTTTCAGTTCCAAATTCTCTCCCTCCTTTGGGTTTCTGCCCCAGAAACCAACTCTGAGCCTTCTGCTGGGTGGGAGTGAATGAGGAGATAAGTTTCCAAAGAGGGACCCTGTCTCCAAGTCACTGACAAATGTCTGTTCACACATGCTCAGCTATCAATTTGATATTCATGTACCATGTAGTTATTTGCTTATAATAAAACAAAGGCATTAGTGCCCAACTTTAAAATTAAAAGTATTAGAGGAAATGGTATTTCAAAGTTAGACTTTTACTCACTTTCTCCAAAATCATCTTGATGGATTTGCTTTTCAATAATTGGTTCAAATTCTTTGGTCATCAAAATTAAGGTCTGCTGGCCTGTGGGATAAAGAGAAAAAAATTTTTTTCTTTCCCAAGTTTTTGCTACTCCCTAAAGACAATATTTATTCTCCAAGGAAAATGTTTAGTACTCAAAAGGATAGGAAACTAGATCTGTGATTGCATTGAAACATAGCACTCTCAAGTGAAGAGATCCCTCTACTAAAAGAGGTTAACTGATCATTTTTAGAGATGACTAGAGCCCTTAGAGACCAGCAGGTATCTGAGATGAGACCAGAAGCCAGCTCTTTCTGGTTTTGAGGCTGGTTCTCTATCCACTATGCTAAGCTTTCACTCCTCAGAACTCAAAATATATCCTAATATTTCCTTTCATTTATTAGCTTGTCAGTGCTAGTGCTCATATGTGCACACACATGCCCTTATCCCTGTAACTGCATTAGTAATCACAATTCTGTTCCATGAACACTGATGACTACTATTCATTAAAGAATATTTGGGATACCACTAATACATTATTAAAAGTTATCTATTTACAGACACAATTACATACGGGATACAGACAGAAAGAGAAAAATAAAACTTTTTTTAAAAAATTGTTGATAAGGGTGTATCTTTCACTCTGGCATCTCAAAATTCCTAGATCTTAAATACTAGACTAGGTATATAAGATTAAGCTTAACTTAACGAGGTTAACTGTTAAGAACAAACAGCATCTTGAGACTTACCAACAGTGATTCTACTAGAAAAATACACTGCATTCTCACCCACTTAAATATTTTATGACCTTGCTTTCCCTTTCCACAAACTTAGAAAATAAGGTTTTAGCAGCACACTATGCTATAAGCTCTAAGGACACAAATGAGATTCCCTCTAGACTGTGATGCTATGTTACTTCTCCTCTCAAAGTCTTCCTTCTGATATATTTTTTTTAAAGAAACAGCTTGAAGATCCAACAAATTGAGCCAGAATACTTTATGAGAGGGTCAGTGTAAACTGTGACAACTCAACCTGTAACAAGAAGAACAAGTTCCTGGTCTGGACTCCAACTCATGACAGACAAACCACTGGCAACACTCCCAACACACTCCAGCTGAAACACACAGAGGAAAAGAAAAGTGAAATGCTGAAGTTCAAATGACCAGAAACTCAGAGTCACTGATTATTTAAGATTCCTAGTCCTGAATCAAAATAATAACCAAAATACCTGTAAGCACCACACCTAATTTTTTAAAAACAAAATAATAAATAATACAAGCTGTCCAAGATGGCTCCAATCTATGTTTCTGAGCTGATTCCAAAAGCTCCCCATTCTATCTCAACAGGCCTACTTACTGTACCTTGTACACAGTACTGCTCCTGCTGCCTCCATGCTTTTGTGAAAGTTGTCTCTCATTCCTGGGATGTTCCATTTCTCATCTCAGCTTCTTGAAATCCCTAGATGCCTACAAGGTTTGGCTCAGGTGACACTTGCTACTTGAGGCTTTTCCTAACTCCATCCCACCCCCCCAATTGTTTGGGCTCTTTCCCAACACCAATATTATTTTGCATTTATTTATTTAAGTACATACCATTTCCTCATTCCCTCCCTTCCCCTGCAAGAATATAAGCCCTTTAAAGACAAGGACTCTTTTATTCTTGTCTTTGTATTCTTAGCACAAATGTCTAACTGGCCCCTAACAGATGCTTATTGGAATGAATTAAACAAAATCTGAAATCCAATACACTTCTGATCATAAAATGATCTGGAAGTTTTATAATGGACAATTTATACAGCTGATGTAAGAGACAGAAAGACAAGACAGCAAAAAGAATTAGGGAAGCCAGTTCACTAATTTGGATACACTGTTAGTAAAAAAAAAAAAAAGGGGGGGGGGAGGAAAATCTATATATCTACAAAAAGAAAGTTTACTCCATCAACAATCTGAGAATAGAGGAAGATGAAGTGAGTTTAGAAGCTACCTTTACCCCATTAGTCTTAACACTCTGTAGCACTGATGAATTCATGACCAAAAAAAAAGTCACATTAGTTATTTAAAAGAAATGAATAAATTCAGACCCCAAAACAATTGCAACTTAGGATCACATTTTCTGGAAACAGTCGACCTACATAAAAGCACAAGGCATAGCTCTTGTCAATACTGTAACAGTCTCTCTTGTAAAGTTCTATGATTAGTCAATAGAAGACAATATAAATTCTCTACATGGTTCTAGCCAAAAAATATCCTCTCAACCAGGGATAGGGAACCTGTGTCCTCGAGGCCACATGTGGCCCTCTAGGTTCTCAAGTGTGGAGGATTTTTCTGTAAAACTGTGACTCAATCAAAAGGCCACACCCAAGGACTTAGAAGGCCACAGGTTCCCCAACCTTGCGTCTAAACACTGCCAGAGCCAGGATAGCAACTCTATTAAGTATAAGGTCACAACATGGAATACAGTGACATTTAACTTCTAAAAAATATACTCCTAAGAATATTGTAACTGATTCAAATCAAGATCTTTACTGTAAACACAGGACACATTAGGCCACTTTTCAGGTTACCTGAAGACATTTATTCAACTTCCTTTTACCTGGCTAGTGCTGAGACTACAGAGTAGAACATCTCCCGCAGCTGTAGCCACACACACAGACTCTTGATCTAACAGGTCCTGGACACCCACAATGCAGCCACTGCCATCTTCTGGAAGAAAGCCCTCTGACATCAAAGAAATCTCACAGGTTACCTTTCACCCAAAGAAAAGAAGACACAAATGAGAAAACCAAGGCTCTCAAAACAGCATAGAACACTCAGATCATAAAATAATGTTTAATGGCCTTACAAGTACAGAAGTTTCATAAAATACCTTCAACTAGGGAAAATTTAAAGCCCTGCTAAGGGAAAGATCATAACAAGTAAAGAGTCAGTGAGATCTACTTAGAGGAATGGCAAGCTAATGATAATACACTCTATCTTCAAATTGGGTAAAAGCTGAAAGAATACAAAGACTAAATGTTCACCTCCTGAAAGGCAGAAAGTAGGATGATGGGAAGAGAGAACCTAGTTAAAAGGATTCCCACTATTTCAATCCAATCCTGTTTGTTCTAGGCAGAAATTGCATTCTGAGTACTCAGGTGTTTTCAGGGAATTCAAGTCAATAGGTCCAGGCAAATTACATCCCAGGGTAATAAAATAAAAGCTATAATAAACAGGAGTGGCACTCCAGAACTGAAGATGGGCAAATGTTCCATTTTTTGGAAGAGGAAAAGTATATAATTTAATTTGTAGAACAGTGACCCTCACTTAAACTCCAGGCAAAATTTTAGAGGTGATTGTTATATCCATCAATATCAACGTCATTCCCTTTTTGGGGAGGGTTATTAAACTGAAAGATCCAACTGATGTTATAGCAAATATGAATTTCAGTTAGAATGTGCACAAGGTATCTAATGATACCTTTGAAGAAAAAAAGCAGATGTGCTGTAAATGACAATACTTGAATATACTCAGAACTAACTGAACCCCAAACTGGCCCCAAAGGGTAGTGACTAATGGATCTGTGTAAACCTGAGGAGAAGTCTGTAGAGAATTGCAATAAGGTTCTGTTGGTTCTTCTCCCTTTCAAATTTTCATCAGTGACTTGTAAGGAGGCAAAGATAACATGTATGTGTGTTAAATCAGCAGTTGGCATAAAACCTAGAGATAACTAATATAGTATATGATAGAATTAGAATTTTGAAGGATTTTAGAAGGCCAAAATAAGCTTAATTTAATTTAAAAAAAAAGATAGGAATGAATATAAAGTCCTTACCAATTACACCTTTAAAAATTAACTGCATAATACAGAATGGAGGTAATATAGCTAGGGGAGAATTGATGTGAAAAGGATCTGGGGATGTTACTAGACTTCGAGCTCAATTTAAGTGTGATATGGCAGATTAAAAAAAACAACAACATGATTTTAGGCTGCATTAGTAGAAATATGGCATCCAGAACAAAGAAGGTGAGAGCCCTACTGTACTGCTGTCCTGAACACATCTAAAATATATCTAGATGGGGGCACTGGCCCTGAAGTCAGGAGGACCTGAGTTCGAATCTGGCCTCAGACCAAACACTTGACACTTACTAGCTGTGTGACCCTGGGCAAGTCACTTAACCCCAATTGCCTAAAAAATAAATAAGTGAATGAATGAATAAATAAATAGATAGATAGAGAAATAAAATAAAATAAAATATATCTGGATGAATGAAAAGTATTTCAATTTCAGGAATGGAGAAGCCAGAAAATGTCCAAGAAAAGAGGACTCTAATCCATGCCACAGGAGGCACTGGTTAAAGAACTGAGTATGTTTAACCAAAAATGGGAACATGTAAGGAGTTGGTAACTGTCTTCGTATGTGAAGTGTTGTCAAATGGAAGACTTGTTCTACTTCATTCCAGATGATAGATAGATCTAGGAATAACCATGGAAGCTGTAGAAAGGATTTTAACTAGACATAAGGGGGAAAAAATCATAATAAATTGGTCCTGTCCAAAAGCAAAATGAACTTCCTGGCAAGACTAATCAGGCAAGGTTGTACTACGTAGCTCCCAAGGTCCCATCCCACTCAGAAATGCTAAAATTCTAATTTTAACTGTTCAAAAACTATAATAAGTGGTACTAAAACTAAAGTGAACACCAGTGCTTCAATAGTTGTTTATTAGAGCAGTATGGGAATCTGAAAGAAGAAAAAAAATTTCAGTAGTTCCTTTCAGTTCATTTGTATTTTCTTTTTTAGATACCATTGTCACTTCCTAATGAATTTCTCTCCCTTGGAACAAATAAATATAATCAAGAAAAGCAAATCAACACATTGGCCAGTTCTGAAAACACATGCCTCACGCCATGACTATGGTCTATGACTTCTCTTCCAAGAGGCAAGAGGCATATTTCAGCATCAGTCTTCAATTCTAGCAGTTTCTGAAACAATTTTGGGACCCACAAACCCTCAGTAAGCAAAACCCAAATTTATATTAACTTAACAAGGCGTATGCCTTTTCACTCAACAATTCAAGCAAGTAATTATCTCTAATATGTACCTATAACACCTATAAATAAAAAGGTTGGTGTCTCCTTTCCCCCTATTAAAGTCCCTATGGGATGTGGAACAAAAGAAGAATGTAACTACTCAAAACCATAAACAAGTATTCTTTCAGTGGAAATGGAACAGTGATTATACATATATACAACCACACCCACATACATATATCTATATCTATATACATCTATATAGATATAGATATAGATATAGATATAGATATAGATATAGATATAGATATAGATATAGATGTAGATATAGCTATAGATAAAAACACACATTCATATATCACCTGAATCTTACGGCAAACAGAGAATGGAAATAGATCATTACTTGAAATAACTACACCTTTCATAACACATGTAAATCAGTAGGGATTTCTCATTAAATGAATAATGAAAAACCATACAATTAAAATGATGCCACTAGAACCTAGAGAAAGAACTGCAGAAAGTTTAAAAGAACTGGACAAAAGACTATGACAAGATGACATAAAATTCTCCCACAGTGACTCACTTCTCTTGCAACAGGATCCACTTCTATAAGCCCATATCCTGAGCCAATGAGCAATGTCCCCTGATCAGTCCTGAGAGAAAAGCACTGAGGTTTCCCAAGAGTCTGAATATCCTTGAATTCCAAGGTCCGAAGTAACTTTAGGTTGCGCATGGTGAATGAACAACTGTTGGGAAAAATAAACTTTCAAACTTAAGCAGCATTCAATCAAAAACCAAAAATGAAACGCTTAAGTCACAATAAGTGTTTCATATTTATGAGTAAGTGGGCATCAGGAAAAAGGCTAAGAAAATAAAATCAGGCAACTACAATTCTTATTGCACAAATATATATTCGCACATGATCTCTCCCTCCCTCCCTCCCTGCCCCCCCTATATTATATGAAGGCATATAGCAGATGGTCAGGAACTGAAATCTATTTCCGGCTCTACCATTTAAAACAAGCAAATCTATGAATTTCATATTTCTTTAGCACTGAAAAAAAAATCCTGGATACTTCAAATATCGAAAACATGAAAACACCCAAAGCATATTCTATCTCTGGGTTACTATTATTTAAGTAAAAATAATTTAATAAAATAATATATTATCAAATGAGTGATAAAAGATATGATCTTATATAAAAGAAAATAAAACTGTATGACCTTGGGCAAGTCACTTAATTTCTCTGGAAAAGGAAGGAGTCTGATGGCTTCCAAGGTAATTTCCAGGTAAAATCTATTATCCTAAATTCTCAAATGAGTACATGGACAAATTATGCTGAACAAGAAGCATTATAAAATTAGTACTCTGAAAAATGTCTTAGGAGTTCAATGACCTCATAAAAAGTTGCTTAAGATAATTAAATCCTGGGGCAGCTAGGTGGCGCAGTGGATAGAGAACCAGCCCTGAAGTCAGGAGGCCCTGAGTTCAAATCAGGTCTCAGACTCAGACCAAACATTTGACACTTACTAGCTGTGTGACCCCGGGCAAGTCACTTAACCCCAATTGCCTAAAAATAAATAAATAATAAAAAATATCTAGATCCTCCTAGTAGGAATTTTTTTTTCAATCCAATCCCATGAAAAAGTTCCAAAAGACTGCCCAGGATATAGAAGCCTTTTGAACTAATAAAAATATACTTTCATGACATCAAATTTAAAACTTAAAAAGATTAAATACAGTATATTTTTTGTGCAGACCATTATATAAATGCTGGCTACTATCATCATTAGCCTACATACACTTCAGCCTCTCCAAGCCTTTAAAAAGTTTCTCTGACAACTATACTTTAAACTAGAAAACCGATCCATCTTCCATCCCTTTTACTGCCAAACTTCTTTAAAACAAAAAACCCCACACACCATCTATACATATCCACCTCCTCACTATTTAGTTTTTCATTAAAGCCTTGCTATCTAACTCTCCCCCCCTCACAGCACTGATTGCTCCATGGTCACAAACAGCCTATTAATGGCCAAATCCAAAGGCCTTTCTTTGGTCCTCATCTACCTCTCTGTAACATTTCATACATGGCTTGCTCCTGCTACAGCAGGGGTGGACATATGTGGAAGCTTGGTATAGTCTATGGACCTCCTCAGAATAATATTTTTAAATTTATTATATATATATAGGATTACAAAGAAAACCAGTAATACTGAACTTCATGGGCCCTAGAGGTTAAGAACTCTTGTTCAAAAGACTACAGAATACATCATAGAGATGTGGCTAAAGTGCTTCACCCGGAATCAGGAAGAGCTATGGTCAAACCCTACCTCTGATGGTGACTCATCCTGAGATCCCTGACGTGCCACTCAACCTCTCTGAAGCTTTGTTTCCTTACTGCAAAATAGGGATAAGTATAGTACCCTCTCAGGGCTTCTTGAGACAAAACAGATATTATGTAGGTACAGAACTTTGTAAAATGTAGTGAGCTACATAAATATTATAACTCTCTCCTCCTTGGCTTCAGAGAAACCACATTCCTTTGGTTTTCATCCTATCTTTCTTCTCTATCTCCCTTGTTATCTGCTTTTTTCTTCCCTATCTCTTCAGAAAGACGCTCCAGAGAGTTCTGTCCCTTAACCTCTTTTTCTCTCCAGATTTTCTCCCTCAGTTATCTTATTTATTTTCATAATTTCAACTATCACCTCTTTACAGACATCTCCTAAATCCATATATCCAGCTCCAGCTTCTTTCCTGAGCTCCAGATCTAGATCTCTAATTGCCTATAAGATATCTCTATATGGGGACCACGTACCTGAAACTCAACATGTCCAGAACTAGAATGATTATCTTGCTCCTAAAACCTGTACCTCTCTGACCTGACATCCATGGTATCATCACCAGTACTCCATGTTCAAAACTTTATCACTCCAAAGGACTCATGATGGAAAATACCGTCCACATCCAGAAAAAGAACTATGGAGTCTGAATGCAGATGGAAGCATATTATTTGCTCTCTTTTTTTTTGTTTGTTTCTTCTTTTCTTGTGCCTTCTCCCATTGGTTCTAATTCTTCTTTACAACATGACAGTTGAAAATAGGTTAAATACAAATGTATATGTAGAGTCTATATCAAATTGCTTGCTGTCTTGGGGTAGGGGGAGGAGAGAGACAGGGAGAAAATCTGGAACTCAAAATCTTATGGTGCGAATGTTGAAAATTAAAAACCTTTGTTATTTTGAAATGTTCCTTCTCCTTAACCTCATATTCAACCAATTATCCCATTGATTCTACCTCCTTGGCATATCTGAGTTAGATTTTACCTGTTCTAGAATAAATCCCCTAACAAACAACAGAACTCTCCTTTTTCTTCTTTATCCTCTAGTTGCTGCTGGTGATAGGAAATGTATATATAGGTCCTGCTGCAACTAGCAATGGTTATAATAAACTACTTGTAAATATACCTATATACTTTGTTTCTCTTCCTCTTTCTTCTTGTGTGAATGACCAAAGAAGAGTAATTTTCAGCCTGTGCTAAACTGGTGGCAAGACAAGGGCTACAATCCATGGATGGATTTGGTTCATGTAGTAAATGGATGGTAACTATTTTTCTCCATTCTCATTGCCAGCAACCCTATTTCATTCAGATCCTTAACAACATTCAAGGAAAACTTGTCAAGAGTCTCCTAAATGGACTCCAACCTCCAGTCTTCCCTCCCTCCCATCCACAGTACTCTCAAATTAATCTCTCTAAACCACAATTCTGACCACTTATCCTCTCACTGAAAACCTCTAATAGTTTCCTACTGCCTATGGAATAAAGTCCAAATTTCTTTAGGCTGCCATTTAAGACTTCCCCAGACCTGGCCCCAAACTATCTTTCTAATTAGAAAGCTGCATGTTATGGTGGACAGTCATGGACTGGACCTGGTCATACCCCACCTTTGAAACCTACTAGCTATGTGAAGATGACAAAGTCACTTAACTTTAACAACCTGCAGTTTCCTCATCTTTAAAATGAACATAATATATGTGAGTACTTACCTCACAGAGTTGTGACATTCGTATGAGATAATAAATGTGAAGCACTCTGTAAACTTTAATGCGCTATAAAGAGGTCAGCTGTTATTATGAGGATCTCCTCAGATCACAGATTTAGAGATGGAAAGGACCTTAGAGGCTATCTAGTCCAACCCAAGGGGTGCTGGGGTCTCTATGTGAATTTCAAACAATACTACTCCCTTGCTTGACTATTAATTGACATACTGACTCTTCTGACCTTCCCATGCACTGACAATGAAGGCAGAAGAACGGGTTATTTTTTCATTCATTCACTCAACACACTTAATGTGACTAAAGTCTCCTAAATGTTTCTTTCCAGCTCCACCTTCCTTCCTGGCACTCGGACTTAACAAAAGCTTAATGACTGAGACTGACTTTAGGGGTGGCTAAGGAAACTGAAGTTTTGGAAGATTAAGTAATTTGTCCCAGGTCAAAGAGGGAGTGAGAGTCAGATATGGGATATGATTGAAGAGCCAGCATGCTCTTTCCACTATACCACACATTGTCTCATTATTCCCCCTTCCATACCCTTACACTCCTGGTTTCCTAACAATCTCCTTCTCTCTCCCCCTACACATTCACCTCTCTACTTTTGCCTTTCCCCCAATTCTCCTAGTTCAAATGCTATCCATCCTTTAAGGTCTAGCCCAAATGTCATCTCTATGAAGCCCTCCTTAATCAATAAACATTTAAGTGTCTACTAGGTGCTAAGCGCTAGGGATACAAAAAGAGGCAAAAGGCAATCCCTGTCCTCATGGAGCTTACAGTCTAACAGGGGAGACAACATGCAAATAAATTGTACACAAAGCTATATACAAGACAAATAGGAAATAACTAACAGAGGGCAATGGGGAAGACTTCCCGCTTTAGAAGATGAGATTTTAGTTGAGACTTAAAGGATGCCAGGGAGGTCAGCACGAACATTAATCCATGGGCATACGTAATCTCTTCCTTCCCCGAGCTCCTACACGATCCTTTGTGCCTCTCCTGTGCCCATTCCTCCCGGTGTTAGTTATCTGTCTGAACGTCTTCTCTCCCACAGATGGTCAGCTCCGTGAAGGCCCGGAGCCCATCTCAACCAACCCGGTGTGTCTGCCTCCCTGACCACGCCTCACTCCCCGCAAACATTAAGCGGGGAACGAAGGAATCAATGAAGGGAGCGGCCCCTTCTTCCGCCTCCTTCCCGGCTGCGGCTGTCGAGACAGAGTCGGCGGACAGCAAGGAGACAAAGCATCAATGAACAGTTAATCCAGGGCGCGTACGTGGTGAAAATCCAAGGTGAACCCCCAGCGCCCCCGAGAAGCCCGAGCCCCTTGCTGTAGCGGGCACGCGCACAGCCGCTCCTCCAGGAGAGGGGTGGAACGCGCATGCGCCCTATGAGGGTGCCTCCGCGCCCTGCCCGCTCGGTCTTTCTCAGGAATGGATCCCAAAGGGCCGGATCCCTAAGGGCCGGATCCCCACCACCCGAAATAACTGCGCATGCATTTACCTGCGGCTGCTCTCTGTCTAAAGGGAGTCCGGCAAAGTCCGAGCGTCGCCCGTAGCCACGCGTACCCTTGTCTCGGTGTGCACACCGTCCCCGACGCTACGGCGTACGCGGGCGAGCCGCGAACCTCTGATACGCAGGCGCCGGGGCTCACGGCACCGACCTCGCTCCGGGCCGCGCGCGCTCTGGTTTCCGGCCGACAAGCACGCGCACCAGTTCTACAGAGCTTCTTGGGCCCCCGAGGGGCTTGCCGGGAGAGGCCGCTGGAGCCCGGTATAGAGGTGGGGTGAGCTAGCTCGGCTCCAGCGTGGCCACGGGGAAGTACACGTGACAGCAACACAGCCTCGTGACCGCGGCGCAGACACGTGATGACTTCAAGGGAAAGGGCGGGAACGCTGAAAGAAGGGCGTGCTTAGGCAGGAATGAGGTGTGAGCCGCGAGTGGGGAAAAGCCAGCAGTGGTTCCTCCCCACATCCTGATCCAGAATACCGAACTGCCCGCGCTGTCTGGCACGGAGGCTCCCTGGGATGGGGGCGGGGAGGACAGTCACAGGAAGAACTGCCCAGGGTCCCCCCGCCCCCGTCTGGCCACCACCTCCCACACTGGTGCCGGCTCTGAAGTTTGCTGCAAGTCTCTAGGTCGTGACGCTTTGGCAAACCTCCCTCTCCCCACCCCCACATCCAGTCAGGTGGCCAAGTTAAGGTTGAGTTTGCATCATCCCTCATCCGACACCTTCCATTCTACATTACCAAACATCCTAGGTCTGTGCCTCTCCCGACAACTGTAATCATAAGAGCTTAGTAGGATTTCCCTGCTTCCAGTCTTACATCTCCCCATTCTCACTCGCCATCCTTCTCCCCACCCCACTAGTTGCTCCTACACTCAACTCAACAACAAATTTGTTGTTGTTCAATCGTGTCCAACTCAATGGGATCCCACAGACAAAACATGGGTTTTCTTGGCAAAGATAACAGAGTAGTTTGCCATTTCCTTCTCCAGTGTGTCACCATTTTACAGATGAGGAACTGAGGCAAATAGGGGTTAAGTGACTTGTCCAGGGCCACACAGCTAGTAAGTGCTGGATTTGAGCTCAGATCTTCCTAACTCCAGGTCTGGTGCTCTATCCACTGTACCACCTAGCTGCCCAGCTCAACACTTAACAACTAACAGAAAGAACAAGCTGGTCTGCGACACCTACTACTACTTAAAAAAAAAAAAGTTAAATGGCTCCCTGTTGCTTACTGAAAATAACAATAATTAGAACAACAAAAACTAAACAGTTCAAATTTGGCCTCAAGCACTTTAGCTGTGTGACCCTGGGCAAGCCACTTCACCTGTTTGTCTTAGTTTCCTCTTTTGTAAGATGAGGATAGTAATAGCCTTGTTGTGAGGATAAAATGATGACATTTGCAAAGAAACTATATAAATGCTAGTTATTATTATTATTGAAGTTCCTCTATGGTATGACTCCAACCTACTTTTCCAATCATATCTCACATTACTCCTATGCCCATTTCCTTAATGCATCCGCCGATTGAAATCCTTCTAGAACCAGCTCAAATGCTCCATTCCCTGGTACCCTGGACTCTCTGAGCATTTTATGTCTCTTTTTTGGACTTCTGAATGAATTAAAACGCAACTCAAGGAGTTCACTCACATTTTCCTGGGAGTTGAACCTGGAGGTTTCAACTGAATGTAATTGCAAAGCAATTTCCATCAACAAAAAAACATATCAGTTTCTGATTTTGAACTACGTACACCACAGTTGCTTCTCTGGATGATAACCATGGGGGCTGGGCTGAAAGCAGGGCTGGTAGTGTGGGGTATGCTGTTATTCCCAGAGTTCTTGAGCTCAGTGTCCTGGGCTCCTCCACTGAGGTCTGAGTGCCCATGGTAGTCCAGGCTTGTTTAATGTGGCTGGACCATGTTGCTACCTATCCCTCCCTCATGGTACCTTGCTGTTTCAGCTAGGCTGCCTTGCCTGGCCTGGAAATGGCATTTGGTCAGTAATCAGTGAGGATGTTGGTGCCTCCACTAGGGTTGCTTCCTTGGATGATGGTTGCAGGGTCTGGGTTGCAAGGAGGAATGCTGGTGGTAGTGGTAGGGTGGTACTTATGCCCACTAGTGTCAATTGGTCAGCAGTTAGTAGACATATCTTACCTTTCCTACTAAACAGTAATTTCCTTGAGTCAGTCAACTAATATTTAAGTGCCTGCTATGTGCCAAGCACTGTGCTAAGCGCTAGGTATACAAAGAAAAGGAAAGAACAAACAGTGCTGCTCTCGAGCACTATATATAATTTATATAACTATATAAATAAAAATATATAATAAATTTATAATAACCATTTTATCTAAAATAAACTGGGAGTCGTTTCAGAGAAACTTCTTGGAAGGGTGGAGCCAAGATGACAGAGTAAAAGACTTCTTGCAGAAAGTGGGACTTTAGCCCCAAGACTTGAAGAAAGCTAGAAGGTAGAACTGAGGAGGGAGAGCATTAGAGGCATAGGGAACAGCTCATGAAAACAGATGGAGTCAGGAGATTGAGCTTTGCTTGTAAGGAACAGCCAGAAGACCATTGTCACTGGATCACACTATAGGTGGAGGAGAGTAAGATGGAGAGTAAGAAGACTGAGAAAGGTCTGAGGTGCCAGTTATGAAGGTTTTGAATGCTAGACACAAAATTTTATATTTGATCCTGGAGACTGAGGAACCACTGGAGTGTATTGAATGAGGGAGGGGATGATATGGTCACACCTGCATTGTAGGAAGATTAATTTGGCTTTTTTTCCTGTAAAAAAATTTATTTATTTTTAGTATTCTTTTCAAATTTTAAGTTCCAAATTTTCTCCCTTCCTTCTATCCCTCCCCCACCCACTTAGAAGGCAAGCAATATAATATTAAATTATACATGTGATATAATATAAAACATATTTCCATATTTTAAAAAAATTAAGTGAGAAAATTATACTTCAATTTGCACTCAGAGTTTATCAGTTCTCTCTCCAGCAGTGGATAGCATTTTTTCAGCATGAGTCCTTTGGAATTGTCTTGTATCACTGTATTGATCAGAGTAGCCAAGTCTTTCACAGTTGATCATCATTATAACATTGCTATTACTGTGCACAATGATCTCCCAGTTCTTTTCATTTCACTTTATATCAGTTCATATAGGTTCTGTGGTGCTGGAAGGAGTACCCCTTGCAAAGGAAATCCCAGATCACTTTTGAGGTGATGCCATACCATCAAGATGAGATTGGCTGGCCAGGCCATTGGGTTGGTACATTATAGCATAGATTTGGGACAGACTGCAGGTATACAGTGAACTGAGAGCAGAACTGAGTGGAAAGAAGAGAGTAGACTAGATTGCATTTGGAAAATTATGCAATGTTTTTAATTATATTGAATTGTTTCTTGCAATAAAGCCTCATGTTTTCAATGTAATCATTCTCCTGATGATGCTCTATAGTTGCTAATCTTGGAACATCCCAGTCTGCGGAATCAAAGTTGCAAGTGAATGAAAGGACAAAGGTGAAATGTGGAGGGCAGAAGTAGTAGAACAGAAAGACAACTGGATTTTCAGTCAGAGGACCTGAGTTCAAATCCTGATTTTTCCATTTCCTACCTCTGAGCCATGGACAAGTTACTTCCCTCCCTTGAGCCTCAAAGTTTTCATTTTTTGAATGAAGAAGTTGGATTGTATGGTTTCCAAGGTCCTTCTTAACTCTAGGTCTGTGCTCCAACAGTATGTATGACCTCTCTTGGGTTTCCATTTTTTCGTCTGTCCTGGTACACAGGAAACAGTTGTTGTTTTTTTTTAATCTGTTCTTGTGACTTGGAATATCTGCACTGGGTGCTATATATCTGTAGAGGCCACCATAAAACTAAGGCCTAGAGACATTAAGTTATTTGTCCAAGGTCATACAGAAAATTAAGTAGCAGAAGCTGGATTTGAACCCAGCTTCTCTAACTTTTCCAGACTCAGCTCTCTTTCTACTACATCATACTGTCCCTCAGGAAGAGAGAGACAAATCAAAGAGAGACATAATATGCTAGATAGCTGAATTAGGCTCCAAAGAGAATATATCATGTTGGCCAAATGTAAAAAGATGGAATTTTAACAGCATTAATGTGAAGTCTTCAACTAGGTTTGATATATAAAGACCTATATAATCACAAAATGAAGTCACAGCCAGATAGATATTCATTTGAAAAGCCTCAGGGGTTTAGATGACTGTAAGTGCAATGTGACTCAACAGTGTGACTGGGCAGCCAGAAAAGGTAATTTGATCTTAGGCTATACCTAACATTTTCAAGTATAATGTTCAGGATGTAGAAAGTGTACTTTATTTTGTAAATAGTACTTTTGTAAATAGAATTTTGTAGTTACTCCTTCATTCTATGCTGTCAAACCACAGGTACAACACTGAATTCAGTTCTGGGCACTATACTTTACAAAAGACATTGACAAGTTTGGAGCATACACAAAGTCCTAAGAGAGCACCATCAAATGTACCTGGTGTCAACAGTAAGACAAATTCAGACAGGGGAGTGAGGAGAGACAGCAGTGACACTTTCGACCTTTGGACACAATTCTTGGGACATTAGCTCATATGGAGGATAGAGGAAGAGATCTTGGGATAATCTCCATCTCAGTCTACAGAGAGACCACAGTTCTGTTGCTTGGAGGCCACCTTCTAGGTGAGACAGAAAGGTTGAATTCTCTTTCCAGGAGGAGTTCATTTGGAACGTGTCAGTTATTTGGTGGGTTCCTATTTGCTAATTAATAGTAAGCTTAGTTGCTTCTACCTGCTGAAGAGTACCTTCATTGCTAACATTACTATTAGCATACTCTAAGTTTTGTTGCCCTCATACAAAGTGCCAGTCATTCTGCCTTAGTTATTCTTCTGATATCCTGAGGCAAGGGACCAGAAAAGTGAGAGGAATGGAAACTGTGTCAAACAAGGATCAGTAGAAGGAATTCAGGATGTTTGTCTTAATGAAGAAGAAAGGAGGACATTCTTGTAACTTGTAACTTGTAATATATCTTGTAACTTGTTTCATTCAGTAAGATCTAAGGAGATTGATAGATTGTATCCTATTTTGGGGGGCTTTTTTTTTTTTTGCTTGGGATGTGGTAATGAGTCAGTTATTCCTTGTTCCACTGCCTTTTTGAAACTAACTCGTTCTCTAACTTATCTGAACTGGGAATGAGCTCTTTCGCTTTTATTTCTGAAGTCAAGCTTTCCTTTTGGAATTCTAAAGGTTTTGCATGTTTGTAAAGAAATATATTTGGGAATCTTAGAGACGTCAGTTTTCTAGGTATTTCTACAAGTCCCTTTGCTACTGTATAATTGCTTTCTCTTTGTTGAAAGATGAATTTTATTTTATTTAATAATATTTTAAAGTTACATTGAAACTTGTATTGACTTTGTTAAGTGGAAAAATATGTTGTGGAAACTAATCATATCTTTTGATTCAGTGATTCTATTGCTAGAACTTTATTGTATATCTTTTAGTGGGCAGAGAGAATTCAATTTGAAGTTAGAAAGATCTAGGTTTGAATTAACTCCAGGGACTTACTAGTTGTATGATCTCAGGCAAAGGACTTAAAAACTGAGGCTTTTTGGAAGAGGTGGCACCTGAGAAGCAGAGATGAGGATATAAATTCCAGGTATGGATTGATGGGATGGTATGTTGAGTTCTGGGAACAGCTAGTAGTATGGTTTGACTGGAAGGTAAGAGTTTGTCAAGGGGAGTAGTTGCGTGAATTAAGTCTGGTAGAAGCCCTTAAATGCCAAGGTGAGGAACACATTTTTTTTCCTGGAAGGCACTGGAGAACCACTGAAAGGTTTTTTTTGAGCAGAGTGGAACTGCTCTTACCTGGGCTTTGGGATATACTAATATAAAAAAAGGAAGGTGGAAACGTCTGAAACTATATGTATATAATAGCAGGAGTAATGGAGAATCTCACCTGGGGCACCTTTAAAGGAGCTGGTCATGTGCTCTGGGCCTCTTTTATTTTTAATAGGAACCCCTCAACCTCCCTCCTCATCCCAACAGTCTATTCGTCCAAGGATTGCAGAGTAGCTGAACGAACCACCGCGATCTAAGCTGTTCTGGCGCTGCACAGCTGCGCCCACCTTCGGCTGCCGGAGGGGGGCGCTCGCACGCGCACGAGGCTCGGTGCGCGCGCCGGCCGCCGCTCCCACGTGGGAAGGCGGAAGTGCGTGGTGACTTATCTGTGGGGCTGCGATCGCTGGATCTGGCGGGAGCCGAGCTCGCCATGGCGGCCGGTGCCGGGGGTATCGCGCCTGCGGCCCCGTCTCTGGTGGATCGCTATTTCACCCGCTGGTACAAGGCCGGTAGGTAGGAGACGGCGGGGCAGGTGCAGGAGCCGTTGCTTCGGCCCTCGGACAGAAGGCCAGGCCAGGGCCCGCGGGCCGCCGACCACGCCGGGCAGCAAGCATGCATTAAGCGCTTACTGTGTGCCGGGCGCGATGCTGAGCACTGCGGAGTCCTGGAAAGGTCAGGGCTGAGCCCCGCCCTGGAGGGAGCTGGTATCACCCCACGCCTGGGGTTTCGAGTCAAAGACGGGCTCCAAGAAGGGTTTCCTTATTCATCCAAAGTCATCCTAAATGGCAAAAAATCACCCGGGCGGGGCCGGGGGGGAATTGCTGTGATGGTAGATGCGTCTAGGTGGCCGCTTTCCCCGGGACTTTGGGTTTGCACCCCTCTCTGAGGCCCCTGAGAGCCCAGGGCAGGCTTGGGAATGCCGTGAGAAGCCTCATGAGGCTGCAGACTCTTCGGTCCCCTCTCTCCCAACCCTGGTGGGAAAATGGGGTGATCAAAGCCATGAGGTACCCTCCTGTATGATGTCACGTGCAAACATGAGGCTTACTGCTGCCAGCCTTCAACATAGATAAGAGAACAGTCCTTGTGGGTTCTCCTCCAGCCCAGAACCTTGTAGTAGGTAGGGGCAATCCTCTTAAGTGGTGTCAGCCACAACATGGGGAGAAAGGAAGAATGTTTCCACCCTGGGCCCTTAAAATACTTTATTAGAAGTATTTTGTTTTTAATATTCAGATTCTTTTTTTATTGTGTTCTGGGAGGTTGGTACATCATAAGAAATTATGAAACCTGTCATCCTGTTATCTGTGTTCTAAGATTGCTTATCAAAATGATCACTTGTCTTTGAAATGATAGGTGGTTTCTTTAAGTAGACTGTAATATTATGGCAAGTATTAATTTAGCAACTATGATAGACTTAATTCTTCTGCATTTCCTAGATGTGAAGGGAAAGCCATGTGAAGATCACTGTATATTGCAACACTCTAACAGGCAAGTGAATCTGAATTGTTATTTTAATTGTTGAAAAAATTATGCTACTTAAAAATAATAATAGTGTGTGTATTTTTTAAAGATTTACTAAGTGTTTTTCTCAAAAAATTTTATGAGGCAAGTAGTACAGTAATGGAATTTCCATGTTATAGCTGAGAAAGGTGAAGTGTCATGTTCAGGATTATGTAGTTAAAAGCTATGGGAGCCCTGATATTATGATTGTGATAATTTTATTTGCATGTAGCATTCATTAGTGATGCCTCTAAGTTGAAGCTTTTGAGTAAATAATTGCTACTTAAATCCCTAAATTGTCATTAAAGTCTTCACACAATTCACTTTGGGTTTACAAAATTCACTTGCTTGGGAGATAGCAAAAACCAGTTCACCCAAAATTCAGCTAATCAGCAAGTATTATACCTTTTTGCCAGGCATTGTGTTAGATAAGAACTAGGTAAACCAGGAGCTCCTTCAAAGAGCTTACATCTTAATGTAGGAGATATACAAATATATAAATGTATAGTTTGGAGAGGTATATGGGGGATCAGAAAAGACTCATGTAGAAGGTGGTGGTTGAGCTAAGTCTTAAAGAAAAGTAGATTCTAAGAGAAGTGAAGAAGAATGGGGGACAGCCATTGCCAAGGCACAGAGATGTAGGAAAATCAGTTTCCCAGCTGGGAAGAGATATATTGGAGTAGGGAAGAGACTTGAAGCACTGAGACTAGTTAGGACGCTGTTCTAGTAGTTTAAAGGAGAAGTGATGAAGGCTTGAAATAAGGTAGTGGCTGTGTGAGTGGACAGAAGGGGACACAGGTGAATGTGGGAGAGACTGGATTGGCAACTGACTAGATAGTTAGGGTGAGAGTGAGGAGTTGAGGGTGACATTGAATCTTTGAACCTGGGTGACTGAAAGGATGATGGTGCTCTTGGAAGTTATAGGGAAGGTTGACAGAGAGGTGAATTTAAAGAGAAAAATAAAAGAGTTCTCTTTTAGACATGTTAAATTTGAGATGCCTATGGCTCATTCATTTGATATGTCCAAAAGGCAGTAGGTCTTTGTGGGACTGGAGCTTAGGAGAAAAATTGGAGCTCGATCTATAGATCCAGGAATTATCTCAATAAAAATGATAATTGAACCCATGGGAACAGGTGAAGTCACAGAGAGGGAGAGAGTATGTAGAAACAAAAGAGAAGAGGACTCAGGATAGATCTTGGACTACACCCAGAATTAGTGGGTATGACCAGATGATGAGTCAGTGAGATGGACTGAAAAAACAGGAAAGAGCAATGTCAGGAAAACTCAAAGAGGAAAGACTATTCAGGAGGGAGAGAGAGGGTTGTCTACAATGTCAAATACTTTCTCTTTTGCAGTGAGCAGTTACTTACCATCTCTCTTTATCAGCTTATAGGTTGAGTAGCATTCTTAATTATTTTCCACAGAGCATTTTATGATCAATATGTTTGATTATTTTTGGCACCTTTTTTGTGAAGTGGCTCCATTAAATGTAATATTTCCTACATACATTTCTTCAGTTCACAATAATGCACTTACCAATTGCCTTTAAAACTTTTATTTTATTTTATTTTTCTCATTTACATGTAAAATTTTTTTTAACATTTTTTTAATTGAGTTCTAGTTCTCTTCTTCCCATGCTCCCCTCCCTCCCCCCAAGAAAGTAAACAATTTGATCTAAATTACAGATGAGAAATCTTTTTTTAAAATTACATATTAGCCATGTTGCAAACCACAAACACAAAAACCAAGAAAAATTAAATTTTAAAAGTATGCTTCATTCTGCATTCAGAGTCCATCAGTTCTTTCTCTGGAGGTGGGTAGCATTTTTCATCATGAGTCCTTTGGACTTGTCTTGGATCATTGTATTGCTGAAAATAGCTAAAAAATTCACACTTGACCATTGTACAATATTGCTGTTACTGTGTACAATGTTCTTTTCACTTCCAAATGCCTTCTGGCTGTAGATACTCCTTATTGCAGTTCCCTACAGTTCTTTATTTTTAGTGATTTTTCTTTGCAGTATGAGTCAAGGAATAATTATGAGACTAGAATGGACTTTGGAAGGTAATCTAGTCTAGGGTTCCTTGGCTACTTGTATTTTTGGTATAACCTTACTTTGTTTTATAGGATTAGAGGTTATTCTTTCTGGTGATATACAGCACCTACATTTTACTGTTTTAACTTGAAGAGAACTTTGAAACGATTTTGAGATGGCAGTCACGAGAGCAGCATAAGGGCCTGCTAGCAGGGTCCTAAGGCATTGACGCCATACCTGACACAGATAGATTTAGATTTTGCTTTCTGGGGCATTTCAAAGGAAGAATTTAATTCAGTCCAAATGCCTACGTAAATCCTTTCCTGATACCTAGCTGTTAGTACCATCTGCCCTACTAAATTATATCATACGTGTTTTCTATTATAGGTATATATATATATATATATATATATATATATATATATATATATATATATATATATATATATATATATATATGTTGTTACCCCAGATGAATATAAGTTCCTTAAGGGCAGCAACTATTTCTCTCTCTTTTTTTTTTTGTCTTCGTATCCCTAGATGGAAATTGTAACATGTCATAGGCTATATTTAAAATAGGGCAGGAGATATAATAACTAATATGAACAAAAGAGTAGCTGGCTTTGAGATTAGGAAAGGGAAAGCTGGAGAATAAGAATATATCACTTTTTTTCCCCAGCATTGTCCAGGGGTGAGAGGTCTCTGATTATAGATGACTAGCCTGGTTATTTAAACAGAAGTATCATGAGAATAGAAAAGTCAGTCAAAAAATATCTATTAAGCTTTTATGTGCCAGACATTGCACTAAGTTCTAAGGATACAAACAAAAGCAAAAAACAGTCCCTGCTGTCAAGAAGCATGTGTTCTAATGGGGAGGTATATAAATAACTAGGTACATACAATATGTATATACAGAGCAGATGAAGGTGGCTTCAAAGGGGAAGTTATGAGCAGCAGGGGGTAGGGGGTGGAGAGAAATGGCTTCTGATTTTGGACATTGAGCTCAGTCTTGAAGGATGAAAGGGAAACCAAGAGGTGGAGGTGAAGGGGTGAAGGGGCTGAGCATTTTAGGCATGAGTGACAGCCAGCTGGAATGCACAGAGACGAGAGGAAGGATCATGGTAGAGAACTCCAAGTAGGCAAGTGTAGAGCTCAGGGAATACATGGTGGGAGGGAAGGTGTAAGAAACCTGGAAAGGTAGGAAGGATTCAGGTTTTGAAGAGCTTTAAATGATAAATAGAAGAGTTTGTATTAGATCCTGCAGGTAATAGGGAAGCACTGGAGCTCATTGAGGCAGGGAAGATGATATGGTCAGACCTACCTTGTCAAGAACCTAAAGAGAAATTTTAAAAAGTGGGAAGAAGGGAGCTTAGCAGTAGCAGATTTTAAACTATCCTACAAAGCAGCATTCATCAAAATGATTTGATCCTGGTTAAAAAATAGAGAGGTCAGTCAGTGAAACAGAGTTGGTATACAACATACAGAAGCAAATGAACCCAGTGGTCTGTTGTTTGAAAAAAACCAAAGATCCCAGATAAGGACTCACAATTTGACAAAAGCTGCTAAAACTGGAAAGCAGTCTGGCAGAAATTAGGTATAAATTCACTTCTTCAAATGTATATATGACATAGACATTAAAGGTGACATAAAATAATTAGAGGAGGAAGAAATTACCTTTCAGATCTATGGATAGGGGGACAATGACTAAACAAGGGATAGAAAAGATTACAGAAGATAAAATGGACAATTTTTATTACATAAAATTAACAGGTATATGCACAAACAAAACCAAACCACAATGCAGTTAACAGTAGAAGGGAAATATAACTGGGGAAAAAATCTATGCAACAGGTTTCTCTGATAAAGTTGTCATATCAAGACGTACCATGTATAAAGAACTGATTGAAATTTATAAGGCTGAGAGCCATTCCCTCATAGATGAATTTATGGTCAAAGGATATGAATAGGTAGTTTTCAAAGGAAATTTAAGTTATCAACATACTTGAAAAAATATTCCAAATCCCTAATAATTAGAGAACTGCAAATTTAAAGCATATCTGTGATTCTACCTCACACCTATCAGATTGGCAAAGATTACAAAAAAGAAAAATTACAATTGTTGAAGGAGCTGTGAGGAAATAGGCACATTAATGCACTTTTGATAGAGCTATGAATTGGTATAGCCGTTCTAGAAAACAGTTTGGAACTATGCTCAAAGAATTACTAAACTCTGCATACCTTTTTGACCCAGAAATACTACTATTAGGCATTTACCACAGATAGAAGAAAGAGGAAAAGGTACCATATATTCAAAAATACTTATAGCAGCCCTTTTTGTAGTATCAAAGAACTGGAAACTGAGGGGATGCTCATCTATTGTAGAATAGCTGAACAAATTATGGCAAATGAATGTAATGGAATATTATTGTGCTCTAAGAAATTAAGGAGTTGGTTTCAGAGAAACTGGGAAGACTTATGAACGGATGCAGAGTACAGTGAATAGAAGCAGAACAGTAAATACAGTGACAGTATTGTAAAGACAAACAACTTTGAAAGACTTGAGAACTCCAATCAGTGATTCAGAAGATAGTTGATGAAATTCGATACCCAATTTTCATACATTTTTGGATATAGCCAATATGGGAATTTGTTTTGCTTGACTGTTATGAGGGCTTCACCCCTCCCCCCTCAATTTAGAGGGTGAGGAATAGAAGTACAAAGAGGGAGAAGGATAGGATAGGGGGAACAAAAGGAAAGAGAGCCATTGAGGTATCTTGCTTTACATAATCAGTTTCATGTATAATCCTAAAAATTTAGGAGAGATTATCCAGAAGGAAATGGTGACTGACAAATGTCAGATGCTAGAGAGGTCAAGAGGGATCAGAATTGAGAAAAAGCCATTAGAGTTAGCAATTAACATTGGAAACTTAGGGGAGAGCATTTGCAGTTGAATGATGACACTGGAAGCAGGATTTCAGAGGGTTTAGAAGAGAAAGGAAGTTAGGTTACTGTATGAGGATCCCTTAAAAATATCCAACTCCCTTTGCTTTAATTGTGTTCGTAATTTTTCTTTTTGGTCTCTTCAGTGGTTTATCCCTTTCACTGGGGAGTGCCCTATATAGAAAACTGTTACCAAAATTAACAAATGTCATTGTAGTCTCTTCAGTCTCATAAAAATGAAGATGAGAGTGACTCAGGGTAAAAAAGTGTATGTATATCTCTGTTGTCATAGATCAGAATGTATGTATGTGTTTATATCATTCTCATTTGTGATAAGTAGATAATACCTGTACCTAATTTTGTGAGGAACCGATGAGATACTGTATATGAAGGAATTTGTAAAGCTTAAGGTGACTTATGTATCAACTGTTGATATTATTATTTTACTTTCTCTCTTCCATTTCTTAGTAACCCTACTATCTCTGGTCCTCTTCTATTAGCTACTAAGATTTAATCTGTTTTCTAGCATTTTTGTATTATCTTAGGAGTAGCAGTTTTCAATTTTGTCTTAATTATTAATCCTTCATATCCTGCAATATTAATCCCTAGTTCTTTTCTTTCACCCAGCAATAACCACAGGGGAACAAAAATCATTGCTTCTGGACCAAGTATTGAGTAGTACAATGTAAACTCAGAGAAAGTGTACCTGACACAATAGTAGGTCATGGATGAGATCAAAATATTAAATAATAGATAATGTTTCTCTTTTATAGAATCTGTGTAATCACATTGGCAGAATCTCATCCACTTCTTCAAAATGGAAAAACAATTAAAAGTATTAACTACCAAATCAGTGCCAACTGTAGCAGACTTCAGAACAAGGTTTCTGGGAAGTTTAAACGGGTATGGATATTTGTTCTTATTATCTCTTTACATCCTCACCATTAATAGTAATATAAAAACAAATAAGCCTAGAGAGAGGATGGTGGTGAATTGATATCAAAAATCCTTTCTGATAATATAAGGAAAATATTTGTTCTCTGTACTAGTGGCAAATTCTTAAGAGTATTTATTGTCCATAGCTAGCACAAAATTATTTTTGCAAAGGTGAAAACACAAAAGATTATTGGCATTTGTTGCCCTGTAATTAATAATTAAGTGGCATGGCTTTAGACTTTGGAAGTGAATAATAGGGATAGAAGGGGAGGTTTTGGGACTGGAGAGCAGAACCCCAGTCATGGCTAGTCTTAGTGTTCCTTGTTTTCCCATATAATTTTTTGTGATTGGGGGTGAATGCTTTTAGTGTTATTACATGAGGGGGAGGGTGTTATAACTTACAATGTGCTAACCGATACCTTCAAGTCTTGCTGGGTTAGGCCGATTATCATTGCTTTGCTTATTTAAGAAGCTTAAGTCTATGTGAGTGACCTCTTGTACTAGGAAAACCAGTTCTTGTAATATTTGCAAGATTTAGGCAACTTTTGTTGGGAGCATTTTATAACTTGACTGAATTAGATTTCTTTGTTTCCAAATTTTTCTTACTACAGTCCAGCCACTTAAGAATCCAGTATCTTCTATTACCAGTCATATTTTATATATACAAGTATACACACCTTAGCCACCTCCCTGGTTACAAACATCCTATCTTTCATACTTCTGCTGAAAAATTCCCATAAAGAAACATTAGTTATTAGATATTTCAATGTTATTCATTTTAAACAATTTTTAAAATGCTTTTAATTCAACAAAATATTTTTAAAAGGATGTTAAACATACATACATGGATAAGTTTCTCAAAAAGTCATATGACCCCAGGTCTTCCTCAAAGTCTGTTAAAATCTTCTGAGGAAGCCCTTCTAAACCCCATGACATGTTCTTCACTTTCTGATTTGTTTTAGTAAGAAAGAAGCTGAAATTAGGAAGCAAAATTAAAAAAATTTGTAGTGTTATAAAGCCCGTCATGTAAAATTTAATATTATAGAGCAACTTTGATTTTTGTACACTTTGGAAAGTTTATCCTAGAAAGTAAGCAGTAATATTACAGTTCAATTCAGTAAATAATAAAAACTTCTTACAAGGCACTGTGCTAGGTGCTGGGGGACAAAAAGATGAAAAAGTAGATGATTAAGTGTGCTGGGTTTGGTCATTTTATTTAGAAGTGGGTATCATGCCCTTGATCATGAACTTAATCCTTTATGACATTTTTTTAAAATGAAAATAAGATTTAACTTTTATTTCCTGCTCAGAGACTTTGAATAGTTTCTTCTTACCTCAAATACAAACTCCTTGTCAAGACGTCTAGGATTATTTCTTTGTTGCCAACCTTATTTCACAGGTACTTTTTCATACACAGTGCATTCCAGCCAAACTAGATCACTGACCTTTTCTTGATTTTTATAACTTCTGTGTATTGGTCTGTCCCTTCCCCAGGTCTTGTCTTTTTGAAATCCTTTTTTTTTTTTCCCAAGGCCAGCTTCAGTTGTCACTTCCTCCATGAAATCTCTTTAGATTTTCATGACACTCTGTTTGACCCCTTCTCTGCACTTAACTGAACTCCTAACTTGTGTCAGTAGCGTATAGGATCATAAGATTTACACCTAGAAGGAATCTTTGAGATCGTCTAATCTAAGATGACAAAACTGAGACTTAAAGAGATTTAAGTTAGCTTGCCAGTGGTCACATGGTCTTCCCACTCTACAATTGTGTATAAATATATTATCCTTCCCTTACTAGATTGTCAGTTCCTTAAGGGCAGGGACAGTGCCTTGCACATAGAATATGATCAGTAAATGTTTATTAGATTGATTTTCGCTTATTGTTAGTAAATTTTTACAGGAATGTAACTAGTTTATAAAAAAATTCACATTTATATAATACTTTAAGATTTACTAAATTCTTAGCTTTAAATATAAGGACTGCTTATATATTAAGAAAGATTAAAATATGAATGAATTCTTGTTCTTTCTTTTATATCCAGGGGGCACAATTTCTAACAGAACTTGCACCTCTTTGTAGGATATCCTGTTCAGATGGAGAAGAATATACTGTGTCAAGGTCAGTTGCTTTTGAAACAGAACTTGGGGGAGAAGGAGAATGAAAGCAATTTTCTTTTAAAATGGTCTTTAAAAAACTTTTTTTTTTAACAGCTGTGTGAGAGGACGGTTGATGGAAGTGAATGAAAATATTCTAGATAAGCCATCCATTTTGCAGGAAAAGGTAAAAAAAAAGCCTTATTTATACTTTTTGTTAGGTTTTTGTCTATGTTTATGTCTATTTCGGCTATGTCAGATTTTGGATTTATTTTCTAGCCATCCACTGAGGGATATATTGCTGTTGTGCTACCCAAATTTGAAGAAAGCAAGAGCGTTACTGAGGGATTGTTGACACAAAAAGAATATGAAGAAGTCGTGGTGAAACGAATTAATAACAGATCAGAAACACCATGAAGACAAATGAAATCAAAAGAAACACAAATCTATACGTGTTAAAGGACCAACTGCTGTAGAGCACGACTGGACAAGAAAGTGGTGGTAGGAACAGTCCTCTCCATATTGTGGGATGGCTCTGCTTCAGTTCCTGGCCGCTTCAGTACTGGTGATCTTTGCCAGTCCATCTTGATTTCTTAGGTCATCTTTCCCTCCCCTGCCCAAGTATACCCTCTTTTCATCCAGCTCTTCTCACTTATTCAAATACAACATAAACATCTGGGAAGCTGCAAAGACTATTTTCCAGATATTTTGGATTCTCTTTGGTGAAACAAAAGACACCCCACCCTTGACCCCTCAGGCCTCCTCCTTCACCAGTTTCAACAGAACATTCAGACAAGGTAGTACACTCTGCCCAAGGACACTTCTTGCTTGCCTGAACTGGCAGAGTAGAGATTGGAAATGAGAGGAGGTAGAAACTAGACTGTCTTCTCTTTACTTATTTTTTTGACCAGACCTATTATTTGGGGAGCTTTTGGTGAGGATTTCTCTCTCCCATTGCAGATGGCCACATGCTCTTCAGCTTAAAGAGCCTAAGAAAGCTGCTTGGGGTCCTAAGAGATTAGGGACTTGCCCAGGGTAAAACTGTCTGTGTCAGAGGCAGGACTTGAATCCAGGTCTTCCTGGTCTAAGCTCATCTCTTTCTATCCACCATGTTATTTCGCTTGTCTTCTGATCTTCAGTAAGGCTTTTCGTATCTCTGTTCCTCCTGTTTCTGGGGTGTTCTCTCCCATCTCAGCTCAGAGCTGAGATGCTGAGATTCAAGTATGTGAGTTCTCACTGAAGTTGGTAGCAAAGAGTTTTAGTGCTTATGAAAGTATTACAAAAAGCATAAAATGCTATCCAGTGTGTAACGTTTGATCATTCTTTTTTTGGGTCTTGACAGATGCTGTTGGTTGAAGAAACTCCCTTTACAAAGGCAGATGTGGTAGCTGCTTTGCAGCTTAGGGTGTTAAAAGTTGCTAACGGCCCTGAGAGGTTAAGTGACTTGCCCAAGGTTATAAAGCCTGTATTTGTTGTAGCTGGGACTTTGAGGCTAGCTCCTATACACTGTGCCAGGCCACTTCTCACTGGTAAAATACCATAACTCAATTTTTGAGCATTTATTGCATAGCTACTTTATAAGTGTATGTAAGGCTCTAGGCACACCAATGTTTTTTAAACCTCAAGTATCTTGAGTAAATTTTTAGGGGAGACTTTATCACGTAATCAATTTAGTGAAATGCAGAATTTTAGGGCTGGGAAGGGGCTTTAGAGGTTATCTTCATCTGTAAAAAGTCATCTTCACAGAGGTCTTCCTTCATCTGTAAAGTAATAGGTTATTTAGTCCAGTCCACTTATTTTACAGATGAAGAACCTAAGGTTCAGATGGAGGAAATGACTTGCCCAAGATTATACAGTTGTCATATCTAGGACTAGAACCCAGATCCCTTGACTCTCCATAGTACCCTTTTTGATGTTGAAATGCCTACATGTTTTAGAAAAATCCAAAGAGAAAGTGAGTGGTGAGTTCTGGGAGTTGAGTTTGGGGACTTTGTTATGCAAAGGCATGGGAGAAAATGTGGGGTCTGAACAAAGGATATAGGTGAAGATCCTATAGTTTGTAAAGTGTTGCAAAATATTCACAGTACTACAATACCCAGAATACTGCAGATCTGGCCGCCTTATCTTTTCCTATGGATTGCCAAATACACTAATGTATTTTATTAATGGATTTTCTCCATGGAAATGTTATCTCCAGCTGTAAAATGGAGAACTCAAGCTATGGAAAAACATTTCACTTTACAACAAGTTCAGTTGGAACATATTTATTCCATTAAGTAATACCCGTAAACAGTGATTTAATAATCATATAGGTATATTCCAAAATAAATGATTTCTAGAGATTTAAGGTATTACAAAGCAATGAGGAAATAAAACTGCTTCAAAAACATTTCTTTAATATGGTACTAAAAACTGTAAATATATAGGCAGAACATAACTAATGTGGTATGTCAGAGGTTCTCGAGAACATCTTCATAGGTGTTTCTTTGGATTGAAGATTCATTAAGACATTCTGGATAAATGATTTTGATTCTTAAATAAATGTTAGCAATGATACACATGTCTGTTACAAAATCACACTGGAGTTAAAGTTTTGAAAACTATCATTGGCATTTATTAGATGCTAAGAATTATCACAAGAAGTTTGATAATGTGAAATTGTGATGAGAAGGGGAAAAAAAACAAGTAGAAAGCACTTAATTAATTTTCTCATAGCACTGAAGAATCTGACAATTATTTGCTTTCTAAAAATGTCAGGTTTGCTATGTTATGTTCTAGAGATCTGACCGCAAAAGCTTCTACGGTTTTTTCATCCATGCTGTCTTTAGTTGTAACTGTTTGCCATCTGCTTTCCATCCAGGGTTGAAGAGAATTTATACAATCATTTTCTGATTTGCACTGTAAAAGTAATTTTATAAAGTTAAATGTGGCTAAAAAGTCAGTTCTGCTGTAACACTTCTTTCAAAAATTCAAATTTCTTCCAAAGCAGTTGATATATTAGGAAAAAATTTGAGCACAATCCATATGTCAAGTTTGCTTATATTCTGTTTTTCCTTTGAGAAATGGTGAGAGCTCAAAAAAATGCAACACTCACAACAGTTCACAAGCTGTAGCCCTTCCAGCATCCACTTCCACAAGCAAACTTTAGGTCCTTTTCAAGGAAAAAGCACCATATCATATATTTTCCGGTACAGTCGGAGCACCAGAATCACACCCTATTCCTGCTCCCTGCCTCTTCCATGGCCACAGCCCCAGGTCCTGGAGTGAAGGCCCAACAAGGTCACCCTCTCACCCGTAGATGTCAGCTTTGCCAGTCCACGCCCCTATGTGAACCCAGAGTGAAGGCTGAGCAGTAGCCTGAGGTCATTGATGCTTTTACTATTGTAGTATTTATGCATTTAACCTTTTAACATGTATAAAACTGTAATGTTTTTCTAGGCTCCTCTCTTTTTTTTAATGTGTCACTGATGAGGTTTTTGGGTGTTGTTCCCCTTATTCCATTTTTCCTGAATGCCCTGTGGGTTTTTATTTCATGATTTTGCATAGCATGGTGATTTTTAGGAACACATATGTCACTTTACAGCAGAACTGACTATATTCTTTCTCTGTGTACAAAGATAAAGGTTTGTCATAGAAGAACTAACTCACCTTATGCATCAGTTTATAGCAAACTGGGAGAAGTTGGGCCAATGTAGCCAGGACAAATCTTGTTTTTAGAATACATTTGTCAACCTGTAGTTACAGAAAGACTGTCAATTTAAGCTCCAAATTTATTAAGACTCTTTTACATTAAGGAAATCAGGAAACATCTGTAAGTACCTGACTAGAAAAATAGTTTAAAGACCCCAAGCACTTTGTTCCCAAATTCTAGATTCAGAAGAGCCTTCGGGCAGCTCCATTGCCTATAACATGAATAAGACAATTCTGCAGTGAGAGCAAAACTCTTTTCACTGTGGTATTAAGACACTCTAGGGAACTGTGACTCCTCTCTTGAAATCTCTTCAAGGTCTTGGGCCTAGCTTTGGTTGGACAAATGACAATATGAGGACAGTCTGTAAAGTGGCTAAGTCATTTTTTTTGGTTAAATTAGAACAATTCCTTATAGCCTGAGTTAATCTGCTGTAGCTTTTTGTCATCAGTTATAACAAGAGGAAAGTTATTCTGGCAGCTGAGCCTTGGGAAAGAGAGAGGAATTGCCCTCCTGTGTGATAACACACAGGACTGTGAAATCTATACTAATATAAGCAGAAGAAGAAAGCATTTATTTTTCTAGCTGAATAACACATCTTTTTTACCTTTGTATATATTTTATTCTGAATGGGGGTCTTAGCTGTGAGTTGGAGCTGCTGGCACAGAGGCATCAGCTTGTTTATTTCCAGTAGAAGTAAAAGCTTGTCATCATCTTTCAGCTGAAATGCAAATTAGGAAATTATAATAATTCCAATAAATAATGGCTTCAATTTTTATACCCAATGTTGTACCTTCAAAAGGTGAGGCATAAGTTTAATCTTCAGCAGACATTACCTGTTTTGAGAAACCTTGGAGAACTGAAGCAAGTTTTAAACCTTCTGTAGCAAAAACCTGATAGAAGGGAAAAAAAGGATTTATTTTAAATCTCAGAATCTGTATTTAAGAATGTAATAAATGTATTATAATATTTTAATTTTTATACTGTCAAAAGAGCTTAAAACTTATAAGTGACTGGGCACTAATATTTTTTCCCATTAAAATAGATCATAAGCCATAAAGAAAGGTGAACTAATAATATGAACATTTATTATTTTTCTAACAACTTATGCACATAATACAGTGTTAGTATGGGTTATCAATAATTGTATATTCAAAATCCACAGCAATACAAACATATTTCACAAAACCCGGTTTCAAAATAACATCATTATGTATTATTATGCGTTATTATATATTATCATACATTACGTAGTTTAAACAGACCTTACCAAGTCACAGAGTCCTTGGATAAGTAACATCATTTAACTGATCAACCCAAAAAACATGATTAGCAATGATGCTTGAGTCCCAGAAGCACTAAACTGCTGGCACATCTTTGCTTGCCATTTGTAAAGTGGTTCCTGTCAAGCTAACTGATGTCCAATAGCATTGTTTTGCCTGATATTTTCATACACTCAGTGTTAATGGTAAGGAAAGCCTGTATATTGCCCTGTTAATTTAAAAAAAAAAAGATACTACTGATTTGTAAGGAGGGCATATAATTTGAGTATATTTGTTATAATGGATAAGTATGCATTGCTCTTTCACATTCTTGTGGCAAATTATAAAAAAGCTCACCAATGCAGTCATGGAATAGAGGAAAGCTACCTGCACCATATGGAGAACAGGCTAACAGCCTCATTTACAACACACTCATGATAGTATAAAACTATGTACATTGTATTTGGACTAGTATAAAATGTAATGTTTTTGGTAGGTGCAACATTTGTTTCACCTAGGTTAGGCTAGTGTCAACTTTAAGGATTAGGAAAGTTGTTCTTAACACTTAATTGGTTTAGGGAAATGGGGTTCAAGTGGTTGATGAGATTTCCTGATTACTTGAGTCATAAAAGGCCTAACTTATAAAGAGTCTTCTCAGTCTTATCAGAATCCCTATTGCTGGAGTAAACATATCTTTTGAGGGCTGCTTCTGTGATAAAGTGTGATTGCAGAGGGCAGTTGCATTCATCTCAGTGCTGTATCCTTACTGGATCTTTTTATTATTACAAAATTTTTTTTATTAAATGTTGTAAGGTCCATGTTTCATTGCCTTCCACATGACAGTCTGAACCACTTGACTCGCCTGAGTTAGGCTTTGCTTACCCAGAACAAGGGAGAACTTTGACCAATATTAAGTCTGTAGGCTGTAGGAAATCCTAAGTGGCTAACAACAAGAAATGTTCATACCAGCTGGTATGGTATGTTTTTTTTCTTTCTCATCATGTAGAATTCTAAAATGATTTTAACTTTCAGTTCTTCAAAGAAATATTTTCTTCAGGAAGGAACATCACTTTCCCTGGTTCATGGAAGTGACTGTCTAAGGGCTCCATGTGGATGTTAGTTCCTGTTACGAACTCAAGGATTGGGGAGGGGGAGACTGAGGATTTGGTGACCTTGGAAAAGAAGGGAATCTACCTTCCGTCAGAGGTGATACATGCTTGTTCAGAGAAAACAAACTCACTTGTTAAATAGGGTAACCCCAAATGTATAGGTTAGAATAATGCCTGCCAGATGGTAAAATGTTGATTATAGCTCTGTATGGTGACAAGACAACCTAAGGATAGTCTGGTAACTACAGGACTGTAAAGTAGCCCCAAAAAACTAATTACTAGTGGGCTTTTCGCCATTCTTCATGTATATGTCACTGAAGCTGCTGTCTGAGTATCTGTAGTCCTTTTGCTTACCACCCCTCTGAAACCTCCCTTGTTTTTTGTGATATGCTACTCTGGTTTTCCTCCTGCCTGTAGTTTGTTTACCCTGTTCACTATTATTAGATTATTTTTCCCAAAGGACTGCTTTGATGTCATTTGCTAATTAAGAACCCTTCAACAGTTAATCATTAAGGACTCTTTAGCCTAGTACTTGAGGTCCTTCATAATTTTGCTTCTTCATTTTCACTTTCTAGTTTTATTTTTCCCCATTCCCCTGTATGAACCTTATTCTCTAGCCAAAATAGACTTGTTACTCCCAAGTATATTATGTGCTTTTCCCATTTCTGTGCCTTTGCTAAGACTGTTCCCTTCTCTTGGAATGTCCTCACTTCTGTCTCAACCTGTTAGTCCTCCCTAAGGTATAGTTCACAAGCCAACTCTGTAAAGCCTTTCCTGATCATTTCAGTTGAATGTGATCCTAGACTATAAGCTCTTTGATAATGGTGGCTGTGTCTTAGTAACATATATTTGCCAAGAGTAGTTTAATAAATATTTGATGAGCAAGTGGTTAATATTCTCAGTGGGAAGCAAGGATCAAATAATTTTTAAATTTGGAGGAATTTGGCCCAAAGGTTACTCCATTTTGGATAAGGCATATCCTTATGAACTACAGCTATGGCCATTTTGATCTCAATCGAGAATGGAGGACAATGACCACAGGAGAGAATTTCTAAAGGAGAAAGAAAAGATGAAGACTTGAGTTTTTCTTCTCTAGGACCCTCTAAAAGGCAATGTCCATATCAAGTTTGCTAGTCCTTTTGACAAACAGAACCCATTCCAGGTAAAGTATTGAAGGGAGCATAGCTATATAAGTTTAAAGGAAGGATAAACCAGCTAGATGTGGCCTCTAACTGTAGTGGAAATCTAGTGTGCAGGGAGGAGACAGTTGAGTTAATTTTAAGTTCTCTTAAGAATTCAACTTTCTCAGAGCAGCTAGGTGGTGCAGTGGACACAGCACTGGCCCTACAGTCAGGAGGACCTGAGTTCAAATCCAGCCTCAGACACTTGACAATTACTAGCTGTGTGACCTTGGGCAAGTCCTAAACTCCATTGCCTAGCAAAAATAAATTTAAAAACTTCAACTTTGTCTGCCTCTCTATTAGCTAATGGGCTAATTTTTTAGTCAATTGAGAAGTAGATGTTTGAAATGGCAATCATATGCCTTCATTTATTAGACCTTAAGGGTAGTCAAATGACAGAGGACCATCAAGGATTTTAAAAGAGGTTAATGTTAACCTTCCTCTGGTCTGACCTGTCATTCGGTATTCTCAAATCATTCCTTTCAAAAACTATACTTTCTGCCCATTCCATTCCTGCTGCCTCTGCTTAAATCAAGATCTTCACACATAGGTGACTTTAAAAGGCAGACTTCTTGGCTTGCTTCTCTATCTATTCTAATCCATTTTACATGCTGCTTCCAGGACAGTCTTAGTAAAACAGCATATACCTATCCAAACTTAGTTTTCACTGCTCCCCAGTGCACATCCCTGTATCAGGCTGGTTTTCTTTTTGTTCCAACCCTCCTCAATGCCCTTCCTCACATTTTTATTCCTTAACCTATTCAAGACCTACTCATTCTACAAGGTTTATCAGAATTCTCACCTCTCCCAAGAAGGGACTGCCGCTGCTATTCTAACCCACAGACTTTATCTCTGAACTCCAATACAATAATGTTTTGTATTGTTTAGTGGACTCATGGGAGCACAGAAAATACTTGAGTGATTAATGAATCAGATAGTACATTACAGTTGGTGAAGTCTTCCTGGAGGATATTTCTGTTGTTTGTCTTTTAAAGATCCTACTGACTACTTGGAAACCTCTACAACCTCAAGATCTGCACTTTGAGATAGATCAGTCTATAAAATGTTTAATGAGAAATGTGGTGTGGACTGTTCAAAGAAGGAAGTAAAAGACTCTTGCTCTTGAAAAAGCTTATGAAAAGCTCACTGGCCTGACAAGTATAGATACAACATAGCAATATGGGTAGTTCAAGGCATAAAAATAACAAATACATATAAATAGCTGCTCCCACTTAGGGTTATAGGATCATAGATTGAGAGTTGGAAGGGACCTCAGAAATCATCTAGTTCAACTTTCATTTTATAGATGAGACTAAGGCCTAGAGATTTGAAGTAACTTGCCCAAAGTAACAAAGGTAGGTAAGTATCAGAGCTGAGATTTGAACCAGGGATCTCTGGCTCCAAATTGTATTGCACCATAGTGATGAGTCAGAATCCCATTTGCCATTGTGAAAAATATAGAGCTTTTAGGGAACTTGTGAATTCAGAAGTAGAAGAAGAAGCTGTGAAAAGCAAAACAGCTTAGAGCAGGTATACTTAGCTTTGTGTGCCAGAAGCTTACGGACCACTTCTCAGAATAATGTTTGTAAATACATTGGATTACAAGGGAAACCAATTGGATTGAAATTAAGATGTAATTTTTTCCTCATCAAAATTCAAGAGCTACTTGGCTTAGAAGAATAGGCCCTGGCAGGCACAGGAATGTGGAAGTCGTGGTAGTCCTGGCCTACTTATATGGTAGCCTCAGTTCTCTCAATTCTCCCTCCCCACAAATAGCTACCCATTACTGCTTTTTTCACTTTGCTATGCTGCCTGAATACCTACCAATTAATATGTCTAAAAGTATCCTTTTGTATGAAAAAAACAAGCCTCTGGAAGGTAACTAAAGGCCCCTGACTGAACTTAGGGAAGTATTAGTATCACAGATTAGATATATTCTAGGTAAAATAAATATCTATACCCTGACTATGTTCTACACCCAAGAACATAGTTTCTCCTGAAAAATACACCCGAAATTCCAAAACTCTGACTTACAAACAAGCTCTTGGAACACGTTACTTGTAAATTAGAGGTCTGCCTTTATAAATAACTATGATTCTAAATGACAAGGAACACAGACAGGCAAGTACTTTAGGATATTACTAGAGGGAAAGATAAACTGTGGGGCAGAATGCTCAGTGTAGTTTCCTGAAGGAGGCAGACCTTGAAGCATGGGCAGAATTTGGACAGGTAGAGAGGAGAAGGTATTCTAGATGTGGGAAAGATATAAACCAAGAGTGGGGAATTTGCGGTCTTGAGGCCACATGTGGCCCTCTAGGTCCACAAGTGCAGCCCTTTGAATCCAAACTTCACAGGACAAATTCTTTCATTAAGGGGATTTATACTATAAACAAAACTGTAGAATAAGCAATGTGTTGGGGAAAGTGGATAGATTAGCCTGATTGGAGCAATTTCAGTCAATTCAGTTAGCATTTATTAAGTGCCTGCTCTGTGCTACACACTGTGTTAGGAAACAGCCTCAGCTCACAGGGACTTTTTGCATTCTATTAAGGGATATGTATACAACAAACAAAGTGACTGGGGCAAAAGAACCAACAATTAGGTTCATGTAGGAGTTGACATTTAAAGCAGAGAATTCAAACTGGGAAGTACTGTAGTCAGAAATAAAGTGGGATAGGATGGGTTAGGGCCACATTTATGAATAAATTGGCAGTGGTGTAATGAATACATTAAAAGTAAAAGATTAGAGGAAAAACTTGCTATATAGTCTAGGCGTGAGGTAAACTAAGGTTGTAGCAGTATGAATACATTACAAGAAAGAATGGATAGGACCTGAAAACTAATTTGTTATGGGGAACAAAAGGAGAGATGGAAATTTTAAGTCTGTATGACTGAAAAAAAGAGAAGTCCAAATCTAGGGTATGGAAAAATGGAAGGGGATTTTTTTTGAGGGGTAGATAGAAGAAAATTAATAAATTTTGTTTGGTTATGTTGGGTTTGAAGTGACAGAAAAGGATTTTTTAGGTAGGAATGTTGGATTTTTAGTATTAGAATTTGGCAAAAAAAAAAAAAACCCAGACCCCCCCAACACTGTCAGAACTAAAGATTTGAGGGTTATTGGTGCAGAGGAGATAGTTGAAGCAGTTTACCCATGTAAAAAGGGAAGGGTTGATCAAATTGAAGAGAAGGGCATTCCAGAAGGCAACGTGGAATTATGGAAAGAGACTAGGAGCTCTTTTCTGAGCTTGCTATTAAAATACAGGTGAATAATACTATGAAATAAGTAGTTCAATACTATCCCTATTTTGAAGAAGTGAAAATTGGGACTTAGTGGAAATGACTTGCTCAAGGTCACACAAGTATGAAAAGTCAGAGCTGGGACTCAAAGTCAGGTCTTCTGACTTAAAGTTCAGTGTTCTTCACAAAATTATTCTGCCTCTAATAACCTGTGTGTCCATGAGCAAGCCACTCTACATCTATGAGGATAAAATGAGGATCTCCATCTCTAAAATTATGAGTTGATGGGAAGTAAGGCCAAAACTGTGAGAAACTGCTCATTTGGGCCAGGTAAAGATAAATTTGTTCTTAAGGATAAAAACTTGTTTTCTCTAATGTTTGGTCAGAATGTTGAGCATCAGAAAAACGGAAAGAACTGAGGCCCTGTTAGGGCAGATAAAATAAAGTCATCATGGTAGGGCAGCCAATTTTATTGAACAATTGCTTTGCCAATAAGTATCAAGCAAAAGTGATGAAGTTTTTATAATTCTCCTTAAAGGAAGACCAGGTAAATTTCAACTACAGTTGAATCTAGTGGTTCATCATCTAGAGTACCTGCTGGGATATCTGGGAGCTTACAGTTTGCTTGAAAAATCATATATATCTGGTATTAAATCAGATACATGATAAAATGAGCTCTAAATGTTTGAAGCTTATCTGATAAAATCCCAACTATAAAAGTCAAGATGTTAGGAGAATAAATCTTAGAGCAAGGATTGAAGGGCTTAGAAAAGTTACTATTAACAGGCTTTCTAGTGATAAAATCCTCTTATCATGAAGTTAGTATAAAAAAATAGGCATTAGAAATGGACAGGGCATCATTTGTCCCAGATGCAAGAAGCCAACTTCTAAGTGCCATATGAGTAACTGGCATATCACAGTTTAATCATCTAGCATGAGAAACAGACAGGTGATGCTTTGTGGAGTGACAGTGCCTGTACCTCAATCCAAAACTTCAGGACTAATAGCGAGTTTGGTCTAGTTTAAGGGAAACAACTCCTAAATAGCTTATTTTAAAAATCAAGTCTAAAAGGAGGTTTACTTTCATTCTTCTGACTTTGTCATTTGCTGTCCCTTACTTCATCCCAGCTAAGAATGTCTTTCCCAATGAGATTTGGCTGTGAAGCAAAGACTATACACTTATTGACTAAAGGGGATTTCCAAGTTGGAAGATAATTCCAATTTTAGATTAAGGGAGAGTGCTTTGGAGTAGAGGATAGAGTGGTCTGCTGGTCCTAAGCAAATTACTATCTCTGACAATTTTGAAGTTTCCTAAATTTAGAATCATTGACTATTAGGGCTACCAGGGACCTTGTGGGAAGGTAGGTAGCTTAGGTTCAACTCTGGCCCTAGGGAATCAAAAAAAGGAGGAAGGAAAAAGGAAGTATAGTTTTAACACTTCCCACTGTGACTAAATGTTGCCCTTAGAATATGGTAGCGACTAAACATTTTCTGAAATTCTGGTTAGTGTAAGTAGGTACCTTATGGGAGGATTTTTATCCATCTTTGGAAAATCTAAAAACTTCAAATACTCTTGTATTGGGAAAACCTATTATTCCTAGGAATTTTTATTAAATACGTTGTTCAAAAATGCTTCACAGAAGACCGCTACAATATCCTAATTTTATATTCTCCCTTGAAGTGACAGAACAGGAAGTCATTGGTGAGAACATAGATGTTCATATTATTAGCATAAAATATTATGAGTAATGTAAACTAGAACATAGCATACCTCTACTTGATAAATTAAATCCTGAGCACTCTTCAACAGCCCTTCCCCCCTGAAATAAACAACATTAATTTAAAAAAAGAGAAAAATTACTATATGGAGATTGATCTATTTTATACATTATGAATGCTCTCAATTATTAAGTATGAATTGAAACCTCTAATTTATTAAAATCTTAATGAATCAAGCAACAGAATTCTTGTGGTTACTTACTCCATTCTACTATTAACCATATAGTAAGTGTACATTTTACATGAAAAAATCAGTGTAAACTAAATTATACCCGAGTTTTACATATCATACCTGTACCTTTCAAAAACTTATATGCTTTTATTTAAAAAAAACAAAAACCAAAACCGTAGTATACAGAATACTAGACAAGTGGCAAAATTTCTGAACTCTGAAGAGGAGGGATATGGGTAATTAGCATTTTCATGATAACTGAATTCCTGCTTGAGTACTCCAAACAGATTCAAACTCAGGGCAGCTTGTCCTTTCCCTGGGGCTTAGGAGTATTGGTAGGACAGGGCTAATTGTCAAAGGCTGGTGAACATCTCATGGCTAGGAAAAGTGGAAAGCCAACGATAAATAAAGCCAGCCTCAAGGAAGAAAAATAGTGAGATGTAGCCAGAGAAGCAAGAAATTAGATAGCACCTTTCAAATAATTAAACTGCTGTTTAAGAACCTTATACAGAGAATAACCTAGAGAGCAAATTCTGTTTCTTTTAGAGTCTGGCAGCTTAATTGCAAAGGGCATCTTAGTCTAGCAAGAAACAGTAGGAAGCCTACCTTAAATAATACTTGTTTAGCCACCCCATTACTGAGTCCCTAACCAATTAAACAGGAATAGATAGTATCCAGACAATTTATCAAAGTAGTCAGCCATGAGAAATGTCAAAGAATAGGACTGAAGCTCTTGCGTCAAGCAAGTATAGAGAACACAGGTAATTTTGCAGTGGATGTACTCACAGATTTAGGATTTAGATAGGACCTTACTTTGGTCATCTGGTACTACCACATAATTTTACATTTGTTGAAACTAAGGCCAGGAGAGGTTTTGTGGGGGGTTTTGAGTACTAAATACACTTATGCATGCACAAAATGCAAATCGGTCTTTTTCCTAGAGTTTAAGCTGGATGAATGTAACTGTACACTTTAAATTATCAGGGAGGATCAACTCTTCCTTTAAAAAGTGAAAGGAAAGCTTTGAAATAGGAACAAAGGAAAAAAAGAATCCTAATTCATGTTAGGTTGTAAGAGGATAAAAAGAATATGACACATAAAGAGAAGAAAGAAAGACCCTTGATTTAGAACTAAATATAAGACATAAAACTCTTCCCTTGGAAGAGGGAGCTAAATGCTGGTAGGAGGAAACAACTTTTTGTGCTTCAAGGAATTAACTGGTGAGAAGGATGAGAAGAGGAGACAAGTGACAGTGGCCACTAACGCCCTACTAAGGGATGCTGATGAACAGTAGAGAAGTTTGTTGTTTTCCCAGGAAGTGTGTCTGGGATCTGTCAGAGAGCCTCCTGAAATCTGGCAAACCTTTTGACACTACCCACTCTGTGGTGGCAAGTGGTACCACTAGGAGCACACTAAAATATATGTGTGTGTGTATATATATATATATATATATATATATATATATACATATATATATATATGTATATATATATATGTATATATATATATATATATATACATATTTCTAATGATTTTTAAATCCTGGGTAAAAAAAAATGAAGGTTCTGAAGGTATAAGTGTTGTTTTTACCACTACTGACAATTGAAGGTACAGGTTCAAAAGAGAAAGGCAGCCTTGGGAAATGAAATGCAGACTAAAAAGCTGGTGTGAGAAAATAGGATTTCAGTTTTATACCTTCATTTAAAATACAGGACAATGTGCTCTTGACCAGGGATGGAGTACACCTAATAAGAGCCAGTAAAAATGTATTTTCGCAGTCTTGCAAATCTGATAAAGGGATCTTTAAACTGAAAATACAGTGGAGGGAGAAAACTGTCCATACATATTTGTCAAGTCAGATACCACAGAGAATCTTAGGTGTAATATAAGAGTAATTGCAGAAGAGAGGACCAGTAATTCATAGTAAGCATTAAATAAAAAGAGAATTAGCACTAAACTCATGGCTTCAGATGTCTATCTATAAACACACAGACAATGGGTAACAAAAAGGGTAAATTAGAGATCCTAATCAAAGGAAGCAAATTTGACCTCAAAGGTATCACTGAACCTTGATGGGATGAGATTCATGGCTAAAAATGGCTATGTGAGAAGTATACTTTATTCAAAAGGAACAGAACAGATTGGAATCACAGTGTACATTAAGAATATATATTCATGTGAAGACATTCGAGGGAAGCACAGTACTGGCCAAATGGCTGAAGAGCAATAGGAGAACGTGAATCTGTAGGTACTAGCTGATAATCATGGAAGCAAGACAGATGAAGTCCCTTTACCAGCTGGTACTTCTGTTAAGAGGCTATAACAGTCAGTGGAAGAAATACTTGGGCACTAGTGACATAATCTCACTGTCTATCTCAGCCTTAACTAAGACAAGAAACTGAAATGTGGAAGCTGTGGGATTTTGCAGGCAAAAAAAATCTGGGTAAGAACATGGAGATGCAGGTAATTTTCTACCTACAGTTTCAGACTTATTAACTTGTTATGTAAGTGTGATCCTCCAGGACCTCCCTAGCAAAAATTGACATTGTATGTGTATTCCTATTACCTCAAGTTATCATTGTGTGTCTTTCTGTCCTTCACTATTAAACTTCTAGGAAATAATCTATAATTACTGCATCTGCTTCCTCATCACTCAATCCTAATCTTCTGTAAATTGTCTTCTGCCCCCTCTGTTTACTGAATCAGATATCATGAAGATTACTTTATAATTCCCAAATCCAAAGGCCATTTCTTAGTCTTCATTCTTTTCGACCATTTAATACTGATAGTCACCTGCCAAATCTGCTCTTTCTCTCAGCATCCCTATTACTGTTGACAGCAGCATAATCTTTTGTCATAGGGATCAAAATCTCAGTCATCTTTGATTGTCCTCTCCTCCTACACCCCACATCTGATCAGTTTTGCTTCTCACCACACTGGTACAAACTCTCATTTACCTTTTACTGAGATTATGATGATTGTCTCCCAGCATCTTCCCTTAATTTATCCTGCACGCAGCTGCCAAAATAATCTTCTGAAGGCACAAATATGACTCCTTTCTTTAAAAAACTTTAGCAGTTGCTCCTAATCTCATAAATATTAACTCATTAACTTTATATTCAAGGGACTCCCTCACATTATTCCATTTAGGACTATCTGTTCCAATCAATCTGTACAGTCAAGCTATTCTCACATCTTCTCATACCACCATATATTCATGGGGGCTATTGCCAATGCCTGAAATATAATCCCTCCAGTTCTTTGCTTTTCTTTCTACAAAAATTAGTGCTATATCTTCATTAAACCTTTCCTTATCCCCCAGCTGAAAGTGATCTGTCCTTTTTCAAATTTTCACACAGTATTTTGTACTAATCTCTTCTTTGCCCTTATCCTTAACATATTCTATCTTATTTGGATATGTGTCATAGTCCTGGATATAAATTTTAAAAACAGATAATCTGTTTTTTCAAATGTGTATTTTCATGCACAGGTGGCCTCAGGTGGCTATGTGGCACAGTGGAGAGTGCTGGGCCCTGGAGTCAGAAACACCTGAATTCAAATCCTACCACAGCCACTTACTACCTGTGTGACCTTAAGGCCACCCATACAGATCAAATATGACTAATCATAATCTCTGTTTGCCTCAGTTTCCTCAAATGTAAAATGGGAATAACAATAAACACCTACTTTGCAGGGTTATTGTGAGGTACACAGTTGGCATTATAGAAATACTTATTTCCCTATTTCCTTGCCCTCATGCCGAGCCAGTCTCTTGTACATTGAAAGCACCTAAGAAATGTTTGTTAAACTCTACAGTGGTCCTGGGAGGATTGAGACCTGCTGTGCTGTACCTCACTGCACCTTAAATCTTTACTAGCTAAAATGTACATATTCTACATATTCTTTGATCTAGAGATTCCAAGTAGGGCATTAACAAAAATAAAAGCTCTATTTACACCAAAATATCTATATCAGCACTTTTTGTGGTCATAAAGACCAAAAAACAAAGTAGATGCCCACTTTTACTCTCATTTATTAGGAAGGAAGGGTTCCTAGGAAGAATGGAAGAAATCTAGGCAGGAAGACAGAGAGAGGTTCGGAAGGGGTAAATGAGAATCAAATTCAATATCAAAAGGTTTCCAAGAAGAAGAATGTAGGGAACTGATGAAAAAAGTTCTACACCACTGAAAATATAAAACAAATTTGAAATTCCTCTTATGGAGAGTTATCATAGAAAATATCCCATATTCCTAAGAACACTAAGGAGGACACATGGGCAGTGTCAGGTGAAAAGAATCCTGCTCGGACTTAGATATAAAGGCTGATACCATAAGTAAACTGGGAGAACAAGGAATAGTTTACCTATCAGATCTATGGAGAACAGAAGAATTCATGACCAAACAGGAGATAGAGAACATTATAAAAAGCAAAATGGATAATTTTGATTACATTAAATTGAAAAGTTTTTGCACAAACAAAGCCAATGCAACTAAGATTAGAAGGAAGGTAGAAAATTGGGAAAGAATTTTTACAACCAGCCTTTCTGATAAAGGCCTCATTTCTAAAATATATAGAGAATTAAGACAAATTTATAAGAACACAAGCCATTCCCCAATTGATAAATGGTCAAAGGATATGAACAGACAGTTCTCAGATGAAGAAACTAAAGCCATCTATAGTCATATGAAAAAATGCTCTAAATCGTTATTGATTAGAGATTTGCAAAGCAAAATAACTCTGAGGTACCACATCACACCTATCAAATTGGCCAACATGACAAAACAGGAAAATGATAAATGTTGGAGAGGATGTGGGAAAATTGGAACGCTAATACGTTGTTGGTGGAGTTGTGAAATGATCCAACCATTTTGGAGAACAATTTTGAACTATGCCCAAAGGGCTACAAAAATGTGCACACCCTTTGATCCAGCAATAGCACTTCTAGGGCTATATCCCAAAGAGATCAAAGAAATGGGAAAAGGACCCATATGTACAAAAATATACATAGCAGCTCTTTTTGTGGTGGCAAAGAATTGGAAATTGAGAGGATGCCCATCAACTGGGGAATGGCTGAGCAAGTTGTGGTATATGAATGTAATGCAATACCATTGTGCTGTAAGAAATGATGAACAGGCTGACTTCAGAAAAACCTGGAAAGACTTATATGGTCTGATGCTGAGTGAAGTGAGCAGAACCAAGAGGACTTTGTACACAATAACAGCCACGTTATGCAATGACTAAGATTGTTAAACTGAACCTTTCTCAGCATTATGAGGATCTAAGACATTTCCAGAGGCCTCGGGATGGATAAGGCTGTTCACATTCAAAGAAAGAACCATGGAAGTCGAATCGCTATCACTTATTTTTACCTTCTGTTGAGTTTTGTTTCCTCTTTCTGATGGTTCCTCGTATTGGTTTTAATTTTCACTTACAACTTCACTAATGTGAAAATATGTTTAATGGGTATGTAAATGTAAAGCCTATATCAGATTGTGCGCCGTCTTGGGGAGGGTGGGGGGGAGGAAAAGGGAGAAAAATTTTCAACTCAAAAGGATATGGAAAAAATAAAAAAATTAAAAAAAACCAAGGAAAAAAAAAAGAAAAGAATCCTGCTCCTTTTCCCAAGAGGAGCTGTCTTTATGATGGCTGACAACTTTCTACTAAGGCATGTGGGAGACCTGACACAGCAAACTGGAAGATGTCTTCCTGGCATATGTATCAAAGGCATAAAAGACAGCTGACTCAACAGACTCACAATTGCTATTCACTTCTGTTGATTTACATGGGAATGAATGACACCTTCAGAAAAAACAAAACAAAACAAACCCCTGTAACATATATATCGAATGCCTCTGAAATCCTAGGTAAAACTTGAGAGCATATTGTGAGTTTACTTGGTCTACCATTTGAAAGTCAGGCCTCTAAGAGAGAAAAATATATGGTAAGTGAAGAAATGGTTACAAAAACACTATTGAACAGAATTTTATCTTTCTGGACTAAATGCTGGAATGATGGTCTTCTAGGAAAGAGTGGAGCCCCACAAAGGCTAGGAATAATGTGTTTTATAGGAGTCTTATTGCCTAGTCAAAAGGACTCTATACTAACATTTCAAGAATAAAACTGTCAAGATAAAATTGAAAAATAATTAAAAGTCCACAAGTATGACACAGAAAGGAACATTTTATAAGATGAGGTTCATGTAAGAGGAAAGTGGGCTGAGAAAAATACTATAACATTAGATGCTTATACATTGCTATATCTCAAGGATACCAAACAAAATTGAAATTTTAACACAAGGAGGTAATTAAGACTTCGTAGAAGAATCACTGACACTTGGGAGACTCTCTACTGCAATATGGAATATATTATTTTGAGCAAATATGTAACTTTCTATTTCAAAATAAATATATCTAATAGGAAAGGGAAATAGTATTATATGTTAAAAAGGTATATGGACATTAGAATACAAATAAAAAGTCCTTTAACATATGGCTCTACCCTTTCCAACTTTATTATTTTACACTCCTGCACATATTCTTCAGTTTAGTCAAACTGCCCTTACTGTTGTTCCTCACAGAAGCTCTTTGCCTGCGTACAGGCTGTCCTTGATGTCCCCAATGCACTCACTCCTCACTTCTTCCTCAAAAAATTCCTGGTTTGTTTCAAAGCTCCTTTGTTTCAAATGCTACCTCCTACCTGATCCCTTTCCTGATCCTCTCAGCTACTAATGCTCCCCCTCACCTCAAATCACCTAGTGTTTATTTTGTATATACTTATATATATATATGTATACACATATATACACGCACACACATATATAATATATATACATATATATATTATATACACATATATACATATATACATAATATATATACATATATAATATACATACATACATATATATATATATATATATATATATATATATATATATATATATATATGTACACATATATACTGGTCATCTCCCTCAATCAAACACAAGCTTAATAAAAGTCAAAACTTTCATTTTTGTATTTTCATCTCTAGAGCCTAACACATAACAGGAGTTTGTGGACAATCCAAATTGTTGATGGATTGGTTATGAAAACCAATAAATCTGAAGAGCTAAAGTAGAGAGAGAAGGCAAAGTGATATCTTTGTGGGAATATAGTGTAGACAATCCATCTGGATAGAGGATAGGGAAGATGCTTTCCTAAAAATTATGAAACAAGCAGGGAAAAAAGTCAGATGTAAAATTTCAACTGCTCTAAAGTAGAGCAGCAGATTTACTCTGCTGATTTCATTTTTTAGAAGGGAGAGGAAGCTGTTGGGGAAGCTACTTGCTTTCTTAATTTCTACCAAAATGAAACATTGATTACATGGAAGGTGAAAAATAACAGGATTGAATGACCATGTCATGTTGGAGTTTGTAATACAAAGGAAAGGAACTTAGGCATAGTCCAACCTGCACACTAGAATTTAAGAAAGCTGCATTAGAATGAAAGGATAGGGGGCAGCTAAGTGGCACAGTGGATAGAGCACCGGCCTTGAAGTCAGGAGGACCTGAGTTCAAATCTGGCCTCAGACCAAACACTTGACACTTACTAGCTGTGTGACCCTGGGCAAGTCACTTAACCCCAATTGCCTGGAAAAAAAAAATGAAAAGACAGTTATGATTCCATGGCCAAGGACTCTAAAGGGAATGAAGGCATTAAGATGGAGGCAGAATTCTTAAGGACAAAATTCTGTTTATGTAATTGTGAGTAAACGTGATAAAAACAAAAGAAGCATCTAAAGAAACTAATGTGGTTGCACAAGAAGCTCTCTGATGAAATTAGATTTTATAAATATACATGAGCTGAGAAGACATAACCAAAGACAAATGCAAAAGAGTGGGAGGAACCTGTCAGAAAGCCTTGTTACAAAAGCTAAAGACAACAAGTCTTTTTAAAAGTGATATCCAGAATAAGAAGAAAACAATGGGCAGGGAAGTGAAGAACCACCTAGGGGATATGGTATAATTTTAACAATCAATCAACAAGCACTTATTAAGCATCTGTTGTGCGCTAGGTACTGGGAATACAAAGAATGAAATCCCTACTTGAAATGAGCTTACTTTCTTATCACAGAATAAAGAACATTATAACTCACTCTTGTTTTTTTCCATTGAGTGAAAGGATGTTTAAACTGGAAAGGGGAGAACAAACATGAAGAGGGGCTTGAAACCTAAGATGGTGGACAGATGGTAAGAGAATACCTGTTTTTTTAAATGAATTCAAGTCTTTAGGTCCAGGTTAATTACATCTTAGGGTACTATAGAGACTTGCAGAAATGATCTAAGAACTACTGTGGATAATTTTTGAGAAATCATGAAGTACCAGATGACTAAAGATGAATTAATTTTTCCTGAATGTGTAAGAAGGAAAAGAAAGGTATTGCTTAATATAGGTCCCAACGTAAATTCTAGAATACACTATTAGTATAACAGCACATACAAAAAGTAGGTACGCAGAAGAGAAATGCAAGGTAGATACACTGATCATTATACTGTCAGAAATATAAGACCCCAGAAGTATAAGACCTGTACTTACATATTTAATAAATTTATTTCACCAGAATTGGATAGTTTTGGGATATGAATATTGGATAATATTCACAGGATTCATTGGATAACAACTGGAATACTGGATAATATTCAGTTCACCAGCCCTTATATACTCCTGCTTAATGGCTGGCTGTATTCATAGAACACTTAAAAGTTTTCTCTTTCACTTAAGTAAATTTTAATTACTAGGTTTTGATGTTGACTTTCACATGATAGATAATAAATAATCATTAGCAATTTAATATTCACATTTTCTTAACATGGAAGATATTGATCGGATTTTGGACATCAAAATAGTATTTACCTAGTAAATAAGTATATGGAATAGGCCATACTGGACATGTTCTGCCCATGTCGAACAATTTCATTCTCCTGGTTCTTCCATTTTTCTATTTCACAGTCTACATCTGATGTAAGTAAACGAAGCTTAAGTCCAAGTTTTGCTATCTTTGCTTGTTCCTATAAATTAAAAATTTTAACTTTTTGGTCATTATTGACTTTTAAAAAACCTTCAAGTAGTATAAAATACAATACAATTCAATAGGAAATGGTCTTACCTCAGAATCAAGTTTGGTTGGCTTAAATGGCTTCAGGTTTGCATTATTCTTCTGTTGTAATTTTTAAAAAATTTAAAAATTATACATTTGATCAAAAGAAATATAGTAGTCAATAAAAACATAAACTAAATTCATTCTTTAAAACAAGGTATTTGCAATAAGTTTTTAATATTTGAACTAAGACTATGAAATGATTGCTATTATGAAATAAGTCAGACCTATAACATTTTATATGCAATTCATGTTTTCCTCATTTTTATGAATTTGGAATTCAGTTTATTAAATATTTCTCCAAATCTAAAAGCTTACCTTCATTTAGTAAGTTAGATTTCAATGGGATACCTTTCCTAATCCCATTTTCTAAATTTTGTAGAGGATTACACTTGTATTAAGGAACTCGGATTTTCTAATAATAAATTTAAACAAAAATTAAGGTAACATGCAAATTTATGAAAGCAATATATTCCAAAAACTCATTTCTAAGTTAATTGTTTGGAATTTTAAAAACATATTTTATAGAACAAATGGGGAAGAGGATTCCAGGATAGCCCACAAGAGCCTACTTAACCCACAGTGTACCCAAAATATATTTTGGCCTCCCTAAAAATCTTATTTTGAAGCCTTGTTGTGATGTGGAGATGACTCTGTGTTCTTGAAGGTTATACCAGCAGAGCATATGCTTTGCCAGGTCCTAACAAGTTGGAAAAGCTTTAAGTGTGGGCCCAGTGATAGAGTACTGTAGGCCTGTTTTACTGGAGCCTGCCTATCTAGGTTCAAAAAGACTCACTACCAGACTTGATTTTTTTTTTTTTACTAAAGCAACTCTTGAAGATAGTCTATTAACTATAGGGAGGCTGATACTTATGTCAGTAAAGCAAGTTCCTATACCACTAAAATTAAAGATTTTTGAAACACTGAAGTATCTTAAGTATATAGATTTATAGAAATTAATTACTATATAGCAAAATGTTTCTAGGAGAAAATGAATTAAGAGTTCCAGCTTGGAATACCAGGAACCTACTAACTTCTCCCCAAAAGACTGTATCTTCTAGGTAATGGGAACAAAGACTCAGCCACTGGTCGTGGCATCTATGATCTGGGCCAACGGTCTCAGAAAGGGTAAGAGCTGGGAGAGGCCCCAGGTGTTCAAGGGATGGAGAACTGTTGGTACAGACCCTCAGAAACACTTTTTGATCTCAGGTTGACTCATGGTTACATCTTTGAGTAAGTAATGTAACCTCTCTGGGTCTTAGTTTCTGTAAGATGAGGGAGCTGGGCTAGGTGATTTTTAAGGTAACTTCTAGCTCTAACATTTTATGTGTCTATGATTCTGTTTTATGGAAGGGAAGGTAAAAGACTGCATTATTCTATCATTTGGCAGTGGGCAAAAAGAATGTGACTGTGAGAAAAAATGGCTTGCAGCAGTGACATAGGTAGGTGTGGATAATGTGCTGACAAGTTAAGTGACTTGCCCAGGGTCACACAGCCAATATGTATCGGCAGGGTGGAGGGGTGGGGACCTGAAACCTGGCTTTCTTGGCTTCAAGGCTGATTTTCTATATTGAGATATTAAAAGGCAATTAATTGCCTAAGAAACTATAGCAAATGGGCTCAAATATTCAAAACTACTTTCCAACACTTACCACTGGCTTTGGAAGTGAAAGGTAGGCACGCTTCTCTCCTACAACCAATACATGTATTAGTAAACAAAGTTCACAAATATAATATTTCTCACTGTTATGCTTTTCACTATGTTAAATGTTATTACAGAAACTACTGAGGAATGCTTAAGTAGTAATGCTATATATATTCTATCAATCACATGCATTTAAAAACAAAGTTCTTTCATTTATGAACCTGGAAACTGAAAAGTTATGTAATTTCATGTTAAACTTATATTAGCCAATTACTTGAGATATATTCTGAGGGAGGAAATAAAATATTTCAAGTATATTCATCTTAATCTATAAGCAGTTTACATTTATTAAACAAAATTTGGCCAAAACAAAAACTGAAACAGATGATTCCCCTTAAAAGAGGCAAATGTGGATGGGTCATCAAAGTCCAAGCATTTTCAGTCACAATCTTACACTGGCTATATTGAAAGTTATGGTAATAGTTTGCCTGACTCCATATCCCCTCAATCATATTTAACTAGAAGTTGTAGGTTCAGCCTCTCCTCAGACTTGAGGACTAATACTTGTCCTAGAAAGAGGGAACATAAAGAATTATGTATGAGGAAGGTGGAATTATGTCACTAGTTCAGCATTAGGCAATGCTGTTGGTATTCTGATCTTGGTAACAGCACCTATCTCCCACTTCTCTTTACCCTTGTGGAAAGACTTACCTAAAAACTCACATCTTTGTTAGTTGCCTGTCCCTAGAATAAATTACCCTCTCTCCCCACTCCCCACTAGACTTTACTTAACCCTATGGGCTTGGATTCCTAGTCTTGACCTTATGAAGTCTGGCTTTTCCTACTACCATCTGAGCTCTTGTGTTGACAATGTAGTATCACTTTGACCCTTTCAACGAAAAGTATTCCTTTATATAAAACAAAATAGTTGCTGAGTTGCTGTTAGTATGTGTGTGTGTGTACGTGTATGACACATACACACACACACACACACACACACACACACACATTCCATTGTTCATGTGGTTTCAACCACACCAATATGCACATGACTCCCAAAATGGCTCTCCCGCTTACTCCTCAGCACTATGTAGGAGGCAGTTTGTACAAGATGCCTTGCAAATTTGGTATTTTTTTAGGTATTAAGTCATTTTCATCTTTACGTCATGTTTTGTTTTCCTGATAAGATAGTAAGTTCACTGAGGATTATTTATTTTACATCCTTAACAGTACCCAGTACAATGAACACTTAATACAATCCTACGAATGCAAATACTCTAACAAATGATGTATTAATATTCTGACTCAATGGCTCTACCTCCTCATCACCTAGTGCCTTCTAAGCTCCATATAATATGGCTCCTATCACTCTACTGAAACTGCTCTGTCAGTGTCAAAATTCTTGCCAAATCCAATGGTATTTTCTGTCTCCATTCTCTTTGGCTATTGATTGCCCCTCTGTTTTGAAAATTTTTCACAGCTTTCATGACACTATTCTGGCTCTCTTATTATGTCTCTACCGCTGATTCTTTGGCTCCTTTTATTTCTCATACCCCTAACTGTGGATATAACCTAAGGGTCATATCTTGACCTTCTGGCTCTTCTCTCTTTAACAACTATCAGCTTTGAACTATCACTTTTATCTATATTGAGTCCCTAACTTATATTTTCAATGCTGACCTCTAGTCTTGTGCTTCAAATGCCTTCAGAGAACTTCCTGTCCTCAATCTCAACACACAAAAAAAAATCAAGGCATTGTCTTCTTTTGTAAACTCTCTGCCCTTCCCAATTTTCCCATTCCTCATCAACTGCCTTACCTTTCTTCCTGTCACCCAGGCTCAAAATCTGGAAGCTATTTTCAACCCTCCCACTAATTCATCCCTTATATCTATTATCTTATATCTTCCTTTGTGGTATCTTTTGGATTCATTCCTTGCTTTCCATTATCACTGACAGCACCCTAGTCTGGTACCTTAATACCCAATAAAATCTCAGAGTTGTAAGGGAGCTCAGAAGTAATCTAGAACAATTCATTTATGAGTCAATAATCCTGCTTATAACATACTAATAGAAGAGCTCTAATAACAGAGAAATTACTACCTTATGAGACAATCCATTCTACTTCTGAGCAGCTCTGAGTGTTAGGAAATTTTTCCTTACATTGAGCCTAAACATGTTTTCCTATAACTTTTATCCATTGGTCTTAAGCAAAAAACAACAAAAACCCAGCTATTACCTGTTCCACACGGCCACCCTTAAAAAAATTTGTAAACAAATCATATTCCCTTAAGTTTCTTTCAGGATAAATATCTCCAGTTCCTTTAACTTAGCCAACAAGCATTTATTAAAGACTTATTGTAGTCATGATTTTGAGTCCTCTCATAATCTTTGTTGCCCTCTTCTGGGTATCTATTAGCTTTATATAGTCTCCCTAGGGGGCAGCTAGGTATCATAGTGGATAGAGCATGGGCCCTTCAGTCAGGAAGACCTGAGTTCAAATCCGGCCTTAGACCAAACACTCAACACTTGCTAACTGTGTGACTCTGGGCAAGTCACTTAACTCCAATTGCCAAAAAAAAAATTCTTCCTAAAATGTGGCACCCAGAAATATAAATGTGATCTGAACAGGGCTGAGTAAAATGGGGCTATTAACTCTCTGATACTAGACACTACACTTATTTAATGCAACTCATTCATTTGGGGAGGGAGACTAATACTTATTAAGCTTTCAGCATGTAAAAAAACCCCAGGCCTTTTTCATATTAACCACTGTCTGGTCATGTTTTCCCCACTATATATTTATACAGTTAATTTTTTGAGTCCACATTTAGTACTTTACATTTATCTTTATTAAATTTCATCTTATTAGATTTGGATCATCATTCAAATCTATTGATATAGTATGGGATCCCAATTCCATTATCAAATGAATCATCAGTTTCTCCCAGCTTTGCAAACTTGATAGGCGTACTATTTGTATGAATGGATACATCTGTGTATAAGCATATTATCTGTGTGTCTGTGGTCTTAGGGAGTCTCTTTAACTAGTCCTGCTGTTTAACTTAAAACCAAAATTGGAACCTGACTGCTTATACTGGGGATAGCTAGGCATATGGGATGTCTCCTGTTAGTTTAAGTAATATATGGGTATTACTATTTCTGTCACTACACATGGTATAAACCCTTTAATTTTCCAGAATATCTTCAACAAATGTTTTTCAGGTCCTTGGATAAAAAGCTGATACAGGTGGTCTTCTTGTGAAATTACATAATGTGGGACCAAACATACACTCTTAATTGTACATTCTCAATTTAGTAGAGAAGTATCTACTGCTAAAATGACCTGACGTAGGAAATCAGATATGGGATATACCTGTGAAAAATGTTTGTGCCACACTGGGACATGGATAGCATCAGAGATCATTAGGCTAGTCAAGGACTGGGAGTCCCTGGACTCCAACAAAGAATGAAAGATTACTAATCCCTAAATCAAAGCAGACACTGGGTCAAGTCCAAGAAGTTTAATGAGGCTGGAAAGACTGGAACATGTTAAAAGTCAGAGGAGTTAGCAGGTCTAGTTCAAGGTAAAGATCAAGACAAGGCAGGGTCCACAGTCTAAGAAGTCATCTAGCTCTAGGCAACAATATAAGCAAGAAGAAACATGAAATGAATTATGATCACAAGAAAGAGATTAGTTCCCATTTGTTCTCTTTTGAATGACCCAAGTGTAAGCAAACTTGGATTCTAAGTGGATAATTATCCCCAGAAGAAAAAGTCAGAGGTCTGAAGTATGTAGTATGAAAACACTGCAGGATTCACTGAAGTATGCCTGATATGTGTCTAGTCACAGAACATTAAGAATTTAGAGACACCTCTTTAATTAATTAAGATTAAGGGACTACAATCCTTATTATTACACATCCTATTGGTGATACCCTCTGCCATGGGTTAATAATAAGAAACAGAAGGCAATACAGGGTATTTCATATGGCATCATAGATTTACTCCTGGAAGGGAACTTAGAGGCCACCTAGTCCAACCAACTCATTTTACAGATCAGTAAACTGAAAACTAGAGATGTTAAGTAGCTTGCTTGGAGTCACATAAGTTAGTCAGAGGCAAGATCTGAACCTGGCTCTTCTTCCTAAATCAAACCTTCCACCCCCTATGCCACTCTTTTCCACATTTTATCTTTTTCTATTGGTTTCCTTTAGGTCCCAACTAAAATTCCATCTTCTATAGGAAGCTTTTCCCAATCCCTCTAAATTCAAATGCCTTCTCGTTCTTAATCATTTCCTGTTTTTCCTGTATGTAGCTTGTTAGTACATATTTGTTTGCTTATTGTCTCCCCTATTAGATTGTGAGCTCTTTGAAAACAGGGACTGTCCTTTGCCTCTTTTTTGTATTCCTAGTGCTTAGCACAATGGTAGGTACTTAATACATGTTTACTAACTGACTGTCTCTCATGGCAAGCACGAGTCTGGCTATTGTAGCATCTTGATAGAGAAGCATATTTGTGATTATTTGTGTTTTTTGTCATATTGAATCTTTATATCTCCCACAAAATGGCCTTGTACAGTGTTTTTTTGTGCACTTAACTTTTTTTTCTTATGGAGGAGTCAAACCATAATATAAACTCCTTAGTCTGACATTATCAGGAACTGAAGAGAGAGCTGGCCCTGGAGTCAGGAGGTCCTGGGCATAAGTCTTGCCTCTGACACATACTAGTTGTATGACCATGAGAAAATCACTTAAACTCTCTATGCTCCAGCAACTCTCTAAGACTATAAGTTACATACGAATTGCCATTCTGCATTGGTTGAAGGAGCTTCTTTTGTGAGATTTCCCTACATTAATTAAAACACAGGTCTGGAAAACCAAACCATGCACTACAACCAAAACACCCCTACCTACACCTTTCTGAATCTGTCCCCTTCTTCCCACTCCCAATACCCTATGATCATGTCATGTCTTTATTCAAAAGCCTTTACTAGTTTTTCATTTCTTACAAAATAGAGAATAAACTCCTTATCCAGGCATTCTAAGATCCATTATGATTCATGTCCATTCTATGCCCTGTGGTCTCATTTCACACAAGTCCCTTCTGTATTTTCTGTGCTACATAAAAACTACTCATTGTCCCTCCTTCTTGACCTGCCCCTTCCCATCTCTGTGCTTTTGCTTAAGCTCTTTTCCATTATGGAACAGATTCATTTAAAAAAAATCTATTAAGTGCCTATGCAAAGCCTTGTATTAGGTGTTGGGGACACAAAAATTAAAAAAGAAATAGTCCTTGACTTCAAGAAACCTGGGGTGAAGGGGTGAGGTGGAAAGATATGATGGTTATTTTGAGAAGTACGATACAAGGTAGAGAGTGACAGGGACAATTAAATCTGAAGTGTGAACAAGGGGAAGATGTGAGGATTTCAACTAGATGGGCAGGGGGTGCTATGGAGACTGGGTAAAGCTACTTGAAAGAGTTGGTACCGGAGTTGAGCTCTGAAGGAAAAAAAGTATTCTAAAAGGCTGAAATCAGGAGGAAGAGCATTCTAAGCATGGGGGGAGGTAGAAGGTAATATACTGATCTGGCGGAATAGCTAGAAGTAGTTTGGCTGAAATGCAGAATGTGTGAAGGTAATGATATGAAATATGTATGGAAAAGTAGGTTGGCACCAGATTACTGAGGGCCTTAAGTGATAGGCTAAACAGTTTGTATTTCTCCCTTCACAGCATTTCTTGCATTTTTCTCCCCCTTTCCACTGAGCACCTACCTTAGTTGAGGCCCTCATAATCTCTTGCCTGGACTACTGCAATGGCTCCCTAATTGGTCTCCTTGTTTCAAGTGTTTCCCCACACTATCCATTCTGCTGAAGTGATACTCTTAATGCCTGGTTCTGACCACATCATTCTCTTGTTTAATAAATCCGAGTGGCTTCTTTTTACTCTAGGATCAAACTCCTCATTTTGGCATGTAAAGCCCTTTACAACCTGTCTTCATTCTAACTTTCCAGCCTTATTATACATTGTTCCACTTAATGCACCTTTTGGTCCAGTCAAATCGTTCTTTTTGCTGTTCTCCATACACATTTCCCCATCCCTCTTGGGGATGTCCCCCAAGCTTCAGATGCCTCACCTCTTCACTTCTGACTCTTAGAATCCTCCTTTCTTCAAAGTCCACCTCAAGTGTCACCATCTCTGTGAGTCCTTTCATGGTCTCCCCAGGTCCTAGTGTTTCTCCCACAAAAAATTAACTAGAATTTATTTTGCATACATTTATATATGTACATGTATCTCTGAAGAGAATTTAAGCTCCTTAAGGGCATTTATATCTTTGTAATCCTAATGCCTAGTATAGAGCCAAGCAAGTAGCGGATAATTCATAAATTCTTATGGACTGACTAACTGGATTTTGTTCTAGAGACAAAGGAAACTACTAAAGGTTTTTGGACAGGACAATACGTTAGGAAAATTATTTTGTCAGTTGTGTGAAGGCTGGATCAGGGAAGTTAGAGATTAGCAGTAGAAACACAAATTAGGAGACTATTACAATCAAAAGTCCAGATGGAAAGTGATAATCTGAATATATAGAAGGGTCTATTTTGTAGAAAACTTCATGGAAGGTAGAACTGACAGGATTTGTCAATAGATAGTATATGGACATGTGAAGGAGGAAAGAGGCATAGATAATTGAAGTTTTGAATTTGGGTGGCTACAAGGATGGTAGTACCCTTAACTGAAACAGTGAAGTAAAATGACAGGTTTTGGGGGAAAGATTACGAGTTCAGTTTTGTACATGCTGAGTTTGAATTGCTGGCAAAAAATTCAGATGGAGATTTCAATCAGACAGTTGAAGATGTAGGACTGAAGTTCAGAAGACAGATTAGGGCTGGATATGTCACACTGAAATAGCCATCTCTTTCATGAAATTCTCCATTACTCTCACCAACTGAAAGCTATCTCCCCCTCTTCTGAACCACACAGAATTCTTTACTTCTCTAATGCATTCATCATGTTTTATCTTGTATTATGTATCTGTGTTTGTCTTATATTTCCTATTTGATTGTATACTCCTTGAGGGTAGAAATACTCTCAATCATTTTTGTATCTCTTCCCAGAACCTTGCATGTATATAGTGAGAAGATTAAGATTGATGCTATATCATTTTCTTATTGATCCTATTTACAACTGCTAAAGTCATGGTTCTTTGTCTCTAAACTTAGTTCAGAAATCAGCTGCCCTGTAACAGGTTAAGTTTAAAAATTCAGCTCTCCTGCTAACCACTGATATAATATAGTCTTGCTTCAAGGAATTTTGCTGACCTTAAGGGACAAGTATGAACACAAGGAAGTCAGGTCTGATATCTTTACACCACGAAGCTATTCCTCAAGGATGTCTTAACCTGTTATCTAGGATGCCTAATTTGTTATCATGTATCTGGACTCTCAGGAGGGAAGGAGGGTTTTTTTTTTCTAGTCCTCATCACCAAACTTCCAAACAATTATGTTGTTCTCTGTGCCTCAGCTTTGCAACCAATCACGTTACCCTCAATCCCATGATATCATCTACCCAGTTCTAGTCTTTGTTCTATACTCCCCAAGGGGAGTTTTCCTTTTGCTTGTGGTCTTTGGCATAAATGGAGGCAATCCATTGACCCACTTATTGATAAGCAGCATGCCCCTGATAATAAATGTTATCTTACTCAGAGAAATGTCTCCACTTACCCTTTTGTTAAATTTAAATTGTGACAATAGTAGGCATTTCCTAAATGTTTGTTGAACTCAATGTTTCACAAATGGTATGACTTTTAAAAAAAGAGTTGGTTTTGATTTTTTAAGTAAACATACACAACATGTAGGCAGCTAAGTGGCATAGAATGCTGGGTTTGAAGTCAGGAAGACTCATCTTCCTGAATTCGAAGTTGGCCTCAGACACTTACTAGCTGTGTGACCCTGGGCAAGTCACTTGATTATATTTGCCTTGGTTCCTCATCTGTAAAATAAGCTGGAGAAGGAATGGGCAAACTACTCTAGGATCATGAAGAATCAATACGAGTAAATAACAACACAGCATTTATGCTCTGATCATTCAAAAACACCTAATAGTTGCATATAATGAATGAACATTAATTCAATGAGATCATCATTTTACATGGTATTTTATAATAATATGCTGCTGATAAGTGATATAATTAAGCTATACTAAACAGGTTTTTCCCTAAGAAATACCATGACTAAAACTACAATGAGATTTTTTCTGAGAGTAAGTGTAAGAGACTCATAGTAATGAAAAATAAACTTTCAGGTGAAATTAAAATGAAGATTCAAAATAATTTCTTACTTTATATCTTATGGTGCTATTCTATATGGTGTAAAAATACCAATAAACTTACCAACCACAGGAATTATTCCAAGGTTGTGTAGTCATCAGGTAAAGAGATTCCATCCAAGAGGAAGGACAGCAGTTCAAAAATTAAACAGCTATATTCACTACATTATGAAGTGTCTATAATCCAAGCTAATGGTACTAAATAAAGTATGGGATTGGTTCCACGAATAAAGGATAGTTATAAGAGAACACTGGTAAGGTTGAATCTTAATGATAAAGGTGAAATATTAAGTTTAACAAGTCCTACAATACTAGCCAAGTAATAAAATGAAATTTCTACTTAATTATGTTATGAAGATTTTAACTGCTTAAATACTAGAATAAATAAAAACTGAGGTAAACAAAAATTACAGATAACTCCATCGTTTCTCAGTCATACTACATTTGATTTAGTAAAGATAAAAAATAATTCTAGTCTATAATTTCTGAAAATTTACATGTTTTAGCTTAATAGCTAACCCTTGTGACAAAAGATAATTCATTTTATACCTGATGAAGCTTGGAACAAAAATTATAAACTTAACAATTCAAAATTTAAACATGTGGCCAGCATTCTGACTTACCCCGTTTTCCTTCAAATACATCATTTATTTCTCTTAGTAATGTTGACATGTCACTAATCTGAGACTCCCAAGCTTCACAAAACACATCCAGATTTTCTTTAGCAATCTTGCTGGATGGATGTAACGTCAAAGTTTCAGCAGCTGAAATTATCTGAAGAATACATACTATATGTAAATGAATTTCAAAAAGTTTCCTTTCACTTTCTCATCTTCAATTTCTCCTTAAATATCTACACACATGCTTAGTTCTCCCTTAAACTAACAAAACTCTTACTTGATTGTCCCATCCCCTCAAACTATAATCCTATTTTTTTTCCCTTTTCACTGCAAAACTCTTGATTCAGTCCTTTAAATACTGTCTCAAACTTCCTCACTCCACCACTCTATGGAAACCTCTGTCTCAAAGATTGTCAAATAGCCTCTCACTTGCTATATCCAATAGCCTTTCCTCAGTCATCATTCTTTTTTTATATTTTTTTTGTTTTTTTAAATTAATTTATTTATTTTTAGTTTTCAACATCTACTCCCCAAGATTTTGAGTTCCAAATTTTCTTCCCATGTCGTCCCTACCCCGACCCCAAGACAGCATGCATTCTGAATACCCCTTCCCTTAATCTGCCCTATCTTCTATCTCCCCCCTTCTTTTATCCCCTTCCCCTTCTATTTTCCTATAGGGCAGGATAGATAGATTTCTATACCCCATTGCCTGTATATCTTATTTCCCAGTTGCATGTGCAAACAATTTGTAATATTTGTTTTTAAAACTTTGGGTTCCAAATTTTCTCCCTTCCTCCTCCTCATTGAGAAGGCAAGCAACTAGATACAGGTTTCCATTGTAGTCATGTTGTGGAAAACTAACTATATTTCTCTTCATACTATCACATCCACCCCCATTTATTCCATTCTCTCTTTTGACCCTGTCCCTCCTCAGAAGTGTTTGTTTCTGATTACCCCCTCCCCCAATCTTCCCTCTCCTCTATCATCACCCTGCTCTCTTATCCCTTTCCACCTATTTTCCTGCAGGGTAATACAAATTTTCACAGCCAATTGAGTGTGTATGGTATTCCCTCCTTAAGCCAAATCTGATGAGAATAAGATTCACTCATTCCCTCTCACCTTCCCCCACTTCCCCTCCACTGTAAAAGCCTTTTCTTGTCTGTTTTATGTGAGGTAATTTACCCCATTCTTCCTCTCCCTTTCTCCTTCTCCCAGTATAATAATCCTCTCTCACCCCTTAATTTTATTCTCCAGATATCACCCCTTCATTTTCAACTCACCCTGTGCCCTCTATCTATCTATCTATCTATCTATCTATCTATCTATCTATCTATCTTTCTATCTATAATTTTTTTACCCCTCCAACTACCCTAATACTGACAAAGGTCTCATGAGTTAAAAATATCATCTTTCCATGTAGGAATGTAAATGGTTCAACCTTAATAAGTCTCTTATGATTTCTCTTTCCTGTTTACCTCTTCATGCTTCTCTTGAGTCTTGTATTTGAAAGTCAAATTTTCTATTCAGCTCTGGTCTTCTCATCAAGAATGCTTGAAAGTCCTCTATTTCACTAGAAGTCCATTTTTCCCCCTGAAGGATTATATTCAGTTTTGCTAGGTAGGTGATTCTTGGCTGTAATCCTATCTCCTTTGACCTCAGGAATATCATATTCTAAGCCCTCTGGTCCTTTAATGTAGAAGTACTAAATCTTGTGTTATCCTGATTATGTTTCCACAATAGTTGAATTGTTTCTTTCTGTAATATTTTCTCCTTGACCTGGGAACTCTGGAATTTGGCTACAATATTCCTAGGAGTTTTCCTTTGGGGATCTCTTTCAGGAGTCAATTGGTAGATTCTTTCAATTTCTATTTTACCCTCTAGTTCTAGGATATCAGGACAGTTTTCCTTGATAATTTCTTGAAAGATGATGTCCAGGCTCTTTTTTTGATCATGGCTTTCAGATAGTCCAATAATTTAAAAATTCTCTCTCCTGGATCTATTTTCCAGCTCAGTTGTTTTTCCAATGAGATATTCCACATTGTCTTCTACTTTTTCATTCTTTCAGTTTTGTTTTACAGTTTCTTGATTTCTCATAAAGTTACTAGCTTCCATTTGCTCCATTCTAATTTTTAAGGAAGTATTTTCTTCAGTAAGCTTTTGGACTTCCTTTTCTATTTGACCAATTCTGCTTTTTAAGGCATTCTCCTCATTGGCTTTTTGGACCTCTTTTGCAATTAGGGTTAGTCTATTTTTTTAAGGTGTTATTTTCTTTAGTATTTTTTGGTCTCCTTTAGCAAGCTGTTGACTTGTTTTTCATGATTTTCTTGTATCACTCTCATTTTTCTTCCCAGTTTTTCCTCTACTTCTCTTACTTGCTTCTCAAAATCCTTTTTGAGCTCTTCCATGGCCTAGGACTGATTCATATTTTTCTTGGAGGCTTTGGATGTAGGAGGTTTGACTTTGTTGTCTTCTTCTGGTTGTATGTTTTGATCTTTTTTGTCATCAAAGAAAGATTCTATGGTCTGACTTTTTTTTTTTTGCACGGTTTGCTCATGTTCCCTGCCAACTACTTGAGTTTTAAACTCTCTGTTAAGGTAGGCATCTGCTTCCAGTATAGAGAATGTACTGTCCCATGCTTCAGGGGTTTTCTGCTGCTATTTTCAGAGATACTTCTAGAGACCTGTAAATTTTCAGTTCTTCCAAGGTGATACAATCAAGGGCGAGGTGTTTACTCCTTTCCTGGCCTGTGCTCTGGTCTATGAGTGACCATGAGCACTCTTTTCTGCCTTAGAACTGTGAGGAGGATTCTCTCTCAACTGCCACTACAAGCTCTACCATGCCAGCACTCCTTGCCCCAGGACTGCCACCCAGAAGTGTGACCCAGATCCAAGCACATGCAAAGCAAGAGATTTTTGCCTCAGCACCAGCAAAAAGATCCCTGCAATGCCCCTCTGATCAGCCATTCAATTCCCCCTCCATCTGTGGGCTGAGAGCTTTGGAAGCAGTTGATGCCCTGGGGCTGTGCCAAGACTAGGGCTAGGACTGAGCTTCTTTATCACCGTGGTCACAGACCTTTCCTAGTGACTTTCTAAGTTGTCTTTGGCGTTTACGTGTTGAGATGTCTGGAAACTGCCATAGCTACCTGTGATTCAGTCCTCTGAGGCCTAATCCAGGTTTGCTGAGACCTGGTCTTTGTCTGTGTGCCCATGCTGAACTGCACTCCTCTCCCAGCCCTGCTCAATAGAACTTTCCAATCAGCCATCCAGGCTGTCTTGGGCTGGAAATTTGTTTCACTCTGTCTTTTTGTGGGTTCTGTTGCTCTACAATTTGTTTAGAGATGATTTTTTTACAGGTATTTGTAGGGCTTTGGGGGAGAACTCAAGCAAGTCGCTGCTTTTACTCCAATCTTGGCTCCACCTCCATCAGTCATCATTCTTCTTGACCTCCAATGCAACTCTTGACATTGCTAACCAGCCCCAACTCCAGAATACTAATTTCTCTCTTGGTTTCCATGATATGATTTCTTTTGTTTCTCCTACCAGTATATGTGCTCCTTCTTTGCTGGCTCATACATTGTCTTTCACCTTTAGATATTCTCAAGGTTCTATTCTGGGCCCTTTTCTTTTATTTAATACTTTCTTCTTTGTTGATATCATTAACTCTCATGACTTCAATTCTACCTCCACAATACATTATCCATTTACATTCACCCTACATTCACATAGTCACTACTGTAGTTCTAGCCCTAATTCCTTCTCACCAGGATAGCCTCCCAATTAGCCTTCCTGAGATCCAATCTTTCACATAGCTACCAAAATAATCTTCCTAAAGCACAGATCTGAATACATGACTTTTCTGCTTAAAAACTTTCAATGGTTTTTTATTACCTTTAAGATAAAATACCAATTCCCCAGCCTTGTATTTAAGGTCTTTCACAATGTGGCTCCAATCTATATTTTCAGCCTTATTTCACAGTACTCCCCTTCACACACTCCCTATTCTAGCCTAACTGGACTTCTCTGAATTTAAAATTCTACCTCCCACCTCTGTCTTTGTATAGGCTGTTCCCCATGGCAGGAATGTAATTCTTCCTCATCTCTGCTTTTCAGAATCCTTATCCTCCTTCAAATGTCAACTCAATTGACATTTTGAAACTTTCCCTGAGTCCCCTCAGTTGTGAGCACTCTCTCCCTTCTCAAACCATCATGTATTGACTTATCGGTGTATATGATGTGTTCTTTTTAGTATAGCATACTTTTAAAGATCAGGGGCTTTTTTTGTATCTGTCTTAATATTCTTAGCACCTAGCACAGTGCATCACAAACAGACTGAACAAAAGTTTGTGGAACTGAATTGAATATTTTCATAGTACTCAAATGTTATAGTAACCTAAGGCTTAAACTGACTGGAATGTCTGAAACAACTGAGGTAGGTATGAATAAGAACTAGCTCATGTCCAAACAATGCCTCCCTAGAAATGCCATCAACCTTGAAATACTGCTACTTGAAAAAATAATGGATTTAAAAAAAAGGTTAGTATCTGGATGGGCTGTTTAAAAAGTGGAAAACATCTTTGCCTGAGAGTGACCCTGGGGTCTTAGGGTGTGTGTCAAGAAGAGATGACACTGGGGCAGCTAGGTGGCACAGTGGATACAACACTGGCCCTGGAGTCAGGAGGACCAGAGTTCAAATGTGGCCTCAGACACATAACAATCACTAGCAGGGTGACTCTGGACAAGTCATTTAACCCCAGTTGCTTCACTTAAAAAAAAAAAAAGAGATGACATCCCAGAGAGATTGAAGTATACTCTTCCATTACATCCCAACTTTGCACATAGCCTGTAAGAAGAGGTTTTACAGCGGAGCTGAAGGCAATTTATGCTAACATGTTGTAATATATGATGAAAAAAGCCTTCCTTGGGTCATGGTCAGGGGAGATAACACAGGGGCTCCCTGTGAATCTAGGGAGAGGTGGCAGAATACTGGGGCTAAATTATATTCTTTGCCTGTGTTGAAACACCTACTTTCCCTACTCTACCTAATAAATATTTAGAGCTATGCTTCAGCTGGTTATCTTCAAGAGGGAATCTAGCTGAAATAACTTTCTAGTTGAAATAATATAACAATCATAATTACCAATTATTAGAAAAACCCGGTGTCTATTTCTGGGCTCTACAATTTGAAAATCAATTGATCAGGTATAAAATCATATTATGTGATTTTAGTACCCTATTGTGGGCACTTCTTGCTATTTTAAAACTTACAACTTATATTACAATGAAAGTTTAATAATTACAAAGCTATTTCAGTATCTTAGGATGGGTAAGTCATTCAGTCTCTCTTAGTGACCCAAGAATCTTTTTATGAGTTGCTGATCTTTTCTTTTTCTTCCATTCCCAAGACTTAGCACTGTGACTTTCCTACAGTAAGTCCTCAGTAAATGTTTACTCTGACTGATAAATCATATTACATAAAAACGACCATCAAAATTATAAGATGAGATTCCATGACAAGATAACTTTGTTTTACAGCTGAGAACCATGGGAGGGGAGAGAGAGGCTTCTCAGCTAATTTGACAGGACCAAAAAATGTTTTTAAATTAAAGCTTCATTTAAAAACACCAATCTCAAATTTCGCACATGAACAACAGTTAGCCAGTTGATATAATGGATATCAAAGTCACACCCACACAAACTGCTATAGAAAGAGCTTATCATTTTTGTATTTGAAAATAAAATATTTCTCAGTTACTTTGAACTTGTAGAGATAGTACCTGAAATTTTCCTCTTTACGGCAAAGATCCTTAACTTTTTTGGCATGAAAATTCAAAACTAAACTTTTGATTCCTAGAAAAATGTTATTTAGGAGAAAAAAAAATCTAATGGCCACCATACCTGTTGACCAGTAACCTGAAATGTCTCCTCTGCATGCATACAAGTAATTTCAAGGGGTTCTGTCCCCGATATATGTCTCAACAATCGACAAGTCTAGAAAATAACAACATTTCTATAGTTTAATTTACAAATTCACATTCAAATGGGGATTAACAGCTAGAACTATGAGGATCTAGTTCAATTAGGTATAAATAAAAATTTAAAAAATAACATATATGAAACTTACAAAATATTATAAAAACAAGTTCATGGCTGTGTTCCAGACAGTTGAGGTTGCTAGAATTCTTACCACAAAAAGACAGAGATGCTAATATATGATAATAATAATATATGTAATATATTACATATGATACCGAATTTTAAAATGGTTTTTTTTTTGTTTCCTGATGGGAATGGCAAGAAGGTAATGTTAACAAATAATAAAGTTTGCTAAATAATAACACTGGAACTCACCTCAATAAGCTGTTCTTTCTGTTCAGATAGCTTACAGGTGTATTCTGCCAAACCTTCTAAGTTTCCTTCCACTCCAGTAATTTTTAATGCTTTCAAAATCATGTGATCCGCATGGTGCTTTAGAAGATCTGTTGCAAGCAATGTTGCTGCACTGTGAAGCTTCATTTGTTGGAATAATTGTGAGAGACAGATGAGTAAGGCTGGAACTGGAAGAGGCCTTAGAGGTCATCTAATAATGACCCTTCTACTTTATAGATGAGAAAACTGAGACCTCAAAACATTACCTGATTTGCCTAAGGTCATGAAGACGGTAGCTTTCCAAAGTATCATTATGAACCCCTTTTCTCTAACACTTTCTACTCCCTGCTACTGCCTCTCCTATGCTATGCTGCAGATTTTTTTCAGGAAAGTAAATGCAATTTGTGTCCTTTGAGATTGCTTGTAAACTATTAACTCAGCCATACTCTAGGCTAGATTACATTCATTTAATAAGCTTGGGTCTTTCCTGACCTTCTGCCAATAAACTGCAAGACAAATCCAAATGGTTTGTTTATTTTTAATATATCATTCTATCTAAGTTTTTAAATTTCAGAAAATATGAATTATTTGTACTTCAATGCAGAATCTTCGAGGTACAAGGATTCTGAAAGGCCATCAATCAAGCATTTATTTATTAAGAGACAACTATGCATGGTGCTAGACAGTAGGGATATAAATACAGGCCACCTAGTTCAAATTGTACCTGAACAATATTTCCCCTCTACATTTTCAACATGGGGTTACCTAGCTTCTATCTGAATATTAATAATAATAATGCCTTACGGTTTACACATCTCATTTGATCCTTACAAAAACCTCATGAAGTATTACGACAGTAATTATTATCCCCATTTTACAGATAAAGAAACTGAGGCTCAGAAAGGTTAACTGACTTGCCCGGGATCATGCAGCAAATAAAGATTAGAGGTGGGATTCAAACTGAATTCTCTCTGACTCCATGTAGAACACTCTCTATATAATGCCACATTTCCTCTAATGAAAGGCCTCCAGCAAATAGGAACCCACTAAGCTAAGTTCCAAGAAAGGTCAATGCTCTAACAGCTGGGAAGCTGCTCCTTATCTTGCCTTACAATTTACTCTACAATTTCTATCCCTTGTTCCTAGTTTTGCTCTATGGGACCAAGCAGAACAAATGTAATCCTTCTTCCAAGTGCCAGCCAAAACTCATCTCTTCTCTAGATTAAACATCCCTAATTCCTCAGTCAGCCAATCCTCATATAACATGATCTTTAGGCCCTTCACCATTCTGGTTACCCTGATCTGGATGTGCTCTACCTTGCTGATGTTCTTATAAAATGTGATGCCGAGGATTGAACACAGTGCTCCAGTTGCACTCTGACTAGGGAAAAGTACAGCAGAACTATCACCTCCGGAGCCCTGTCTATCATGCCTTCCTTTCTCTCTCCCTCTCTCTTCCTCTCTTCCTCTCTTCCTCTCTCCCTCTCTCTCCCTCTCTCTCTCTCTCCTTTTAGGTGATTAGGGGTAAGTGACTTGCCCAGGGTCACACAGCATATGTCAAGTGTTTGGTCTGAGGCTGGATTTGAACTCAGGTCCTCCTGACTTCAGGGCCAGTGCTCTATCTACTGTGCCACCTACCTGCCCCCTATTATGCCTTTCTTAAGACAACTCAAGACTGCATTAGCTTTTTTGATTATCATATCATGTTACTGATTCATACTGAGCTTACTAACCCCTTCATATCCTTTTCACGTGAACTGTGACTTTTACATGAACTTTCTCTCTTTTGTACTTGTGAAGTTGATTTTATGGACCAACAAGTGAGTTACACAGGGGTTTTAAAACTGGGGTTCATGGACAGATCTGGGGCGGGGTTTGAACTCGGAACTTTTAATATTTTGATAACTTTTTTCAATAAAATCATCTTTTTAATAATACATTCTAGAAGTTTGAAAGGAATAGGATTTGAATTCACTGTTTTATAGTTTGTGGGCTTCAGCCTCTTTTTTTCCCCTCATTAAATTAAGTCATTTACCCTTCACCAGTCCTATGGCACCTTTCTCATTCTCCATGACCTTTCAAAGATCATTGACAGTGGCTCAGAAATCATATGACATGTAGCTTAGCTGAACTTGGTAACTTAAATTCATTGGAGTTTTGGACTCCTCATCTATAAAATGAGAAGAATCCCAAAGGGAGGTTGTGGGAAACAAATGAGATAATGTAAGCAAAGTTTTTGGCTTCTATTTTCTCTAAGAACAATAATCCTCGGATTGGGAGTTGAAACCCACAGTAAAAAGTAACAATACATATACAGTGCACTAAGGTTTGCAACTCATTTTGTACAAATCATTCTTTCACTGATCTTTACAATAACCTATGAGGAAGGTGCTATGCTGTTCCCATTTTACAGATAATGAACCTGAGGATTTGGACAGCAGATTCTTGTTCAGATATGAGTTATTCTAGAATTCAGGGGTGTTAAACTTGCCAGAGCAGAACTCCAGAGTCAAGGACCAGATGAAAATGTGATTGGAAAATTTTTCAGCAAAATAAATAAAAATACATACAACATAGATAATGTTGATTTGTGGTTTTCTAAGTCATTGCAGGGATCTATTTCTATTTGAGTTAGACAACATAGGCTTAGATGACTCAGTGGTCCTTCCTAATTGAAATTCTATGGTTTTATTATTTTTTTTGTTAAAATGACTTACTTAACTTTGTAGTAGACACTGGTGTTTAGAATGAATGAAGAATTTAAAAAGGTTAAATTTCAAACTGTACTTACCTCTCTTTTAAATTCATGCATACTCTGGCTTATTTTTAATATAGCTAGTTCGAGATCTTCCATGATGTTCTTTGTCTTCTTTCTTTGCTAAAATAAAAAAAAAATTTCTTATTTCTATTATCCCTTTAAACCAATAATAATTCCAGTTCTATGAAATATAACTTTAGGTTGGCATTTTTAACTGTTAGAATTTATTGAGTTATGTTACAAAGTTGCCATAGTTATTTTTAAAAATTTTAAAGCCTATCATTCTTCAAATTACCAATTTTAAAACTTAAAATGTACAAAGCCAAACACCTGGCTGCTCTATTTGTATTAATGGCATCACCATCTACCATTATTCTAGTTACCCAGGCTCAAAGTCTCAAAGGAATCTAACCTTTTCTACTTCATGACTCTCCAAATCTACTTACCAAATCCTACCAATTTTACCTCTGCAATGTCTTTTACATATATTTCTTACCTTCTATTTCCACTATCACCACCATAATTTAGGCCCTCATCTTTTACTTGCACTATTATTATAATACTCTCCTGACTGATATCCCTGCTTATTGTCTCTCCCCAACTTCAGTAACCCATTCAATCCACTGCCACCATATTAGTCTTCTTAAAGCACACTTCTGCTATTTTTCTTTTACGTACATTATTAACCGTTTGTCTATTAACTTAAATCCAAACTCTTTACCTAAACATTGCAATATTGTGAAAAGAGCATTGACTTAGGAGTCAAGAGACCTGGGTTCAAATAACAGCTTCAAACAAGAACAGGATGTTCCAAAAGTCTTAGTGCCATTTTAAGGTTTTAGTTCTTCCAAAGTTGAAAATATCAAGTCCTTCTGCTAAGATGAAAAAACAAAACAAAAAGCACCTCCCTCCCCCAAGTCACAGCACACAGAATGATCTGTTCTGGGATAGGTGAGTGCAGAAGACTAGGAGGGGAGATGGCAAGCAAAAACCCCTCCCAAATACTTAAAAACAAACAACAACAACAACAAAAAATCTGTTCAACAGAAACTGTGATAAATACAGGATGATGCAAGATGAGTAAAAATGGAGAACAGTAAAGAAAAAAAAAAGAAACAGTATTTATTAAAAGCTTTCCATGACCTCATCAAGTACAGGATATACCAAATTAACCTCATTTTGTAGACCACTAAAGGTCATTCCTGAGGATATAAACCCTCTAGTTTCACCACGGGGTCCAAACCTGCAGTGCTGGCAATGAAGCTTAACTTCCACATGCCATAATATTTTAAGGGGGAAAAACTGTTATATAGATTTTATTTTAATACAAAAAGTTCTTGCTGTTTATATCCACAATGAAACCACGTGTTTAATTAGGTTTGATAGCTCCAAGATGCATTTCCACTGCTTATGTCCGGTGTAGGCAGCATTAGTAAAGTCTTCTGTATGTTCCAAGATAAGTTTCAACATTGTTGAAAGATTTTCCTTAAACTGAAAATAAAGATTTTCTCAAAGAGCTTCAATATTCATCTGAAAAGGTTTTAAAGCTTAAAACTGCACTAGAATTTTGAAGTACCCTGTATCAAAGGCCAGGAGAATTTTACAGTGATGTGCACAGAGTCTATCTACTGTGTTTGTGTTTCTACAAATAACAAGAAAAATCTGTCTCCAAAATAAGTATTTTTTTTGTTTTTTGTTTTTGTTTTTGTTTTTGGTGAGGCAATTGGGGTTAAGTGACTTGCGCAGGGTCATGTAGCTAGTAAGTATGAAGTGTCTAAGATCAGATTTGAACACAGATCAAAAGAACTTTTTCTGCCTTTTTTTTTTTTCCTTTTTGGGGAGGCGATTGGGGTTAAGTGACTTGCCCAGGGTCACATAGCTAGTAAGTATCAAGTGTCTGAGATCACATCTGAACTCAGGTACTTCTGACTCCAAGGCTGGAGCTCTATCCATGGCACCACCTAGCTGCCTCAAAATGAGTATTTGCCTCTAACTTACAGGAAAAAAATGAAAGGGCTAGGAACACATTTCTAAGACTGAAATGTTTCTTGAAAGACTGGAAGAAGGGATTTGTGGATGAAATAAAAAACAAAAAGGATATGACATGACAGTGAAATTTTCACATTTTGCATAATATAAGAATGGTGCCATAGAGAAAAACCACGGAACATTTGGAGTTACATAACAGGACAGGGACTCTTGACCTGGCATCTTTGAACGTGGTTTAAAAAAAATTTTTTTGATAACTACATTTCAGTATAATTGGACTAATATGGTGGCAGTGGATTGAATGGGTTACTGAAGTTGGGGAGAGACAATAATACAATATGTATTTTATTTTGTGCATTTAAAAACATCATTTTGAGAAGAGTTAACCAAACTGCCAAAGACGTCCATGACATAGAAAAAAAAATGTTAAGAACCTTTGTAATAGGAAGAGGTCTGCCTTACAGAGGTAGGCACTGGCCTATCTTTGCAAAAAGTAGCTTTTGGTACTCTATGGAAAAATATGGTTCTATACGTGCCATTAGGAGGAAGGTACCATCAGAAGACAAAAAGTATAGTGGTTGACCCCTCCCTGATGAAGCATATAAGGCAGCTATTTATTGAAGTGATATAATACTGAGTTTGACTATTTTCCCAGAGCATATAGGAGTGTTCTGATGGAGAATCCTATGTATCTGTTGTGATTCATGCAAGTATAAATGATATCATTATAAGGAACCTAGAAAGTAGTGCTGAGGATAATGGACTTAAGACTTAAACCAGGCCTACACAACCTGTGGCCTGTTAGCCACTTGCAGCATGCCAAAGGATTTTGGGCAGCCTGCAAAAAATGTAGAGGAAAACAACCTCTACATTTTTCATGGGCCAGCCAAAATCCTGTGGCAGGCCACAAGTTGTGCGGGCCTGACTTAGACAAAAAAACCTCCTACCAGGCTGCCCTCTTCTGGACTTCTCCATCATTACTTTGGATCTTTCTTCCACACAACCTTTTTAATTTCCTTTTATGTGATGTCTTCCCCATTATAATATAAGCTTCTTGAGGGCAGGGACTGGCTTTCTTTTTGCTTATATTTGTGATCTCAGTGCTTAGTATAATGCCTGGCACACAGTAAGCACTTAATAAAGGTGGATTTACTAACTGAAAGAACTGGTGTTTTCATCATTGTAAATGAGGACAGGTAGGGGCTTCGGAAGATAAAGACAAATTTAGGAAAAGAACAGAAAATAGTGTCTGAGAACAGGATTTATATTTCTGGCCTGATGACTAAAATATAGGAATAATGGGCTCCTGATGAGATTTGAATACTATAGAATATATTAAATTATAGAATACTACAGAGAGCTAGGTAAAATGTTTGCTTGGAGTCTTGCAAATATAATCAAGAGAGATTTCAAGTGGAAAAGGAGAGGGAGAAAAAAATCAAGTAAAAAAAACCCAACAACATTAGATATCTATAGAAATGCACACTTTATGGATAATAGAGAGAATGAACTAGCGATCCTAACACAGGGAGGAAAATTCAGTCTCAGAGCTATTAATGAAACTTGGGATAGGATTCAAGACTAGACTATAACTTTTCAAATGTATATTTCATTCGGGAGGAATAAAAGAAAGGGGGACAGATTAGGGTGGCATGCCATATTTAAAAAGATATACTAACTATAAAGAAATCCAGGAAGCCAAGGGGGAAAGAACAACATGGTAGAGAGCAACTGGTTGAAGATCAATGAAGAAAGAAGGAAGTGATGATGTTATATTGTATAAACCACTTGGACAGAAGACAGAATGTTATGAGTATTTTGGTAAATGGATTACAAATCTGGCATGAAAATATAATACTGTAGCAATGGGAGACTTAAATAGCCATCTACTATCTGACAAAAGCAGAATAACTGACAAATTTCTTGACTTACCTAATGATCATTTTATCCTTCAAAAGATAAGAAATAGCTGGACGAACTGCTATTCTGGACCTGATACTGACCAAAGAGATACTAATAGTTGAAACAGAAATGATAGAAAAGTAGGAGGAAAGTGACCACTCCATCCTAGTTCATGATAGAGGAGATAAGGAAGCCAAGCAAATTCTGGCATGTACCCTAGATTTTGGGAAAGCAGATTTTTCAAAGGGATCAGTAATAAGACTGGTAGGAGATAATAGTCCAATATTTTGCAGGGTAAGTCAGCATAAGAAAGATGAGAAGCTTTCATGACTAAGATGGGGAAGACATGGATAAGTATGAAAGAAGAGGAAAAGCAGGAACTGTTTAAAGAAGCTAACGTGATTGCACAGAGAGTTCATTAACCAATTCAGATTTTAAAAAGACAACACAGAGGATGGAATCAAGGGGAAATAACTGAGGATGGATGCAAGAACAAGGAGAGGTCAGGAGTCTGATGCCCGAAGCCCAGAATGAGCTAAGGCTGCCAGTGAATGCTAAGCAATAATATAACAATTTGGGGTTGTTAGGTGTTTTTTTTTTTATATCAATGGTAAGGGCAAAAGAAGAATCAAAGAAGGGATAGGACTGTTGCTTGAAGTACATGGAATGATTGTAATGGATAGTGATAAGAAGAATAAAGTATTCAACTTCCATTTTTTCTTGCAAAGACTCAGAAGAAAAAAAATGGGGAGGCAGAAACCTAAGAGGAGAAAGTGAAACACTAGCTAGCTGCTGCCTTTCATGTGTTAAAGTCACAAAGATCAGATGAACTACATCCTGTGGTACTAAAAGACATGATGGATTTAAGTCCTGAGTTACTTTGAAAGATCTTAGAGAAAAGAAGAGTCACAGGACGGGAGGAAGACTAAGGTCCCAAATTTCAAAAAAAAAAAAGGAAGAGATTGTAGTCCTCTAATTACATGCCTGTTTTCTTTCCTTTTCTTCTTGCCACATTACTAAGGATGGTTCTAAGCAGTTAGAAAAGGAAACAGTGTTTATTAAAAACCTGTCATGACTTCATCAACTACAGGTTATGCCAAATTAACCTAATTTTCTAGACCACTAAGGGTCACTTCTGAAGATCCAGGGGTGGGGAACCTTTGGCCTTGAGGCCACATGTGGCCTTCTAGGTTCTCAAGTGCAGCCCTTTGACTGAATCCAAACTTCATAGAACAAATCCCTTTAATAAAAGAATTTGTTCTATAAAACTTGGACTCAGTCAAAAGGCCGCACCCAAGGACCTAGAAGGCCACAGTTTCCCCACCTCTGATACTCTCTGGTCTCAACATGGGGTCCAAAACTGCAGTCCTGTTAATGAAGTTTAACTGACATCTCATAATACTTTAGGGGGAGACAACTGTTATACAGACTTTATTTTAACACAAAAAGTTCTTACTGCTTGCATCCATACTGAAATCAGGTGCTGCAATTCAATTTTAATTTGGTTTGATAGCTCCAAGATACGTTCTCTGTGCTCATGGCTGGTGTAGGCAGAATCAGTAAAATCCTCTGTATGTTCCAAAATAAGTTTCAACATTGTTGAAAGATTTTCCTTAGACTGAAAATAAAGATTCTCTCGAAGAGCTTCAATGGTCATCTGAAAAGGAGAATTTATACTTATATAAATCTTACATAAATTTATACTTACATAAATAAATTACAGGCACAAAACAAAATGAGTTCATTTTAATTTCCATATTTTTATATGACTGAATACCACTTGAAAAAATTATCAAATTATACTGACTAGTCTGGTATAAATTTTTGCTATCTAACCTTAACTGGGCCATCACTGCAATACAGAAAACCCTTTATTAGCTATCACATCCTCCAATGAATGTTCCGAACTTTTTTTTCCTACTCACAACCCCAATCCACCTTTCCCTCCAAAGACTCAGCAGATAAACTCATCTCCTACTTGAACTTTCCTAGCTTCCCATCTCCATTACTCTGAATTCTTTATATGTACAGTATTCCCTTTTTTTCCTTCTTCTAATCTCAGGGGAAAAACATGGTACTTTTCCTAACCAAAGGTAACATATCCACTCTTTATGTCATCCTCAGGACATCTGTCACATCCTCTGGTACCTTGCTGCATCAGTCATCCTATGGCAGTGTGTCACACAGGGTACTGGACTTTCTAATTCTAATCTCACCTCAGACACTTGCTATCTATGTAACCCTCACCTAGAATTTAACCTCTCTGTGCCTTGGTATCATCATCCCATTCTCTGTTTTCTAAATTCATCCCTCATACTACTGGCAGAAAAATCTTTTCTATGCATATCACTCCTCTGCTCAATAATCCCACTATCTTTCAACTGTTTACTACTGTTTACTAAGTAAAGCACATTCTCCTTTGTCTAATGATCAAGAACCACCATAAACTGGTACTTTCCTGCTTCTCCAGCTTTATTTTATATTATTCCCCTGCAAGCACAGAAGTCTTTAATCAAAATGTTCTCAGAGGGAACTATGCCTGTAATTTTCTTCTTCTCTCTCATTACTTGTTGAATCATTACCCATAACTCTCACAGCCCAACTTAATACCACCTTGGCCAGAAGGCTGCCCTGATACCACTTTAGTCAACTTTTTCCTTTTTCCTTCTCCTATCTCACATAGCTCTTTATTTTGCGCATTTCTAGTACATGTACGTATCGTTTTATATTATCATAGCCAATGTATCATGTCTCCTTAATAGACTTTAAGCTTCACGAGGGCAATGCAAGCTTTAATCTTCCTCAGGACCTAATATAGTGCTCTGTACCAGTAGATGTCCTTAATAAGTGTTGGCTGAAAGATATTGTGGGCGTGGCTAGAGACTTGGCCTTGGAATCAGAAAGACCTGAATTTAAGTCCCACTTCTGATATATATTGGCTCTATGACCCTAAACAAGTCAATGAACCTCTAACTTAGTGCCCCAGGCAATTCTTTAAGACTGTTAGTCTTCTTAAAGAAAAGAGGCTGACTTGCATTGATCCCAAGGAATTTCCTCAACTGGGAGTCTCCTGTATCAATGAAATCACAGATCCAGTTCTTATTCCTATTTATTGTGTTATTTGCTCTGTTATGCATAGTAGGAAATACAGAAAAGGTAAAATCTTTGCTCTCAAAGAGCTTACAATCTAGTAAGGTCAATAAGAATGAATGAAATAACCACAACTGTAATAAGAGGTAGCATAGAATAGTAGAAAGAACATAGAATCTAAAATTAGAAAATCAAGGTTTCAGTCTCACTTCTGCTGATTAATAGCTGTGTGACATTAGACAAATACTTTAACTTTTCTGAACTTCAGTTTTGCTATCTGTAAAACAGTAATAATAATATTTAAATGACCTTCTACATAGGGTAATTTCAAGGCTCCAATGAGCTAATATATGTAAATTATTTTGATGCTACGAAGTTTTATATAAATGTAAGCTATTATTATAATCATAATACAAAGCTATTATCCTGTTTTATTCCAGTGAACAAAATGAAGATCAAGTGGTAGAAGTTTCGTGGAGAAGATTTTGGCTAAACACAAGGAAGAACTTCGTAAAGATTAGAGCTAGCCAATAGTGGAAGAGGCTGCCTTGAAAATAATGAGAGTGATTAATTCCACATCACTGGAGCTGTTTAAGCAGTAGCCAGCTGACTATCTGTTGGGGACAGATTGTATTGTAAGTTAGACAACTTGATCTGTAAAGTCCCTTCCAACTCTAGAATTTCATGACTCTGACTACCATATGAGTTCAGAGGGAGGAGAGATCAATATGGATGGGTTAGTAGAGAAAATTCCATAGAAGACATGGAAACTGAGCTGGGCCTTGAAGGATTTGTAGGATAAACTAGAAGGTGTTATGGAAAGATAATACAGGGAAGAGGAATGAGGCAAAATAGAAGTTGGAATATGAATATTTTATATGTGAAGGACAGAGAGGAAATCTGATTGAAGTAGAGGTATATATTAAGACATGTAGAGAAAAACTAGAGTAAAACCCAATTATGGAAGAACTTTATAGCCATATGGAAGAGTCTGGGTTTGATATAACTAGATATAGGAAGTCATTGTAGATTTTTGAATAGTTAGCCTTCAATGGAAGGCAATATCTAGGATATTTACTACGCAGAATGTCTTTGTTAAATATGATATATTACCTGAACAATGTAAGTAAGTTATTTGGAATAGTCAAGAAATAAAGTGATATACATAATTATAACAAAAAGAAAACCTGCCTAGGTCTACATAAGATTAAACTCCCTAATATGAAGTAAAAATAAGAATAGAATCTGGTAAGATTTGTATGGACTGATGCTGAGTGAAATGAGCAGAACCAGGAGAATGTTGTACACAGTAACAGCCATGTTGTGCGATGACTAACTTTGACAGACTTACCTCTTCTCAGCAATGTAAGGATTTAAGACATCTCCAAAAGTCTCATGATGGAAAATGCTATACACATGCAGAGAAAGAACTATGGAGTTTGAATGCAGATTGAAGCATACTATTTGTTCTTTTTCTTCTTCTGTTGTGTTTTGTTTTCCCTTTCTTGTAGTTCCTCCTACTGGCTCTAATTCTTCCTTACAATATGACTAATGTGAAAATATGTTTAACAAGAATGTATATGTAGAACCTATACCAGATTGAACAACATCTTGGGGAGGGAGGTGGGGAAGGAGGGAAAGAAAAATTTAAAACTCAAAACCTTATGGAAGTGATTGTTGAAAACTAAAAATAAATATAAAAAAAATTTAAAAAAAACTCATAGGAGAAAAGGTATGCCCATCTATGAAGTTGGAATCTTGGTTTACTATTTTTTGTGGACTATAGATAGCTTTGATTTTTTCTTCTGAAAACTGCCTGCTTATGTCCTTTGACCACTTATCAATTGGGGGATGGCTTTTATTTTTATAAATTTGACTCAGTTCCCCATATATTTGTGAAATGAAGCCTTTATCAGAGAACTTGCTGTAAATATTTTTTATGTTACCTCATTGTCTAGGGTAGCTTTTAGCAAAATATAGTTTCCTGAACCAGGAGAACATTGTCCATAGTAACAGCCATATTATGCAATGGCTAACTTTGATAGATTTAGCTCTTCGCAGCAATGCAAGGATCTAAAAAAACTCCAAAAGACTGGATTCTGGTTTCTAATCCATTCTCCTATCCGCTTCTGTTTTATTGGTAAGTTTATCCCATTCGCATTCACAGTTGTGATTACTAACTGTATTTTCCTTCTTGTATTTTCTTCTGTTCATCCTCTCGTTTTTTATCTCATCCTTCTTCAAAAGTCTGCCTTTCTTAATCAGTTCTCTCTTTTAACATCCCTCATCCTTTATGCCCTTGCCCTCATACTTCCCTGTTGGGTAAGACAGATTTCTATACCCAACTGAATATATATATGTGTATGTGTGTGTGTGTGTGGGTATATATATATGTGTGTGTGTGTGTGTGTGTGTGTGTGTGTGTGTGTGTGTGTGTGTGTGTAAAACTAAACAAAACTATAAAAAATGAAAAAATAGGGAAAATATATATGTAAAACTATACTATGCATACTACTATGCTATCAATTCTTTCTCTGGAGGTGGATTGCATCTTCCTTCACAGGTCCTTTGTAGTTGATTTGAGTATAATACTCAGAATAACTTGGTTGTTTAAAATTATTCTTCAAATAATATTGATGTTACACTATACAACATTCTCTTGTTTCTGCTCATTTAACTTTTCAATATTTCATGCAAATATTTTTATGTTTTTCTAAAATCAATCTGCTCATCAATTCTTACAGAACATTAGTATTCCAACACAATCATATACCACAACTTGTTTAACTAGTCCCCACCTGATTGGCCTCCCCTCAGTTTTTAGTTCTTTGCTACCTCAAGGAGAGCTGCTATAAACAGTTTAGAACACATAGGTTTTTAACCCTTTTTTCCTGATCTCTTGAGAGACAAACCTAATAGTGATATTGCTGGGTCAAAGGATACACAGTTTTATAACTCCTTGGGCATAATTCCAGATTGCTCTCTAAAATGGATAGATCAGTTCACAATCCCACCAATAGTGTACTAATGTACTAATTTTTCCACATCATCTCCCACACTTGTTATTTTCCCCTTCTATCATTTTAGCCAATCTGATAGGTGTGCAATGATATCTCAAAGTTGCTTTAATTTCCATTTTTCTGTTCAATAATGAATTTAGAGCATTTTTTCATAAGACTATAGTTTTTAATTCTTCATCAAAAATTGTCTGTTCATATCCTTTACCATTTATCAGCTGGGGAATGACTCATATTCTTATAAATTTTACAAAGTTCTCTATATATTTGAGATATAAGACCTTTATCCAAGAAACTGTCTATGAAATTTCCCCCTCCCCCATTTTCTGCTTTCCCCCCCCAATCTTAGCTACATTTGTTTTATTTGTACAAACTCTTTTAAATTTAATGTAATCAAAATTATCCACTTCACATCTCACAATCCTCTCTATTTCTTGTTTATTCATAAATTCTTCTCTTATCCATAAGTCTGATAGGTAATGTGTTCCATGTTCTAGTTTTCTTATGATATCTCCCTTTATATCTAGGTCATATTTCTATTTTGACCTTA